TTTGCTGTCATCTGTTGTGCTTGCAATGATCCCAAAAACAAAGTACAGGTAGATAAAAAAGACAAGAAGAGGGTTACTAGGTCATTAGCTCAACTACAAAAGAAAAAAAAAAAAAAACCGCAACCTTATCTATGAAAGTCTTTACATATCTTTTATACATATAAATGCATAGTAAGTATAAACATATATGTTCACACACACATTATTCTTTCCACATCCCCCCCCCTCCCCCTCCTCCTCTTCAATCGGATGAAGCTGAAGAAATCCATATGGTTCTCAAGCATAGGCATTGAGATGCGTGATTTTGTCGACTACTGCAACGAAGAAAAGGATGAATCATTGATTGAAAAAAAAAAGAAAATTTTCGAAGAAATTGCAAAATTGGAGTGCCCCGTTATTCTGAAAGATAAGAATACGTAAACATTTCAAAAATTAAAAAGAAAGAAGAAAAAAAAAAAAAAATATTAACAATTTTGCAGCTTCTTATCCGATTTCAACATGTTTTCTGCCCCGTGATTTTTCGGTTTGTCTCTTTTTCGCACACCCACTTACTTCTGCACCTTTCCTCCTTTTCTCAATTTCAGCATCCTTGTCGAACCGGATGTAGCCCCCAAAAAAGTTGTCAACTCGGCCAAAAGGATGAGATACTTTTTCAACATATCGGAAGTTCATGTAGAAACAAAAATTTAATGTCTTTGCTCATTAATTTCTCATTCGTGTGTTAGAATTTCCCACTTTTCATTTCGAGTGTCATACTTTATGTATCACTTTTTTTTTCTTTTTTTTTTTCCGTGCCCCAGACATGCCGAGGTTGTTCCAAGAAGAACAAATGTAAGCGATTTTTGCAGGTAATCTCAAAATGAAGAAATTGTAAAATGTCAGACATTAAAAAAAAAAAAAAAAAATCCAATAAAATTATGAGAGAAAAGATAAAGTGCAGGAATCAGGGTATAAAAACAGTTCAAGCTCATGACTTAATGATATCTGATCCATCACCCATCACCCCATATCTTTCGTATCTTCCCGTGTTCAGAAATACGCAGGCGAACCCGATTTCTCTGACTTCACTCGAATAATGATAGGATTCTACAACGTAAATATGGAAATGATCCAAAGAGAGTTTCATATATGTCTAAAAATAACGCACTTTTTTTGATGTGCATCCATATGCTTAACAACCCCCAACCATAATTACCCTTTCCAGATATGCAAAGTCTACACAAGAAGAAACGAAACAGACAGAGCAGAGCTGCGACACATAGTGGAAAAGGTGAATCACTTCCACTTTGCACTGTTTTATATATATAATTACCTCCTGAAGCACAAGCATTTCAATTATAATGTTGTAAGGAAAGAAAGGCTAAATAATAATAATAAAAAAAAAAAAAAAAAAAAAAAAAAAAAAAAAAAAAAAAAAAAAAATGATAAAATGAAATTCACCTCCATTCAACACCATTTTCTCCTTCGCATAAGTGGGGGGCAGACATAAGAATGGTGTAAACGTATAATTTTTTTTTTTTTATTTTGTACGTGACATGCATCATCATGACCACCACCACCCGTAGGTTGAGGAAGGGAACAGAAGTGATATACTGAACTATTTGAAGTCAAGAAGGAGAAACTTGCTACTACTAAAAAATCAAAGAAAGCAAGAAAAAATTATGAACATTCCAAGGGAATACTGCGATGTGATTATCCCAACAGACAAGGCTAAAATGAAAAAGAGACAGAGGAATGTCTTTGAAAAATTGCATAAATTTCGGGTAAAGTTCTAACCACTGATATGGGTTTTTTTTTTTTTTTTTTGGTTATTCTTTCTTTTTTTTTTCCGTGTTTGTGTGTGTTGCCATTCATTCCATTAGATCACTTGTCTATGTTGCCTCCCTAACACCACTTCTTTATATCTCATTTCTTAGAAAAAAACTGAAATCGCACAGGATGATGAAAAGTTCATATGGGTGGAAGAACAGGAAGAAGAAGGTGACTAATATATATGCATATACATATACATATATATATATGAGAATATGCGTTTGTGCATTTTTTTTTTTTTTTTCCAAATGAAACCGCACTGAAGCATCCATTATTTATATGCTTTCAAAAAAAAAAAAAAAAAAATGCATCTTTTATTAACTCTGTCGTCCCATTTCTAGACGAGCAGGGAAATCCAAGCGATGAAGATTATGAAAAACAGGTTCACACACATTTAACAAATAAGAATGAGATGATGAAGATGACCGATGAAGACAATTGTCTAATCGAAATACAAAATGAAAATAAGCATATGCCATCATTTCGTTTTCAATATATATTAAAAACAGAGAAAGATCATATATCGAACGAGGTTCGAAATTATAACAAGATATACAATAAGTACACCAGGTGAGTTTATTTTTTATTTTATTTTTTTTTCTTTAATCTCCCCATGCAAAGTAAGGAGCATAAACCTGATCCTGTTTTCGTGTCCATCTCGTTCATTTTCTTTTTGTAATGTATGAACGGGAATAAAAAAAATAAAAAAATAAGGAATCCGAACAGGTTGATTGGATGGATGGATATGTGGACTCAGTTTTTGTTGCAAAATTGCATATCTGGTTCTCGCTTAAGTCACGACATGGTAGTGATGATTATGATAATGATGGAGGAGAAGATGCTTTTTCTTTCTGTGATATATTTTCTCATTTTTTCTGATATATTTTTTCTTTTTTTTTTGCGGATATATTTTAGCTTGCTGGAAAAAGGAGTGTTTATCAATTTGGACGATATAAACGTGGATGAGGACATAGTCAAGGTATTTCCCATGGCTACTTTCATGTGAATATTTTGCATCTCGCTCTCCATTACTGATTTTAGTCTATATAATATACTTCTCACCATGCTCATTTTCTATGCCTCTTTTGCCTTAATTTTACTCCTTCAGTCTGAAAATGTTCTTTTCAAAATTCCTGATATCGTCGGAGGATATACATTCATAAACTATATTGAGGATCAGCCTAACAATTATATATTTCCTATTAATGAAAATGTAAGGATAAAATTTGTGTTTTTTTTTTTTTTTTTTTTTTTTTTGAAAAGCAAGTGAACAGAATTACACGAATGTACACGAGTATACACAGGATGTAATACACTGCCATCGCACATCGCACATCGCACATCGCACATCGCACATCGCACATCGCACATCGCACATCGCACATCACACATCGCACATCGCACATCGCACATCGCACATCGCACATCGCTCATCACTCATCACTCATCACTCATCGCCAACTGGTTATGCATTCCCACAAGTACGGGGTAGAATTACACGCTCATATACCACTACACTTTTTCTTTTTTCTTTTTTCAATTTCCAGCTTTACAAGGGAATTCAAGTGTACAAGAAGGAGGAAATAAATTTGGGGAACTTCTGGAATGATATAGAAAACGAGTCCTTACGAATTCGAAAAATTGGGTTCTATAACCCTTTTAATATAAAACAGGTTCAGAAAAAAAAAAAAAAAAAAAAAGTTATCAAAGTTTTCCAAAGTGCAGCATATTCAAGATATGTGCAACTCTATCCCATTACTAGGGACATTATTTACATATTCATTTTCTGCTTCGTCATATATACATATGTATGCATACATATATATGTGGATATATGTTTTTATCATTTCTTTTTTGAAGAATTTGGAGATAGAGAAACAGAAGAGGGAAAACCTCCCCCCTGGATCCCGAACTGTTCACAAAAAGCATGAGGTAATTAAATTAAGGAATAATCTCATATAAGAGGGGATGATGTAAAATGGAGAAATCATTCATAAATTAAGACAACTTTACTTTTTGTATAAATAGTTTTGTGTAAACAGTTTTGTGTAAGCAATTTTGTGTAAGCAATTCTGTGTAAGCAATTCTGTGTAAGCAATTCTGTGTAAGCAATTCTGTGTAAGCAATTCTGTGTAAGCAATTCTGTGTAAGCAATTTTGTGTAAGCAATTTTGTGTAAGCAATTTTGAGGACAACTTTACTTTTTTTTTTCTTTTTATAATTTCCTCATCCGCCCTTTTTCTACTTCATAGGAAATCACCGAATTGGAAGATGTTATAAAAAAAAAAAAAAAAAAAAAAATTTCAAAAATGAAATTCATTTGTCTCTTTCATTTTCCACCATCTTCTCCATCCTCACGAGTGCTTATCCAAATTCTTTTATTCAGGACCTGTCAAGCTTTCAAGAATACGTGCACAATAAGAAACGACAAGATGGGAAATGGCAGATCAGGGAGAGGAGACGCATGAAGATAGAATCCGATTCATTGTATTCTACATCTGCCAATATGGATAGAACAAACTGTGAGCATTTGAATGATGAAAAAGATGAAGATGCTCGATTTGCTTATTTTAAGGTACTTACTAGGAAAAAAGACATTTTCAAAAAAAAAAAAAAAAAAATGTTTTTTTCTTCATCTCGTAGATATATATATATATATATATATATATATAACAATCCAAATTGATGGGTTGTACATATGTCAGTATTGTTTGACAACTGACGAGTGTGTAACATATACAAAAACTATGGGAATCAGGATATTATATCTTATAAGAACACGAATAAATTTTGTTTTCTTTAGAAACTAAGAAACGAGGAACCTCATTTGGATCAACATATAGAAGTGAAGGAAGAATTCAACAGTATTTACAATGACACGTATAATGGTATGTATATAAAAAGACAAAAATAAGCCTATCGTATTACGTTACATATGTTTGTACAGATTATCAGCTGGTTGTGTATCATTTCAGAAGTTTATGCTTCTCATCTTCGCATGCTTCTCATCTTCTCATCTTCGCATGCCTCTCATCTTCTCATCTTCGCATGCCTCTCATCTTCTCATCTTCGCATGCCTCTCATCTTCTCATCTTCGCATGCCTCTCATCTTCTCATTCTTCCCATGCTTCTTCACCATTTCATTTCTGCATTTCAGACAAAGGAGAATCCAACAGGTCTTATCTGCACACGTACCATATAAGGAGAAAACTGAGTGATGATGAAAAAGGTACATGCTAGAATAATAAACTCAGTCCCGCGAAGAGGGACCGTTGCATGAATTTACAGCCACTGCATGCGCACACACACACACACACACACACACACACACACACATATATATATATATATATATATATATATGTACAGAGTTACACATTCACGTATTTTTTTTTTTTTTTTTTTCACTTTTGTAAGCCATTCAAGGGATCACGATGCATGAAATCAAAGCTGAAAAAAGCAATCTCATTCAAAGTGATAGGAAGGAGTTGAAGGTAAGTGGGTGATACAAAAAGGAAAAAACTTGCTTCTTTCCCCCCCAACCCTAGGAAGATGATCATATATTTGACGTATTTAATTCACCATTACTATATCTATATAGTGAAAAACTACCATATATATATAAAACTTTGAACCCATTACTACACTTTTTTTTACATATTCATATAACACTATAACCCAATCTTCTCCCATCCACCCTCTCATGCCACACAGGATCAATCTTTTTACATATGCAAGAATGTGAAATTCCCTGAGTTAAACCAAGAAGAAGACTTTGGAAAATCGGAAAATCATAGAAAATTCCTTAACGATCAGCTTAAGCAGTATATTCGTCCATCTGTTCAGGTTGGCATGAATACATTCAACATAAAAATATTGTGTGTGAGATATAAATTCATCTATATATGTATCACTTCATCATTTTGCTTCATCTGTTCGTATATCGTTGGAATATGTGAAGACGACAAAATTCATTGTGAAAGGGTGTGTGTGTGTGTGTGTGTGTGGGGAAGTTGCGAGATATAAGCAATTGAATTGTGTAATTCCTCACTTTTTTTTCTTTTTTTTCTTTTTTTTTTTTTTTTTTTTTTCCTTTCACAGAAACGGAATTCAAATACACCGGAGTTGACAGAAGAAACTATCGAAGCTCATTCATCGTCCAGAAAAGGGTAAGGAAAAGGGTGGGAGATGAAAAGCTGTTTGGCATGGCATTTCACCAGTTTGTAACTACTTCGCACCTGTTTTACACTCCTTTCAGTTCCTTTATTTTTTACTGTCTCTCATTCCTTTTTCCGTTTTTCCAGGTCTCAAAGTTTGCAAATCTTTTTAAAGAAAAAGAAAAAACATTTCAAAAGGGATGCAAATGCACGTGCAGATTAGGAATAATTTTTTTATTTTTTGGCCTTATAGTGTCTCCTTTTTAGTGCCACTTTTTTTTTTTTTTTTTTTGGGGGTGGGGGGTGGTGGTACCTTTCTACATTGGAGGAAATACTTGTGTATGCAAATGGAAGTGTTTGCATAGTCATATCAAACTGAATGTATTATGTACATCTATCTATGTATGTATGTACCAACTCAGTTAAGGAACATTTCTACCAATCTTTTTGAATATTTTCGAAAAATGTTTTATGCGAAAAGTCTTAGATAAAAAGGGGGTGGGGGGTAATGGTGGTCGTCGTTCAATGGAAGTAGACACAAACTCTCCTCCACAAGAGGAGAACATCATCTTCGTTTTTAATTTTAAGCATCACTGAATTGAACTAGTTAGGCATATAAAAAAATGGCTTTTAAAATATGCCAAAGTGAAGAAGGACTTAAAAATAGGTTCTCCTCAAATGATTCATGTTTCCACCTTTTTCCAAAAATAAGAAAAAAAAAAAAAAAAAAAAAAGGCAAGGTTATTAACAAAAAAATGATTTTTTTTTTTTTTTTTTTTTTTTTTTTTTTTTTTTTTGTTATTACTTCTCAAATGTGTAACACAAGTGCTAAAATGAGATACACTTTAGAACGATGCAAACAATGTGGAGAATGAAGTGTATTTCTAAAAATGAATATTTGTTAAAATGTCCAGATAAACTGAATACAAAAGTGTGTTGCTCTTATGCTCCTTGAATATGCACGTATTCCTGTGTTGCATAGAGCCAGGAAAATTGAAAAATAGTATTTCTTTTTACTTTGTTTTGTTTTACTTTGTTTTGTTTTGCTTTGCTTTACTTTGTTTTGTTTTACTTTGCTTTGCTTTACTTTGTTTTGCCTTGCCTTGCTTTGTTTTATTTTTTTTTTAAAGCTACACTTTTTGTGTGCCTTGGGCCGTTTTAACTAAATATGTGCGACAAAAATTGCTTCGTAAATTTTAAGCAGAAAAATTGTATTAGATATTTTTGAACAATTAAATGTATTCATCTTATAAGGTAGTTTTTCTGTTTTTCCTTTTTTTTTTTTTTTTTTTTTTAAAAAACAATATTGTAAGTTTTTTATTTTTCCTTTTTACTGCCCAGCTTTTTTTTTTCTTTTTTTTTTTTTTTTTTTTTTTTTTCCCCTTTCTTTTCCTTTCATTCTCCAATTAAAAAAAAAGTAATAAAATAAAAATATATAACAAAAATAGGTAACAAAAGTAGGTAACAAAAATAGGTAACAAAAGTAGGTAACAAAAATAGGTAACAAAAGTAGGTAACAAAAATAGGTAACAAAAATAGGTAACAAAAATAAGTAACAAAAATAAATAACAAAAATAAGTAACAAAAATAAATAACAAAAATAATAAAATAATAGAATAATAAAATAAAATAATAAAATAATGAAGTAACAAAAATAACAAAAATTACTTCGGCTTGTTGAAAATTCAAAAATGATCTAATGAAACAAAAACAAAAACAATACGCTTCTGCGTAATTAATTATACATATACAAGGGAATATAAATACAATATTACCTACACAATGTTAATACACACCCAATGTAACAATAATACCTTTGCTGTGGAAGAAGAAATTTGGCTGTAATTTATTGAAAACAGAAAAACAAGAGGGTGGGAGGGAATACATAAAATAAGCGTCATATATGGTGGTTCAATAAACTTTGTCATCACGTTCATACAAAATCAACCAAATATTTCAATTTTGGGGAATAACACCCCATGTGATATAGATGTTACCTTCCCGTGCGTGTATACAACTTTGGCTCAGGAGGAAGCATATGGATGTTTTTTGTTAATCTTTTTTTTCCGTTTGAAGTACCCATTTTTTTTACTCTTTTACGTCCCACAATTACGTGCCAAGTCCCACTTTGCTTCCTACACCCCACTTTGCTTCCTACATCCCACTTTGCTTAATCGCATGGCTACCTCTTTTTTTCGTTTTCCCTCCCATCTGTCGCAAAAATGTACACGGAAAAGATAAACCTTAACTCAGAGAATGAAAAAATCACAAGTCTGGATTTTCAGCCATGCACAAATGTAAACAGATTAGCCATATCAAGTTTGCACCAGATAAAAATTTACCACATTCCTGTACACGACAGGAGCTTGAAGAATAAAATAAACATTGAGCTTTTGTTCATAAGCAATGATCACAATTTAGTGTACATTAACACGATCAGGTGGAGTTTCAATGGTCAATTTTTGGCTAGCTGTGATAGTGGAGGAACCTTAGTGTGTTACGAATTGGACACGAATAAAAATATGAACAAAATTGATATAAAAAGTGATGTAAAAAGTGATGTAAAAAGTGATATAAGAAGTGATATAAAAAGCGATATAAAAAGTGATATAAAAAGTGATATAAAAAGTGATATAAAAAGTGATATAAAAAGTGATATAAAAAGTGATATAAAAAGTGATATAAAAATTGATATAAAAAACGATATAAAAAGTGATGGAGAAGAATTTAAAAATATCCAAAAAGACAGTGTCAACAAATCGATAGGACATATATGCACTTCGCTTAGTAGCAATAATAAGGAAGAATGGAAAATAACGAGATGTATAAAAATACATGAAAGTGGAGAAATTTTTGATTTTGCATGGTCACATGACAATGAACATGTTGTTTGTGGAGTGTCTAAAGGGATAGTTTACATTTTTAACTTAAAAAAGTCGTATATTTCACATAAACTTTTTGTTAAGGGAACAACAGAAAATATCAAAGGGGTTTCTTTTCATCCAACAAATAATTCAGTTATAGCACAAAGTAGTGACAATATTATGTGCTTGTGGAAAAAGAAAAATATTTATCCAGAACAGAATAATTTATTAGGTAGTACCTTGGGGAATAAAAAAAATTATGAACATGAAAATAATTTTTGCCAGCAGTACGATTGCACAAAGACACAAAATGATTTTCCTGCATTCCAAGGTGTAGCAAGAGAATATTTTGAATGCATGTATGAAGAAAATATGAACAAGAAATATAAAAATATCGACACACCAACCATTCGTCATATTTATTTTGATAGCTTTGGGAAATATGCTACTATTACACACATTCCAAATAATGGAAGAAATTGTGGCATACTGCTTAAGATTGATAACAATGAACGAATACATAAAAAAAGAATATTTCTTGATGGACATGGAAGTTGCATAAGAGTAGCTAAAATTGGGCAAAAGGTATTTGTTGATTTGAAAAAAAAAAAACTATACAGCTTGTATTGTCAATGTAGTGATAATGGAGTTATATCTTTATGGAAAATTTTTTTAAAAAGGGTGAAGATGTCAAGGCAAGGGAATACAAAAGGGGAAAGAAGTGGGGGAAGAAGAGAGGAAAAAAAAGGGATTGAAAATAGGCAGCTAGCCGAAATGAAAAAAAAATTTTTCGAAAATAGGCAGCTAGCTAAAATGGGAAAAAAAAAAAAAAAAAAAAAAATCAATAAATATGCAAAATGTTTTCTGATTATTCAGAATTTACTAGAAGAACAAACATGCGCTGTAGACCTAAGCTGGTCTGAAAAATTTGATCAACTAGTTATTGGTGCATCCAATGGATCAGTCTATATTATACAAATAAATGCTAATGCATTAAAATTAAAACCATTTTATCAAAATGTGCTTCTTGAAATTAATGAAATTACCGTGAAAATTAATAAAGAATATAATAGAGAAATTTCTGAACAAAATAATGTCAAAATTAAGCAAGTAAAGGACAAAGTAGAAAACAAAAAGCCAAAAAATAGAATAACTCCAAAAATAAAATATTTATATGATGAACATGGAAATATTATAGAAAATTCAAAGTCTCACGAAATAATCCACATTTTGCATTGCACAATTACCCCATTCAACAACTACAGTCACTTTTACAATGAAGATATGAAATGTCTTATTTTTTCCAATTTTGAAAAGAAAAAACAGCACCACCTAAATGACAAGCATAAGTATACCTGTATGAATAATACATTTGATTCTCTTGTGAATGCATTTGTATATGTAACTTTTAAGTCCATCGAATATATATTGAGAAAATTACGTCTATGTGAAATCTCAAGGAGGAGGAACTTTATTCTCCCGTCTACACATCCCCACTCTTGTGATTATCCGAAAAGAAATTCCATCATTCCGAATAGGAGTTCATATTTATTGAATCTAGAATCACCCTTGGAGGATGTTGCATCTAGACAATGCATAGGCAGGAGCTGTGGAAGCCATGCTGGTTATAGTGGAAGCCATGCTGGTTATAGTGGAAGCCATGCTGGTTATAGTGGAAGCCCTGTTTGTGATAGTGGGAGCCCTGTTTGTGATAGTGGGAGCCCTGCTTGTGGTAGTAGTAACACTCATAATAACGATCGAAAGGGGGGAGACGGTCAAGATAGGGATCAAGATGAAGATAAAAATGATGAAGACAAACATGGAAAACATGATGAAGAGGAAGCAGACGAGGAGGAATCGGACGAGGAGGAATCGGACGAGGAGGAATCAAACGGGGAGGAATCAAACGGGGAAGAAGCAAATGAGGAAGAAGCAGATGGAGAGGAAGCAGATGGAGAGGAAGCAGATGGAAAGGAAGCAGATGGAGAGGAAGCAGATGGAAAGGAAGCAGATGGAAAGGAAGCAGATGGAAAGGAAGCAGATGGAAAGGAAGCAGATGGAAAGGAAGCAGATGATGGGGATGAAAACCCTAACCAAAGCAATAGCAGCTGCAACAATAGTCGCCCTAACAATTGTGCAGGCGAAGACCCAACGAAGGATAAGAATAGCAGTATGAGAAGTAGAAAGGGGGATACCATTAATAGCAATAAAAGAAGAAATAGTGAAGGCATAAAAACAAAGAAAAATTATAAAGAAAGAAAATGGAAAAAATCTTCGAAAAGTAGTCAAGAACTCTCCCAATATATAAGCAGCAATGAGAATTTCAATGTTGTAAACGCTGCATGTTTTAGTGATGGCATTGATCAAGGTAATCATAACAGCAACAGCATTAGAAAGAATAACAACAATTATAGTGCGAATGATAACAGTTATAGTAGTAATTATAAGAAGAAGAAAAGTAGCAGTAATGTTGGAAGTAATGTTGGAAGTAATGTTGGCAGCAACATTGGGAGTAAAATTGGAAACAACATTGGGAGTAAAATTGGAAGCAACATTGGGAGTAAAATTGGCAGCAATATTGGGAGTAATAAAGAGCGACGCACCTCCGTCCTGTCCTATGGAGGCAAGGATGGTAGCAGTAAAACAACACTACTGAATTCTCGGAACCCAGATGAATTTTTGGAAGACACAAATAAAAACATTGATGTAAAAATTTTAGATATTATAAGGAATAATTATAATAAAGAAAGTTATGCTAACACATCTATACCCTTTTTGCATGACGATATTTGTCAGCTACCTCGAATTGGGTATCCTGATGAAAATGATTGCTTAAAAAAATTTGAAGAAAGATCGAAGCACTTGATATGGCACGACGAGGGGGATGACGACGATGAAATTCAAGGGAGTATTATGAGTCTAGCAGATATGAAGAATAAAGAAGATGTAAAGAAAAAAAAAACAAAGAAGGCTGATCCTAGTACAAAAAGGGATACAAAGAAAAAAGGAGTCAAGGTAGATGGGGGTAAAAAAGTTACGAAAAAGGACCAAAAGGAAGGAGGCAAGGGGGAGAAAAAAAAAGTCAAAAAGGAGGTAGAAGCAGGGGCAGAAGCAGGGACAAAAGCAGGGATAGAAGCAGGGATAGCTGCAGGGACAGAAGCTGGGATAGAAGCAGGGATAGATGCAGGGACAGAAGCAGGGATAGAAGCTGGGATAGAAGCAGGGGTAGAAGCAGATGTAGAAACAATCGGTGAGCTAAAAATGGAATCAAATGAGGCAGAATCTATTTCATTGGAAAAGTTTCCAAAACATCAGAAGGATGATATCCCATGGGTAAAGTCAACTGAGAAGTCGAAGGGTAGTTTGTCAGAAGTGTCAAGAGAAGGAGAGAATCCTGAAAAGTTCAAAAAAGAGGCAAAAAAAGAGGCAAAAAAGGAGGCAAAAAAGGAGGCAAAAAAAGAGGCAAAAAGGGAAGCAAAAAAGGAGGCAAAAAGGGAAGCAAAAAAGGAGGCAAAAAAGGAGGCAAAAACTGAAGCAAAAAAGAAATCCAAAAAGGGGGAAAAAAACAAAAGCAAAAAGAAAAGTGAAGACAAGGAGAAAGAACAGATAGATAATGACAATTTTGAAAATAAGAAAAATAATCAAGATGATAAACCAAAGGAAGATGTAAAGAGGGATACAAATGAGGACATAAGGAGTAGCGAAAAAAATGAGTTAATAAAGGACCAGATGAAGAACACGAAGAAAGATCCCAGCAAAAAAAAAAAAAAAAAAACTAAAAAACGGAAAAATGGAAACGATTCTGATATGGAATGGGAGAATTTTAACCCACACGCTGAGTTCTCTCATCCGTTTGATTCCCGTGAGAACATGGAAGGAGGAGGAGCACAGCAGATGTCGAAAGGTGTATCTAAAAGAACAAAGGAAGATTTGGATTCAAATAACATAAAAAAAAAAGAAATTCAGAAAAAGAAAAATAAGAGCAATGAATTATACTCATCAAATGATATTATTAATGCCACAGATTTATTGAGATCAAATGAGGCAAAAAATAATTACACAGGTGAGAGTCTAGATGAATGTCCAAATCAGGATCTGACAATTGTTACATATAAACATGCACAAAAACTGGATAAGGAATCATGTTCACATGTGAAGATAGATTATTCAGTTGGAGATGACCAATGTTTAGAGGATAACCAGGATGAAAATGTTACAACATTGTGCAGAAAGAATAACAATACTGCAGAAGATGTTAACGGATACAATGCCAGTTATATTAGCAGCCCCAATGGAGGAGGCCACATTGATAACTCCTATGATGGATATGGAAATACATACAAGAAGAAAAAAAAAAAAATAAAGAATAAGAGAAACTCAGAACATGATGACTTGTTGTATGATTCTAATGAACATCATAAGAGGGAATTTCTTCCATGTAATAAAAAAGGAAAAATGGAAATGGTGATGAAGTCGAACATAATCCAAGATCAGAAAATAATGAATAATGTATTACTTTCAAAGAGACATTTAGAAAACATTCATTATGAGAAAGAAGATACATGGAAATTCAATATGGCAATTTCAGATTCGCTTGACGAAGCAGGGGAAGAGGGAACACACATTGGTAATAGGATGAATCGTTTGAGAGAGACGGACGAAATGGGTTCTGAGGGATTTGAATCAGATGCGTCCAAGGGACATGAAGAGGATAATGAAGCCATGGTGCACTCGGAAGAAAATGAAGATGATGAAGATGATGAAGATGATGAAGATGATGAAGATGATGAAGAAGATGAAGATGATGAAGATGATGAAGCAGATGAAGCAGACGAAGCAGACGAAGCAGACGAAGCAGACGAAGCGATGTATAACCACCGTGAAAGGGAATTCCAAGGGAATGGTGAAAATCCAGTTGTGATGGAGGAAAGTTATTGCTGGAGTGAAATAGAGAACGAGGAAGGTAAGGAAGAACAAATCCTTTACGCTGTAAAGGAAGAGAGATGTTATGATGAGTCAATTGGTGGAAACATGTTAAACATGAAAAACATTCAGAAGAAATATAAATTAAATAAAATGAACAAGAATCGAAAGAAGAGGAGGAAGCATAATATGAATGGCGATGTGCATCAGATTTTCAAGCGTAATAGTAACTCTGTTGGCACTGACTTCCACATTGTGAGAAATAGGGAGAATATGCACACTGTTCATGAAGGGTATAGGGCTAATGATATCTTGAATGGAAGGAACTACAGCAGTGGTGACAACAACCAAAGTAACAGCAGCTGTGATGACAACAACCAAAGCAACAGCAGCTGTGATGACATCAACCAAAGTAACAGCAGTGATAATGAGAGGAACGATTTTACACAGAGAAATGATCGTAGTTGCACAGATAAAGTTCATATTGAGAAATATAAGAATAAAATATTTTTTTTTGACAATCGAAGAAAAAACTGTTGCATCTGTTGCATGTATTGTGGAAGTAGTACTGACGATGCATTTGGAAATAATAATAGTAATAATGCTATGAAAAAAAGAAAATCTTTTTATTTATTGTGGGAAGATGAAGTTGTAGGAAAAATGATTAAACAAAATTTATTCGATAATTATCTTTTCATTATAAGTTTCAAAAATGAAAACTACATGTTGAATATTTTCCACATAGAAAGCAGACTCGTAGTTTATAACTTTCTTCTCCCATTAACAACTGATAAATGTGACATTTGTGTAATAAAATGTATTCACATTGGGATAGATGTATATACATATTTCTACATTCACGATAATAAGAAATGCATATACATATACCAGCTGCTAAATTATTCCAAGGTTTCTTTATTATACCATTTTGTTATTTCTGAATTGGATACAGAAGTGGAAAGCATAAGCATGAGCATCATTGAGAGATTAGATGGTTATAAAAATACACCAGGAGAAAGAAGGAAAAGAAAAAAACGTTTGCGAAAATTTGCCAACTATATTTTAGCGCAACATAGGAAGGATGAAAAGGGAGGTGGCAAAGAGGGAAATACAAAAAATGGGATCACTTCAAACGGTAGATGTAAAAATGGGATCACCTCAAATGGTAGATGGAAAAATGAAAAAAGATTGAAAGGCCTGCCAAAGGAAAGGAATGAAGAAAGGAAAAAAGAAAAAGATGTTAAAAAATTTATAAAAAATATTGTATTTTATGATAAATATGGTGAGGACAAAAATGATGGAAAATACCCATATTACAACCTTCCTGATGGTGAAGAAACCATGGAAGAGACCGTGGAAGAGGACGTGGAAGAGGACAGTCGCAAGAGGGGAAACCGGATGCAACCTCGCATGAAAGGGAAAAATGGAAAACAAGGTAAAGATTACAGGAAAAATAATGCAACACTTTGCAAATGGACAAATCAGGAAGAGAAAGAAAATCCAATAAGCATATGTGATATTGTGAATGTTATTAATAGTGACAACAGGGATAATATCCTAGCCAAAAGTATTACAAACGACTTGTTCAATAAACATAGTTTTGATATTTACAGAAGTAGTGAGAATAATGAGAGTGTGAAATATTCCTTAGAAGAGATGCACTGTAATGAAGAAATGGACACTGCAGAGAAGAGAAGGAAGAAGAGGAAGAAGCATTTTCCCGTAAGCACGAAATGTAGAAATGAAATGTCAATTTCATCATTGCCATTTCATTTTAACGGATTCGACATTTTGACTCGTTATCCAACTCATTCGATAGGAGATGGATCACTAATATATACAAAAAATAGAATGAAATCAATGATGCACACGTCTCAAAAGAAAAATAAAATAGATCAAGTTATTTGTAGTAATATATATGGTAATGATTTACTATATGATTTTATATACAGAAAAAGGGACTTTTTTTCATACAGTTATATGTGTATTTATATTTTTCTTAAGAATGGTATGATATTTTTGGTGAGGAGAAATTTAATGACCAATTCTGATCAAGGCGAGAAAAGGAAGTACATACAGGAAAAGAATCTCAGCACCCATTCAAGCATGATGTGCCCATTTGTATTTTCTTTAACTGAACATTTAAGTGAATATAATGGTCTAACCCTAGTATCTCGCATAGACAACATATATTACAGCAAATCCATCACCTGTGATGTGCATATAGAGGATGAGAACGAGCAATGCAGTACCCATAGGTTCCAAGATATTCGTAATACTCGCGATAGTCGCGACATGCACAGCCCCAACGTAATCCTCAGCAGAAATGTAAAAAGGTTTTCTGTCAAAAATGAACAAAATAGTATGAACACGTGTGATAATTTACACATAATTCAAAAAAAAGGGTTGAAAAACTTATATGCATTCAGAAACTTTTTCAACATTTATGATTTTGACGTAAAGCAGCTACTAACCAATGATAATACATTTCAAGAGATCATCCAACGGAAGAACATGAACGAGGAGAAGAAGAAGAAGAAGGAGACGAAGAAGGAGACGAAGAAGAAGGAGAAAAAGAAGAAAGAGACGAAGAAGGAGAAGATAATGAAGATGAAAGAAAAAATAAAAAAAAAAAAATTAAGGGAAAAAGGTGCGAAAGGAGGAGAACTGCATGGAATGCATTATGCAGATGCACGTAATGGAATCGGAACCCCCAAAACAAAATTTGGACTTTTCCCAAATAGAAATCTAACACACAAAAGACACTCCATTTTGAAGAGAAAAAATTGTCTTGTGAAACATAATGTACCAAAGAAAAGTATGATGAAAAAACATCTACACATACTGAGACGGAAAGAAAGATTAATGGGATCCAAGTTGATAAGTTCCAAAGTGGCACAAGGAGGAAGTGGAGGAGGAGAGATAAGTGGTAAATCCCAGCTTGACAAAAGGAATAGTGTCCATACTAATACCAATCTCTTTACAAATGACAATCCCAAGAAGGTGTACAATGAAGATTTTTCCTATAATCTGATAGAATTCCCAGATGAAAAAATTAGAGAATTGGAGTTGCATAACAGACATAGTTTCATGAGGAAAAATGTAAATGCTTATGTAAAGACCATAAAATTTTTGGAGACACAAATGAAATATAGCATTTTAATTATGAACAGAAATGTATTTTTAAAATATCTCTATACATATTTTAAACTTTTATTAGAATATCAAGATATTCAACGAATTCAACAAATCTTTCAATATTTTATGTACACAACTTTACATCATTCACAGATGTACCTGTCAGATTTTCATATCTTCCATGAAAACATAAATAAGCCATACTGGATCGACACCAATGCCTTATTATGCATGAATTTGCATTTTCTCTTTATAGTTCTTTTTTTGTATCACAATTTTTTACTCCCCATATATAAAATGGTTCAGAATAAGGATGAGCAGGAAAATCCATGCTTTCAACCATTTTTAGATTTTTTCAAAGAATCACAAAACTGTATCTTGCATATTCAGAGAATATTTAGGTACAATTTTCGACATATGGCATATTCTTGAAAGTTCAACTGACGTCAAAAAAAAAAAAAAAAAAAAAAAAGCAAGAGGAAGAGGAAACGAGGTTGCAATTGGGGCCAAATTTGTCGTCTACATCAGACCCCATGCTCTGGTACAGGCAGAGACAGACAAAGACTCACAGACACGATGTGCTTCCCCCTTTTTTTTTTTTTTCTTTCAACCCAGCATCCACCACTTTGAGTTATACACAGACATGTATGTATGTATGTATATATGCACATATATGTATACTTGTATTTTATTTTATTTTTTTTTTGTAATATCAGCGTTGATGTATGTTATTTCTTCTTTATAAAAAGTGTGAGGAAAAGCATTCCTTTATTTATAGTTTTTTTTTTTTTTTTTTTTTTTTTTTTTTAAACCGTTGCCCGTTTTTTCATCTCCTCAACGTATATAAGCAACATTTTTAAACCGTTGCCCAGTTTTTGCATCACCTCAACGTATATAAGCAACATAAATATATGAACGTACACACACACACAAAAAAAAAAAAAAAAAAAAAAAAAAAAAATAAAAAAAAAAAAAAAAAAAAAAAAAAAAAAAAAAAAAAGATGAATTAAATAAAAAATTTTTTGCAGAAGTGCAAAAAAAAAAAAAAAAAGGAAGACACACATATATAATATATGTATGACAATTTGCATTTCACAAATATTCAATGTCAACCTTATCATTATTACTTAGAATGTCATTTTCTGATGGAACTTTTTGTGTAAATGGATCATCATTAATCGACACTTTATACAACTCTAGTTTCTTTAAAAAGTTCGAGTGTATTTTCTGGACTTTCTCCGTATCAAGCATTAGTTCTTTGTGCTCATCCGGGGTCTTTTCCCAGATGTGAGGGTTCAGATATTCAAGTCCTATACAGCAGTGAGAAGCGGTAAGAAAAAAAAAAAAAAAAAAAAAAAAAAGTGATGTGAATTCAATCAATAACTAAAAGTACCGTGAGAACAATCGTCGAATGGAAAAACTCACAATTACACGCATCCGTTTGTGAATCTGCAAAAATTGTCATGTTGTTACGTTATGCCACTGGAGATATGGTGTAGTGATGTGTAGTGATGATGTATCCACGTAATGATGCAAGCATACTCTCTTAATCTGACACTACCACATTGGCATGTCCCTCACCTGGGGGAGGTTTGTAGTCCGGATATCCTGCCGATGTAGGGAGTTGGTTATGGGGAGAGGTGAACCTCCTTTCGAAGGAGGTATACTCATCTGTGTATTCTTTTATCGTACGTTCTGTTGGCTGATTAACTGTTATATCGTCAGTTGTTACACAACTGCCCTGTCGTAGTTTTTCCAAAGCTATCTCCATATTAATAAGTGCTCTTTTCATGATATGATTATCTACTTTTTTGTTCCATGAGAAAGTTTTGTCAATTCCAGTACCAAACATTAAAGCATTGTTTTGTTTATCATAAAATAATATTTTCGAATGTTCTTTTTTCAACCATATGCCTTTTAAAAATCTTGGTTGATAATTCTGTCTCTTAAGAAAATCATCTTGGGTAGCCAATGAATTGTTAAAAATGGTAAAGTCATAATTTTTTTCATCTTTAATTGCATAAGGTTCTTCAATAAATTCACCAGGGGGCAATGATATGTATACAAAATTGGACAAATAATCTTTAAAAAATATATGATCAAAGAATTGTAACGTGTTATCTATTAGTATAACATTTTTTTTTTTATGAATATTAGGATCTCTCATATCTTCATTTAAAACATCATATATATCATGAGACCAACTGCTGATACCTTTGTTTATTTCATTCCTTTTCTCTTCTGCTTTGATGTATGCAATTTTATTTCTTTGAACATTGCAGATATATTCTATGTAATCATTGTTGTAATCTACTATTTTTATTTTGTATTTTTTCATATTTTTCTTTCTATTTTCTTTATGTTTTAAAAGAATGGAACGAGGTGTGGTGGTATTTAATTCTGCTACCGTTACTCCGTTGCCTCCACATTTAGAATTTGTTTCTGCCAAGTTCTCTGGTTTAAATTCCTCCTTCGAAGGGGTCATCATCACATCACGAATGTCATTTTGTCTATCCCATTCTTCATACTCAACCTCCTGGTTTGTATATTTCAACTTAATGAAAGTGTCTAAAATGTCAAAATTTACTTTTTCATAATTTTCAAGTTTTTTCTCAGAGAGACTTTTATTTCCCATATATTCTGGTTTATCTTCTAGGGAGTAATTAGGGTTCAAATTCGAATCTAACTCATATTTGTAGTCCAAATTGGACTTCATTTTTGGTACGTACCCATCCGAATATTTTGCATGTGGAACCACTTCACGTACTTCGCAAAAAAAAATGCTATCGTAAAAACAGCACCTCATATAAGGATCTTTTTCTAGAAATTCACGAGCTTCTTCTTCATCTTTGCAATTGGCTATATTTAATTCTGCCAAGCATTTATCATTGTACTTTTCAAAATATTTGTCCGTTTCTATGTCATGAGCATCATCACTTGTAGCAGTACTCTCTTCCACATTATTAACATCCTGCTCTTCATTGGAGGTACCCTCGTCTATGTTCTCCTCCCCATAGTGCACCTTTCGTATTTCACAATCTGATCCAACCTCCACATCACTACATCGATCGAACATTCTCATCTCCTTGTCGAATTTGGAAAGGATGCTCTTAGTCTGATCTTCCGTTATTGGTAAATATTGGTTGGTAGTCAAAAAAAAATCCTTCAAACTATCTTTGGATGCTTTTTTCAAAACTCCCAATTTGAAAATCATATTCGATCTTACATAAAAGCGCATGTGTTTTTCATACAAGCCATTAATATCATTCAATTTATGCTTGTTGAAAAATTTGATAAATAGGTAATTTTTTTGCAAAAATAAATTGGGAAAAACTCCTATTAAAAAGTGATCATTATTACTTTCGTATGCATATAAATATAACTCTTCACATAAACCTAGTTTTACATACGGGTTGGACTTCATAAACATATCTGCATAATGTAAGTTTACTGAAGTAAAAAATAGCAAATTTCCAAATATATTGTCGTTTCTTTTTAAATTAAATAACATGAGTATTTTTGATGTATTTTGATATATTCTTGTGGACAATTTTACCCAAGATAAAAATTCCAAAACATATTTGTGACGTATATTTTTATTAAACATGTCATAAATTTTTTTATCCTCTTCATTCTCGTAATTATATTTTTTATCAAAAAATAGACATACGTATACTTTCCAATTAACTGGGACAGATGGATATTGTAAGTCTTCTTCTCTTATATTTCTTTCCAGATTTTCAATTTTATTGGCTTTGTAAACTCTTTTAAATTTTGTAAATGATCCATTATTATTATCATCATTATCATCATAATATATAGGTAAATGTTGATAATATTTATGTACATGTTCAGACTGAAAATCTTTATCTGTAAACCTTCTTCCGTAAGCGTAATATTTTTTTCTCTTTGTTTCTTCACTTAAGTCATCTTTATCAAATTTGATATCATCAGAATTATAGTCGTCTTCACTGCAATCTATCATTGAATCAAAGTAATTGTCTTTAATATCATTTTCTATACACCCACTTAAGCTTTCATGTAATTCTGGGTCTAATGGTTCCATTTTTTCATTTTCATCTTCGTTAAAAAGGAAATTTCTTTTATCTCTTTTTACCTGACCATGCATATTTTTACTAATAGAACTAGCTAAATTATGCCCAATAAAAAAGTTTTTTTTTTTTTTTTTTTTTTTTTTTTTCCCTAATTTAACTAGTAAGCTAGCTATTTTGTCTTTATCAAATTGATAACGAAAATGTTCCCTTTGTTTTATCCCACCACTTTGTCCGTTTTTTTCATAGAAACCAATATTGTGATTATTCTTTATTATTTCATAATCATTTTTCCTTAAGAAAGGGAACCCTGTGTTTCTTCTCCTTCGAACAGAGTAGTTGTAGCTGTTTTTTTCATTTAAATGGTTAAGCAGGTGATGTTCTCCCTTTTGATACACACCTACCATGTAAATCTCCATTTTCCAACTTTTTAAAAAAGCAAAGATCAGGAGGTATACGCACAACTTAGACATGTTCTTGCATTTTTGTCACTAAGGATAAGGGAAGACGAAGAAAATGGGGGACCTGTAATGAAAAGAGAAAAGAGGGGACTGATATATACCCATTCCTATTCACGTTAGTAGTGTTGTAAGTTTTTTTTCTCCTTTTCTCTGTTCCCACTTTTTGAAATGTTCCCTTCTATGGCATTTTAGCAAAAAAAAAAAAAAAAAAATTATATCAGATTGGGTTGTGCTAATGTGTATCAATTTTTCTTTTATTTTTCCATTTCTGTATTTTTCCATTTTTTTTTTTTTTTTTTTTTTTTTTTTTTTTTTTTTTTTTTTTTTTTTTTTTTTTTTTTTTTTTTTTTTTTGTCTCTCCCTAGGTCCATAAGCTTATACTCGCTTTTTACTTTTCTCCCATTGGCCAAACTTTCTTCCTATATCCCTCTGGACCCTAAACAATTTTACATTTCTCAAAAAAAGCGGAAGTGCGAGTTCCCATTAAACGTTTCGGAAGAATATGCAAACAATTTTGTTACACCTCGTGTAGGGCAATCTTACGGAAACGCATAATTTTTCAATCTCCTGCATGGAGAATATTTACGTGTATATATATATAACTCCATCTGACTAAAATTGCCTATGCTCCATTTACTAAATGAAAAGGGATACATGATATGCCCAAACGTATCATTCGTGAGAAAATGGCCAAGCAGAAAAAAAAGAAAAAGAAATACAGTATTCGAATTGGTACATATATATATAAGTGCATAGATATAGGTGTGAAAAAACCAAGTCTTCTCTTAAAAAGTACACTCATGAGAACGTAGATAAAAAAAAAAAAGAAAAAAAAAATTACGCCATTATACAAAAAAAATCATGAGATACATTTATTGCGAGCAATTTAACTTATTATACAAAATGTGATTCACACTGTTCGTTACATGATTTTTCAGTCAAACTAACATTAGGCTTTTTTTTTTTTTTTTTTTTTTTTTTTTTTTTTTTTTTTTTTTTTTTTTACATGGAAACAATTTTTTCACCAGATTCTCGTTTATTTATACTTATTTTTTTATATATTGCTATCTACACCTTGTGCTATGGATGTTGCATTGGAGATTTCCTTAGCACATTCGGGCATTTTTCATTTAGAGAAATTCATAAATATTCCATGTAAAAACATTTATGCCATCCATAAAAAGATCATACATGCAACTATACCCATTCTTCAAAAAGGAGTAGAAAAAAAAAAAAAAATAAGATAAAATAACCCAGACGATGAAAATTGTGGGTAACCGCAATGGGCGAATGAAATCTCTCAACATATCTGTAACCAAACAAAAGAAGATACTTAGAACGACACTACACCAGAAATATCCACCCCCATCAATTTCCCCTTTCATCACAAAGTATTCTTGGAGATAAATTCATCGAATAATTCGTCTAAAAATTCCTCGAACAATTCCTCGAACAGTTCCTCGAATATGTGTAGCCCGTTTTCATGAAGTGATCCAAAAAGAAAAACAAACGTTTATAATGTTATACACATTTGGGTAAATACACATAATCATTTTAGGAAACGTGCTACTCGGTATGAAAAACGACTTTTTAATCTCCTTCAACCATTCACCTTATGTTTGTGAAAAATTATCCCCTTCCTCGAGGAACTACACGGATATTCGATATTTTCTACGTACTATTCGTATGTGAGCACATGTGTTAGTTTTTCCATTTTTAGGTTAATAATTTTTTTTTTTTTTCCTTTTTTTAATTACATAAAAAAAAAAAAAAAAAATTGAAACTATATGTTAAAAAAAGAAAAATTCGACATAAGACTGTTTTCACATTTAGCCTTACCAAAATTTACAACAAAATGGGTGAGAAAAATTTCACACACCCATTTTTGATTTTTTTTTCTTTTTTTCAATAAACATTCAGGTTATAAATGAATTGTATTTTGCCATTACATATTTCTATCTTCTTCTTTTTATTATTATTTTTTTTTTTTTTTCTTTTATCGCTAAGTTAATAGAAAAGTTGAAAGGAGAGACTCTGACATTATCGCAAAATAAAACATGAAAAATGTATACACCCATTGCAATAGATATTATAATGTCGATTATCCCGCCTAATCATTGCATTGTTAATTCTTAGTATGAATAAAATTTGATTCGAAAAAGGGAATTTTGAGGAAAATAAATTATTGAACAAAACATAAAAATATTTTGGCTAGCTCAGAAAAAAAAAAAAAAAAATGTACATGTATATATATATATATATACGCACATATATCGAGCAGGGACAGCTATTTACCTGAACGGATAAATTATGAAATGGATGCGTTCGACCATTAACATTTGGCCATAGGGGAATGCAACACACGTACACACATGCACATGTATATATGCATACATATATACAATATAAATACATGCATAAATAAATGAATACATAAGAAAACATAGGTTGTGTACATGTACAAACCGCCTTTCATTTATTGTCATCAACATTTGGATGAAGGGTTGAAAGGACGGCAGACATATTACCTTCAATAAGAAGAGAAAGAAACGGAGGTGTGCATTTATTTTTAATTTCTTGTTTTTAAACCTTTAACAACGTTTCCGTTTCAGTACTAAGCTAACCACAGGGGTTCGCAAAAAAAAAAAAAAATAATAAAAATATAGTAAAATAAAACGAAAATAAAAAATACAGCAAAATAAAACGAAAATAAAAAATACAGCAAAATAAAACGAAATAAAAAATACAGCAAAATAAAACGAAATAAAATAAGAATAAAATAAAAATCTTTGTGCTACATGTGCGTATTGCTACATCCTTAGTGTTCCAGGGAAATATTTTTATTACACACGCTTAGTTTGTGTAACGATTATATCTTCACGGGTGCAAAGATAGGTCTCATTTTCTCTGGTCGCAAAAGATATTTAGCTCATTGCGGTGCACAACAAGTGTGTAAAGTGGATCTATGCATTTAACACTCGCCTTTGCATGCAAATAAGAAATTGGAAATAGCACATGTCACATAAAACATACACATCATATAAAGACACTTCTCTTGTTGCTCAATTCTCGCCCCACGTTGGTGACATGAATTTGTTAGACGAGTGAATGAACATTGGGGAATAAGAAAATTGTACTAGGTGCATTACACAAATTTAACTATTCTATTACACAAGGATCATATTTTCCTAGATATATATAAAAAATGCTTGATCAATTTTTGTAAAATCAAAACAAAGAATAATAATAATATAATAATAATAACAGTAGTGAGTGGAAGGATGAGGGTGAACAAAATCTGTATGGAATCCCGATTTCTTCTGTTTTTTTTTTCTGATCAAACATTCTTATAGAACAATTGAGAAATGCTCACGGGGTAGAACTAACTGAAAAGAGCTGAAAGTTTTGGAATACGGATAATAACGTAATGCACATTTGGTAATTCGTCAATTTAGCAAATTAGAAATTTGGAAACTGAGCAATTCAGTAAATTAGCAAATTAGAAATTTGGAAACTGAGCAATTCAGCAAATTAGCAAATTAGAAATTTGGAAACTGAGCAATTCAGCAAATTAGCAAATTAGAAATTTGGAAATTGAGCATTTTGGAAAATTGACGAATGGAAAATAGTAATTTTGTATTTTTCTCCTCTCACGTTTCTCCTTATCGGAAATTATTATTTTTTTTCTTTTGCATATTTTTCTGCCAATTTTACACATTGCAAAAATATACACACCTAATAAACAACAAAGTTATCCACTATTCATAAACTTTTCCATCCTGGCCAAATCTTTCTTCTGGGGTAACCATTTAAGCTTGATAATCTTTCTTTGAACTGTCAAGTTATCATTTTTTTTTATCATTAGTGTTATATTTTTTTTTTCTTTTTTTTTTTTTTTTTTCTTTCTAATTTTTAAATTCAACACAGGTACAGTAGTAAATTCATAATTTGATTTTTCGCATGTAATCTCAAAAAGGTAATTCTTTTTCCCACTTCTCCACCTCACAAAAAAAAAAAAAAAAAAAAAAAAAAAATGAAAAACAATAATATGAACAAAATTTCCCCTGTGTGTAATTTTTTTTTTATTTTTTATAACCTGTTTTTTTTTTTTTTTTTTTTTTTTGCATGCACATTTTAAATGAACATATATTTTTTTTGTTTTTTTTCGATTGTTTTAGCTATCTGTTGCATAGAAAAATTCGGAAAAGTGTATAAAAAAAAACTATAAAGGGGAAAAAAAACTGAACAAGTCTGACTGTGCAGGTGTATTTTTTCCCACCTTGCCGCCTTTTGTTATCTGTATGAAATAATTACATTATCATTATTTCTATTGTATTATTATTATTACTACCGTTGCTACTATTGTCACTATTTCTATCACTATTGTTATTATTTATTTTAAATGAGTTCGTGAAATTTTAATTCTTAACACATTTGCATTATCATACATACAATAGTAACATTTCTATCCTGTATTTGTGAACCTTTTAACTTTTGACAAATGTGCAATCAGACCAATTCTGAGAAGAAAAAAAAAAAAAAGAAAAAAAAAGCTTTATTTATTTATTTATTTTTTTTTTTTTTTTTTACTCCCATTTTACCACCTTTTTTAGGACACCAAAATACTCACTGTAGTCTTCTCCAAAACATATATATATATATTATATACATTTCTAAACAGACAAAGATGAGAATGAATATAATATTTTTCTCCTTTGTTGCGTTCCTGTTGAAGGGACATATTGCAAAGGTTGATGAAAAGAAGAGTTTTTCTAAATTGTTTGATCCAGATTTGGTTAATAATTACGAGAAGTTATTTAAAGTTATAAAATGTCAATACTGCTTGAAACAGAAGAAGGGTGCGGAAAGTGAGAAGTGCAGTAAAATAATAGAAGAGTGTAAAAATTTATTAAAGGATGGTGAATATGATACAGTATTAAAAGATTTAATGAATGACGTTAAGGTGGATAATAATGAAAAGGTTTATGGGCCTAATACAGATGAATTAAAAAAAATTGTAAACTTTTTAGAGACACATATGAAAGAAGTGGATGTTTTAAAAGGTATAATTGATGATATAAAAGAAAACAAAGATGTAGTATTAGTTAATGGAGGTAACAATCCAACAATGCACAAGTTAAATGCAAAAATGAAATCTTTAAAAAATAGTGTTCAATATATACAGAACAGTCACGACACAATAAATGAACAATTAAGCAAGAGCGAAGATGAAACAAATGATAATATGATACCTGATATGTTTCAATTAATAGGAAATGGAAATAAAGACACAAATGAGAATATTCAATTAGGAAATACATGTGACAAAGAAGATGCACAAAAAAACGAATTAATAGACATAGGAATTGACGAATTTGTAAAAAATAGTATGAAAGATTTGTTTAAAGATGGTGAAGGATTTATGGATGTTGTGAAATCTGCTTTAATACAAGATGCTGGAGGACTTGGTGGAGAATTAGCTAGTCTCATAGAAAAGGGAAAAGAAATCGGAGACAAAATTGCAGATATTGAAGGACATATAGATGATAAAAAAGGAAAAGAGACAACAGAAACCTTAACTGTTGAGAAACTAGATCATTTTAAAACAGAATTGTCTTCATATGAATATTTATTAATCACTCTTAAAGGTATTGCTTTGAGTAAGCTTAAAAGCATTCTCATAAAATTGTTATACAAAGCATATATAGTTTATCGTGCAAAGAAAGCAAAAGAATTTGGGGAAAACCCACCAACTATTGTTGCTGAAGAGCACTATCTTAGTGAATTGAAAAAAGGAGTTTTAGAATTAGGTATGAAAATTCTCTTTAATAAACTAAAAACTTTATTATCAATTGTTAAAAAGAAGATCTATAAGAAAATTGAAAAAAGAAAAAATGCAAAAAAAGAGAAAAATGTGAAAGCAGAGGATGAAACAATCATTGCAAATACTCTGAATGGAGAATCAGATGAACTTACATCTCCCATGCTAAGAGGTTCTATTCCTGCTGAAGATATTAGTTTAATGAGTAGTATTGACAGCTTGCTTGAAGAAATTGATTTCTATGAAAAGGAGATGTATGACAACCCAGAATCCGCTGAACCATTGCACGGGGAGCAAAAGAACGAAGAGGCACCAATTCAAGGAATGGACGATCAGCCAACGGAGGATGAGACACAGACGGAGGAAATACAGACGGAGGAGATACAGACGGAGGAACTACCCAAGGAAGAAGCACCCGCTGTAATAGAAGAAACAGAATCAACAAAAGAAACAGAAGCTGAAACTGGGGAAGACTCAAATGTTCCAAACGTAGACGAATCTGAAGGAGTTACAAAACAGGATGGTACCGAGGTGGTAGAACAAGGAGTTGAGCAAGTCACAGATGAGAAAAATGACGGAATTCCAGGGGAAAATGTCGTAACAGATGTCACAGAACAAGCTGTCGAAATGGAGAAAGTTGTTGAACAGGTTGTTCAAGATGCTGAGAAAGTAGTACAAGATATAGCTAATGTTGTTGAAGAAGTTGCAGAAGTAGTGAAAGAAGCATCCCAAATTGATGGCGAAGTTTCAATCGGAGAGGGTGTGGCACAGGCAGTTGAAACGGTTACAGATGTAGTGAATGAAGCAACACAAATGAGTGACGAAGGCCCAAACGTAGAAGAAAAACCCCAAGAGTAGTATATACTACCCCTCTGAAACGGAATCATCAGAATGGGAACTTTTCTGAATGGGAACTTTTTTCTGAATGGAAAAAATTACGACACAGTGTTGTGTGAGTTTTTTTTGAGTGCCACACGTTTGTATTTTCGATAAAATAGATTCTCGAATACGTGTTGTGTGGTGCGACTGCATGGTTTCTATGAACATGCTTCTACGTGTGAGTCTGTAAGTGCTCGTGTGTCTCTATCTGTATCTGTATCTGTGTCTGTGTCTGTGTGTTTACATGATTGTTCGCTTTTGTCTGTACATAGTGGCGCTCATTGATCTCTCATTACGCACACACGCCGGTCCCCTTTTTTTCATTCGATTACTCCGTTAGACTTTTATTTTTAGTATTTCTACTTAGGGTCATTTAAGTTTTATACACATATATATGTATATGTATATGTGCATATTTGTTTTAAGTCTAACTTTTTCTCCTAACAGTTGCAACTACAGCTGCTGTAGCTGCAGTTACGTTTTGGTTTTAAGATTTATGGTAATTTTTTTTTTAGTTTTTAAAATTTTGAACTTGGCGCATATTTTAACAAAAAAAAAAAAAAAAAAAAAAAAATTAAAACTGAACAAAAATGTTAACACATCTTTTTTGTATAACACTGGATGTGCGTTTTTTTTTTTTTTTTTTTTTTTCCATACGGATGATGCTGAAAAAAGTGTGTACTTACGCATGCTACTTGTATATCTATGTACATGCATATTTATATGAATTCTTGTACGCACAGTGGTGTACGTGTCCAGAGGTTTCATACAGTGAGGACTATCTAGAGTAAGTTTGTGTCTATTACTTTTGATGCTCCTGCACTTTGGGGAGATTCTTTTCTTCTGTTTATCTATGGTCCCCGTTGAATGATAGAATTTTTTAAATAATCTTTGACATATACAAATTTTTTGTCTACGTCCGTTTGAATATTTCCACTAGGGTTTGAAAGAACCAATTGAGGAGTGTACTTTGGTATTAGAGGAGAAAGTGTACTATGGATTTTTAAGGGCGTAAGAAAATGTTCAGAAAGATCAGAAGATCTATAAGGGCCAAAAGAAAATCTTTTACATTTTCTAATGGTTAAATTGTATTTAGAAAATAAGATATCCAAATGTGTGTGTGATTTTTCTACATATGTAAATTTGAGCCATTTTGGTAGTAATGAAGATTGTTTGATGACATGTACACTTAATGGTTCTATATGAAAATTTTCAATAAAGCATCCTTTTTTTATTAGTTTAATTTTTTCCTCTGTAAGTTCTTCTTGCACTTTTATTATATAAGTTGTCAAAATATTATTATTTACATCTTTTAAACTTTTTGCAAAATCTCCATCATTTGTAAGTAACACAAGTCCTTCGTTTGATGTACTTAGACTATTTACTACAATCAAATGTTTTGGTAATTCATTGGAGACTTTATTTTTTGTTTCATATGCTTTGTTTTTCTTCTGTATGAAATCAAATATATTCATGTTAAGTTTTGAATGGATTATTTCCTTGGTCACTTCCGGTCGTAGTACACTCACCACTTCATTACTTTGATCAGATTTCTTTATTTCATAATGTTCTTTTTTTTTTTTTTTTTTAAAATACTGTTTCTTAAGATCACTTTCTATATTAATCTCTTTCCTTTCTCCCAAAAAAAAAATATTCTTGTCACTATGTCTAAATGTAACTTCATTGTTGTATTTTTCCATTTGAAACATTCTTTTCTCCAATCTTAATTCGTGTTTATTATTTTGAGAATTTTCTTTTTCTTCTTCATATTGATAATTCCAATCTGAGCTACAAAACACATGTCTTGGTTTGTAAATTCCCCAAAGTTTTGTTGTAATATCCACGTGGATCCGTTTCCCATCTATTTCTATTGTAGAGTTTATGTCTATGCTTACATTTTGATTTACTGCTTGGTTGTTTACCTGGTAACCAGTGCGATGAAAAAAGTAGAGAAACAAAATGAGAAGAAGAGAAAAGAAATGAAAAGAAGAGAAAAGAAATGAAAAGAAGAGAAAAGAAATGAAAAGAAGAGAAAAGAAATGAAAAGGCAAAAAAAGAAATGAAAAGACGAGAAAAGAAATGAAAAGACGAGAAAAGAAATGAAAAGACGAGAAAAGAAATGAAAAGACGAGAAAAGAAATGAGAAGAAGAGAAACAAAATGAAACTCCTTGCAATACCTTTACTTTTCCACTTTTTATCAACTCCTGTGCCTTGCTCCTCGATGTAACAGATGACAGAGACAGAATCTTAGAGAGTCTGAGAAATATGCTGCGAGAATGAAGAGATAAAAAAAAAATCTTGGCGATGAAACAGTGCACATATTATTAGGGAAAGGGTGGAGGGAGAAGTGAATGACCGACCTCTGAAATCTTTTTTTTTTTTTTTTTTTTACGGCCTTATAAAATATGCAGAATTTTGTTTTCACTCTTCCTATAATGGAAAAATCGTATGACTCCTTTTTTTTTTTTTTTTTTTTTATACCTCTTTTTCAGTTGAACAGAGGGGAACATGATTGTTCACATTTTTGATACAAGATAGTGTAGAGGAAAATATGACTCTTTTATTTAAAAGCCAAATGTTCGTTTTTTTTTTTTTTTTTTTTTTTTTATCATTTTAAAATAGCCTCGATGATAACATTTGAGGTGTGTGCGTTTTCATTTTTATGGGGCTTAAAGATTCAGGATTTGAAAATGTATCATGGGGTTTTCGAAAACAAAACGGCGGGAGAGAGAGAGAGAGAGAGAGAGAGGGAGAGAGAAAGAAAGAAAAAAAAAAAAAAAAAAAAAAAAGCAACCTAAATTGGGTGAATTATGGGTATAATATGATGATGTACGAGAATATGCACTCGTAACATTATGTGCTAATAATATAAGTAAATTGATGTATGAAAAATATTATAATTATAACACATGCACGGCTGGGAAGAATAAATTGCAAGTATGCAACGAGTGCTGCTTTGCAATCGGGTATCCTTTCTACGAACGTTGTTTCTGTTTCTGTTTCTGCTTCTGTTTCTGTTTCTGCTTCTGTTTCTGTTTCTGCTTCTGCTTCTGCTTCTGTTTCTGCTTCTGCTTCTGTTTCTGCTTCTGCTTCTGCTTCTTCTGTTTTTTTTTTTTTTTTTTTTTGTTGCACACTTGCCACAAAGGGAGAGGAGAAAAAATGGGTAACATACTCCATTTTAATCTTTAAAAAAAGTAAATATTTTCATCTATATATATATGGATGTATATCCAAACATTGTATATAAGTATACTACAGAAGGGCCACGTTTTGCTGCTTTAAGAGGATACCGGAAAAAGCCTTTGGAGGTTTGCTTATTCTGGAGCCCTCCTCTACCTGCAGTACAGTTTATAAATAGGAAGAACACACGTTTTCTTCTTCTTCTTCTTCTTCTTCTTCTCCATTTTCCACTCCGATCAGTGCTCAAGTCCTCCCTTTTAGGAGATTTCCATAACCCAAGTAAAAAACATCACTTTGTTAATGATGTCACAATTACTTGTTATGGTTCTTCCACATACATTTCCTCCGATTCGATACTATTCCTTACACTATATACTGCACGTTTTTTTTTTTTTTTCCCCTCTCTAGTATTCTAGAGACGCTTATATAATACATACACACTTCACCTTCATATAGAGTGTGAAGTATACATGAATTGCAATGCAAAAACCAAGTCACAGTAGAAGCATTTTTTGCTGGATCATTTTTTTTTTTTTCTTTTTCACCCTCTCCTACACCCCAAAAATGAGATATGATACCACATCTGAAAAAGAACACATAACATTTGTCAACAACAGACATCTCACATGGAAACTTTTTAAGCATTCAACTTTCTCCAACAGAGAATGTGGTAATTTTGTGAAGAGTTTCTCCTCTTATATCACACTCTTTTTTTATATGTACATGTAGTGTAAGCATGTGCATACATAGAGAATGGCCACTCTATATCTCGGTCGTAGTCTCTATCTCTATCCGAGTCCCTATCTCCGTCTATCTATCATTTATGTTGTTCCTTTTTTTTTTTTTCTTCTCCCCGAGAATCGTCGCGCTCTTTCCTCTACGTTCCTAATATATAAGTCTTCATTGATCCAATTATTTTTATGCATGATACATTCTTCTTCTTTCTCCAATGTGATATTAAACTTGTCTTTATACATAAGAAATAAGTAGTAATAGTATTTTTTAACATTACTTATCCTATCTTGATAAGAAATTTTTTTTCTTTTTTTTTTTTCTTTTTTTTTTTTTGCATAAGAAGAGATCATTTTACAACTGTTTTGCTTGATTAAGTATGAGCATACATAAATATTAAATAAGCTTTGAATATATTTTGTGCATATCATATCCCATAATTTGGACCTACTTACATGAGTGGCGTTCTTCATTATAATTCTACAATCCTCACCTTTATTTTGTTCGTACCCTTTATTCATACATTGCAATTTTCCTCTTTTGTACTCATCGTGTGTGTATAAATCAGAGTTATCATTGAATATGAATAGAGTTTCATTAAACATTGGATCCTCATTTTGGTGATTTTCGACCTCATGCAAAGGGTTGTTGTTGTCATCTATGCACATCTGATTGTCTTCTTCTTCTTTTTCTTCTTCTTTTTCAGTTGCCTTTTCCCTTTCGATGTATTCAATAGAAGAGGTATCATTCCTTTCATTACAACCATTCACTAACAAATTGCATTCAAAGCTTCTAGTCTCCTCTGGTGAATACCAATTTGAGACAAGTCTCCTCTTCATGACACTCATATTAAAGACATCTTTTTCCATGTGCTTTCCAATTATACTTCCAAAATTGTTTGTATGTGAAGTTAAATATGTGTTAATCATTTTTTGGAAATGTACAAAAGATGACAACGTGATTTCCCTTCGTTTAATATACAAGGGTCTTCGATCAAATGCAAAAGAATTAATAGATTCACATAAATAAATCTGCAATTTTTTATTTCTCATATGACTTTTATTGTACTTATTATATACACATTTCTCATTACATATACTATCTTTCTTATTAACAATGTTAATAATTTTCTCTACAACCATATTAATGTTCATATTATTTATGACTTCACCACCTCTACACAGATTTGTAAAATATTCTTCATCTGCGTTACTCATCTTTTCCCTTATTTCCTTTTTTTCACATATTCCCTCACTTCTTCGATCACTTCCCTCCTCACCTTCTGTATTCTCCTTTTCATTCTTCATGTGTATATATCTCTTATTGTAGCTATTCTTCAGTTCACTTTTCACAAGTTTGAATTCATTTCGATGATTGATATGAACAATTTTGCATACATGCAGATTCATGTTCCTTATATCGTTCTTTTCCATGTGCTGGCAACTCCTGGGGTCGTCTTTCTCGATATTTTCTCCTTTTTCATTATCTGTGCTTTCGATGGTGCTGCTGTCAGATTCGAGTTCCATCAAGTCATCCATTTGATTCATTTCTTCATTTACACGTGGACTATTCGCCTCATTTAAAAGTGAACGTTTCTCCTCATTTAAAAGTGAACGTTTCGCTTCATTTAAAAGTGAACGTTTCGCTTCATTTAAAAGTGAACTTTTCTCCTCATTTAAAAGTGAACTTTTGGCCTTACCTCTTGCCATTCCCTGTGATGCCGGCCCACCCCGGTGAGCTTTCTTCCTACCCGTTAAAAAGAAGACGATAGACAGATTCCAATTTTTATTGTAATTGATATAATTCATGAGTTTATCCAAATTCTTTTTGACTTTCAAATTGAGGATGGGTTTGAAGAAAGGAATAAAGGCATCAAAAAATACATCATATATTAATAAATTTTTTATATATTTATTACCCCTCAAACAGTAATAGCAGAAAAATTCATGTTCATAATTCTTTGTGCATATAGTTATAATATTTTTTTTGTTATTATAATATATATCTGTATTGGATGGAAGTTTAATATTACTACAGATGTAAGTTAAATTTTCCACTTTCCTGTTTAAAATCACCACAATGTAGCTATATGGAACGTATAACAATCCACAACAAGCATTGTTTTCACATGTTTTAGATTTATTTTTAATGATTCTACATAAACACTTGTCGAAAAAACGTTTAAGCATGTACTCCTCCTTTTCATTTAGCTCTTTTTTCTCTTCCCATGAACTGTCTCCTCTATCATTCTTCTCATCACCACAAGGCCCATTAGAAATCGTTTCATCTTTCTTTCCTTCCCTGATTACTTTACTGCATTTAGGTCCCTCCAAATTACCATCTCCACTTGAAACATCACCAACGTGGAAATTTTTCTCAAACAGAAACAGATCAAAAAAGGCTTTCGCATACAACTTCATTTCCACCGCGTCAGATGCTACCTCGGCGTATGTCACCCCTTTAAGATTATTTCGTTTTTCAAACGGGTTCTGCTTCTCCAATGGGTTCTGCTTCTCCAATGGGTTCTGCTTCTCCAACGGGGTCTGCTTTTCCAACGGGTTCTGCTTCTCCAACGGGGTCTGCTTTTCCAACGGGTTCTGCTTCTCCAACGGGGTCTGCTTCTCCAACGGGGTCTGCTTCTTCAACGGGGTCTGCTTCTCCAACAGGTTCCGTTTTCTACATGTCGTAGGATTTTCCTCCGAGGGAAATGTCTCCTCTGAGAAGGTGCAATTGAAGAGGCACGGATATTTCTTATTTAAATTCTGAAAATACTGCTCCTTCAATGGTTTATTGATACACTTACACACAGGAGGATTGTAAAATAAGAACACATTTTTGTCATTCTGTTTGTACATGTCATATATATATTTGAACTGTTTCTCGAAGCATACAGCATCTGGAGAAAGGTTTGAAATGTCGGTTCCATCTGAGCTGTTCATTGGAGAACGGAAAGACATTTCCTCAGCAGATCCCTCCACTGACTGTGCATCTGATTCTTCCTCCAATTTGGGTTCTGATGCTTCATGAAAACTGAGTCCGGATTCTTCACCCAAACTGGCCTGCAATTTTTCGTCAACACTATCTTCAGCTTCTTTATCCAATTTATTAACCAAACCGTTCGTGTCTGAGAAGCTGCCATACCGGTACCCCTGTCGATGGCATTCACAACAGCACCTCTTCAAATTGTCGATTCTTTTTAAATTAGTGCTGTGTTCATTATATTGCAGATGCTTTCCCCTTTTTTGTTCCTTTTTTTTTAAATTCATTTCTGTTTTTTCGTCAAAACGTAAGAAGTTTCCTTCACCCGCATCAGCATTCACGCTTCTCCCACTGTCACTTCTGCTGCCACTTCTGCTGCCACGTCTATTGCCACTTCTGCTGCCACGTCTATTGCCACTTCTGCTGCCACTTCTGCTGCCACTTCTGCTGCCACTTCTACTGTCACTTCTATTGCCATTTCTACAGTCTGTAGCTCCTCCCACTTCTCTTTTATCACCTCCTTTGCTGCAACACCGATCGACAGGATCAGAAGCATGCCATTTCAATGAACTACTTTTGTCATTTTTTGATTCCCTTGTGATATCATCTTCTCCACTTTTTCTATAAGAATGTGCAAACCAATCTGCATGAATTTCTGGACTATCATGACTTGGTGGATTTTTTTTTCTTTTTTTGTTCCTTTCCTTGTCCTCCTTACCGATATGGAATAGCTTTTTTTTTTTTTTTTTTTTAAAAATGGTATTCATAAAGTTATTATATCCAATGAATATATCATACTTCTCATTCAAAAAATAACTTAGTTCTTCTACATTTCTCACTTTTTTCTTTCTTTTCTTGCTTAGGTACTTTTGTTCATATATTATTTTCTCTATCAACAATTCTTGCCCTATTTGGAAATTTGCGTATCCCTCCTCGGTATGCATAGATGGAGGATCCATGTTTTTTTTCTGTGGAAAGTTAACTCGAGGCATTTGACTAGAGACACTTCACTCGAGGGGCTATACTTATTTGTATTTACTTCGGACATATATCCATGTGATGAGAGTACTATATAAAAATGGGATAACCCAGTTAACATGTGTGAACAAATTATGTGCACGTGGTCATACAAAAAATATATAGATTCTTCTGTTGCATTATTTTCCTGAAAAAGATAAAAAATATATAAAATAAAAAAAAATAAGAGTCTTGAATTTTTTTTTTTTTTTTTCTTTTTTTTCCTCTCTATTTTTCTGTCTCATTTTCATAAATATTTTCAAAAACGTCTATGGATCTTGTTCGTTTCATCAAATTGTTAAAACAAAGATGCAAGGACAGTGAACAGAGAAGAAAAGGTACAAGTAGGGGAAAAAGATACAAGTGACAGAAATGATAAAAGTAGAAGAAGAGGAAAAATACAGAAATGTAACGAGTAGTACATGACATGCACATGTGTGGAATGATCCATGCACTGACTCATATGCAGGAATAACAAAATTGAAAACTAGTCACAATTTTATAGTAGCCTACAAGAATTCGTGTACGTTATAATATATTCTTGTACGACACACAAGCTTATATGGGATTTAAATCTGTATATTTACGTGTGTATGTATTTATAAGGTCTATGGTACACTACGCGTAAAAAAATATATGTACATACCTATCTGCATACATATTTACCTCTCTGTATATGTACATATATATATATATATATACACTCCTCCGTGTCATATATTTAAGGGATATATATGTTCCACTAAGGCATATAAAACCACAATTTTTGCAAATTACAGTAAACGACAGTGGGTCGGGGAGAAGTGGGAGAGGCTTATATATATCATCCATGTAATGGAAAACAATATCCTTTAAAAATTTACATTTGAAATATATTTTTTTCTTATTCAGAATGTTCACAGGAACTACATTTGGAAAGGGACCCGAAGCTGCGTTGAGAAAGTTCCTCTATGTTGTAAATGTAAATATAAACACATTGTATGTAAACTTGCGCCTCTCGTGGTTCACGACGTGAAAAGCATCGTGTATACATACGCTATAAAAAAAAGAAGTAAAGAGGAAGAAAAAGGGAAAAAAAGGGAGAAAAAGAAAAAGGCGAAAAAGATAGAAAAAAAAAAAAAAAAAACACGTATACTTAAAATTTCAAAAAGGAAAAATAATCTTGAAAGAGACTACACATACATCTCATCAAGTAGCGGGGGAAAAAAAAAAAAAAAAAAAGTCAAAACGAGAAAATCGAAAAGGAGTTAAGCACGTGAAAAAAACTATGAAGAGAAAAAACGGGAGATCATATTTTTTTGAAAATCTTATGTAACTTTTTTTTTTTTTTTTTTTTTTTTTTTTATATTTTGATTTATTCTCCCCCTGCCCCCACCTACCTTCCCTTCTCCAGCTTTCAAATTAGAAAAAAGGAAAAGAAGGAATAGTAAAACGTAGGAGAAACAATAGAAAAATAAAAAAAACAAAATATGAATGAAGCAATCAATTCAGTATAAAAACAGTGGAGTTATATATATATATATATATATATATACATATGTAATTCCCCACTTTTTCAAAATTGACAAGGTCTTTTTTTTTTTTTTTTTTTATTTCCTTGAAAATTTAAAAACAAAAAAAAAAAAAAAAAAAAAATTGAAATCCAAGAAGGGTATAAAGTTCTGCAGATGACACAATCGGTAGAGAAAGACATGAAGACGTGGATGTTTAGGTTAATATCAGTATATGCCAGCGGTTATAATATGCCAACTGTGAATAAAAATAGCACCTATGATAACTCCACTTCTTTTCTTTTCCCTTGGTTGGGATCTTCAAAAATGTAAATTCCACATATATGTTACATTCTCCATGTTACGCGATTCGTGTTGCACGTCAGATGTTGCACGTCAGATGCTGCATGTCAGATGTTGCATGTCAGATGTTGCATGTCAGATGTTGCATGTCAGAATTGACGTCCCCTTTGATGGTAAAAATAATGGATTCCTTAATGTGACAGGGGTAGGAGAGACTACGGGGGAGAAGCTAGGTGCGCATGAATAAGCAGGATATGTGCACGTATGCTTGTACATGTGGAGACAAAACCAAATGTAGTAATAATCATTAATTTTAGCATCATAACAGAAATGAATACAAGCTTTTGTGGCATGTAGCAAAAAGGAAAAGAAAAAAAAAAAAAAAAAATTAATAAAGAAATAAAGATATATAGATGGATAGAAATATAATGATGAAGTGACACTAATGAATGGGTAACGCAAACTTGTTTCGATATGGGGAGTCATAGAACAATATTGACAGGGAGAATAAACGTGACAGAAAAAAAAGAAAAAAGAAATGGGATAATAATGGGAATGCGTATGTAGGAGAGTGTTGGGAGGTGTGACTCATATTCCACACAGGTACAACCGTTCACCTCCAAAATTGTCCACCTCCAAAACGGTTTACCTCCACAACCTTCTACTTGCACAACCTTCTACGTGCACAACCTTCTACTTGCACAACCTTCTACTTGCACAACCTTCTACTTGCACAACCTTCTACTTGCACAACCTTCTACCTGCACGTGTACCTATTTCTGTCGTACGTGTCTTGACCATTATGGGTAAAATTTTTCAAGGCATACATATCCCTCCTTTTAATGACGTAACTATTATCATGCTCATCCATCCCCTCCTGATCCTCTTGGTATTCTTTCTTCATATTGCATGAGGAATCCCTTCGTTTCCCATCCTCATTTATACACATGGAGATGCTTCTATTTCGCCTGTCCTGTTCATTCGGTTTCCTCTTGTTTTCGCATCTGCAAATTTGGTGATTAATTAAAAACACGGAGACATGAACATACAAGACATGCATAAGTATATCATATATCTACACATGCACGCTCGCTCAAGCACTAGAAAGTAACTGTCCAAAGCGAATTTTACAACCTACCTATCATACCCATGGGGAATGGTATAAATATAATCATTGTCATGACAAATTTTGTCATATGTCCCTCCTCCTCCTCCCTTGTCTTTTTCTAGAATTATCTTCCTCTTTTCAAGAAGATATTCTTCTCTGTCTTTCTCAAGTAGTTTATAATTCCGCGGGGGATGAATAACTTTTTTATTAAATGAGCCTTCATTATCACAAGCATTATTATACATGTTCGATTTTCTAGTATTGATTATATTCATATGTGGCATGGCACTCACACTTCTTCTTGCATTATCATTGAAGTAAACGTTTGATATTCTGTTACTTTTGCAAGTCACGCTGTCCTTCTCACTGTCATTACCTCTGCTTCTGGCCACGCTTCCACCAATTCGGCCTCCAATACAATCGCTTCTCCCTACTCCTCTTTCCCCACTACTGCTACCACCACTACGACCATTTCTTCCACGGGGATTGTTATAGATCCTCTCATATTCAGAACCCGGCGAGCACATCGAATTTGCAGTTCCCTTGTAAATGTCAACTGTTTTTTTCATCATGTTGACGGTATTGCTTCCGGCATTGCTTCCGGCATTCCTTGCGACATTGCTTGCGACATTGCTTGCGACATTGCTTGCGACATTACTGATGTTATAATTGTTATGATCTCCATATTTTCTATTCTCCACCGAGTTCATACTGTGCTGATTACCCATCACAGTGCGGTTATTATACACACCATAATTTTCATCATTGTCATGCCCATTATTCACTTTCATTCCCGTGTTGCCTCTTGTCTGTATAGCGTTACTACAAGAGGCCGTAGTACTCATGGAACTCCTTTTCAAGTATGTGTTTATATCACTTTTTTCTAAATTTTCTTCATACTTGTTGGAACTCCTATTATCATACACATATCTTTTGTAATTATTCACATGTTCAAACGTTTCTTTCATTCTGGGGAAATTATCATTCTTCCTTCCTTGATTCGTTCTCGATCCTGATCTCTCATTTCTAATAGAATTTTCTTTGCTACACGCGCTTGTTCTGTTACGCACACTGTTTTGTATGTTGTTATACGGTGCATTATACGCACTGCAGTGTATTGCCGGTGAGTGCACCTCGGTACTCCGCAATGCTGGTGAGTGCATCTCGGTACTCCGCAATGCTGGTGAGTGCATCTCGGTACTCCGCAATGCTGGTGCGTGCATCTCGGTACTCCGCATTGTCGGTATGTGTTTCCCTCCACTGTTCATTCCACCAATGCGAACTCCGCTGTTACTCCTTCCATCACGGCTATCTATGCTATTCGCATCCTCCATACCTTTAATAAAATAAGTGTTCCTTCGACCTTTCTGTAGCTTATCTCGCTCAATCCGTTCAGCTCGTTCTCTCTCAATCCGTTCAGCTCGTTCTCTCTCAATCCGTTCAGCTCGTTCTATCTCTATCCGTTCAGCTTGTTCTCTCTCAATCCGTTCAGCTCGTTCTATCTCAATCCGTTCAGCTTGTTCTCTCTCAATCCGTTCAGCTCGTTCCAGTCTCTCCTTTTCCATTCGACTCACTCGCTGTCGTTCCATTTTCTCCCGCTCAATCCGTTCAGCTTGTTCCAATCTCTCCCTTTCCATTCGACTCACTCGCTGTCGTTCCATTTTCTCCCGCTCAATCCGTTCAGCACGCTCCCTTTCCACTTTCTCCCTCTGAAGTCTCTTTTTCTCTAGCATCTTCATTTCGAGTGCCTTTCGTTGTGCATTTTCTTTTTCGATCCTCACCTTCTCCAAATGGTCCTTGTCGATCCTATTTCCATAATGTTCACTATACACATGCGAATTGGTTGGTACATCTTGGTTACACTTTCTATCATCTTTACTTCTTATAATGTTTGGACTTTGTCTACTCACACAGCTAGAACTTCTCCTCTCGCGTTCGCTATTTCTTTTCTTTATTAGAGCACTTTGTGCAGTACCATAATTAACCGTATCTATATTTTTACCCTTTTCCATGGTACTAACTATATCTACTCCATCGTGATTTTTCGATGAATTTCTCCTTCTAACAACTACTACAGACGGGTGAAGCCCTCTTCCTCCTCCTCCTCCAACTGTGGAAGTAGAAGTGGGAACCACATCACAAGTCATATCGGTAGGCACAGCATCACCAGTTATGCCACCAACAGAACCAACATTCTTAATAATCTGATAGCCTAGACACTGTAATGCACTAGGCCTTTCCTTAGCTGACAAACTTAGTAAATTTTTAATCAAAATATTTAACTCTTTTGATTTTCCTTTAATGGGTAATTCAGGTCCTCTTTTCAATTCGGAAATTAGTTGAGAGAAATTATTCGCCTTATGAAAAGGAGTTTTACCTGAACACAATTCATATATAATACAACCAAGAGCCCACATGTCACTTTTGTCATCATAACTCTTAGTTTCATGTAATAACAATTCAGGAGACCAATAGTATGGTGTACCAACACATGAATGAGCCATACTTTCAATACCTATATTTTTACTTAATCCAAAATCTCCAATCTTAGCAATAGGTCTCCCATTTAAATTGTTTGCTTGTGCTGTTATTTTTCCAATATGTCTTATACCTGTTGACAAAAATATATTTTGTGGTTTCAAATCTCTATGTAATACTCTCTCACCATTGGGTCCATCTTTTAAATTATGACAATAAGCTAAAGCATGTAGTAATTGTCTTGTGATATCTATAATTGCATGTTCTTCAATTTTTCCAAACATTTTATAACATTTTTGTATATTTCTTGATAAATCTCCCGCATCACAAAATTCCATAAGAATATATAATTTTTGATTCGCTTTATTTAAAAACCGATCAATATATCGAACTATATTCTTATGTTTTAATTCTCTCATAACATTCACTTCTATCACTAATTGAGATTTTTCTCTCTCTTTTAATCCTCTATATGATATAGCTTTCCAGCAAAAAAATTCCTGGCTTCTCTTGTGTTTCACAAGAAATACCTCCCCAAATCTCCCATTCCCAATTTTTTTTATTACTTCATATTCATTTAGCCGACTCTCTCCATCGTCGTACTTGCTAGGCATTGTATTTATTCTTCTTCTTGATCAAAAAAAAATTAAAATATATCTGCAGAGAGAGAGTGAAAGAGAAAGAGAGACAGACAGACAGACAGAGAGAGAGACCACCACCCCTGGAAATTTCTCGATGGGAAGGAAAAATATAAACACGCTTCTCTTGTCGTACTTACAACCATATGCTTACGGTTCATGTGGAAATAAACGCACTATATCTATCGGGAACAGATCCCTGAAGATCAACCAGTTTAGTGATGAATGAGAGAAAAAAACAAAAAAAAAAAAAAAAAAGACGTAAAACCAAAGGTCCTCTTTTTGTTCTTTAAAGAGCAATTTTTTTTTTCTTTTTTTTTAAAGACATGCAAATAGAAGGAGTGAATAAAACTTCGTCAAAACGGGGAGTCATGGGATATTCCAAAGGCTTTCATGTCTTATCGTTTCACACACTCATGCATACATACATATATACATACGTGCTTATATATATGTATATATGCATGGACTCACGCACAAACGACGGACGTTCGGGGGACAGCTGTGATGCATTCGTGATCTCTTGATCAATATTTGTACTGTTCGTGCTGCGTACTTTCTGCTTCCCCACACTACTACTGCTCCGATTTCAGTTTTTCTTCTCCTCCATTCGTTATGCACACATATATACTTGGAACAAACTTGGGTTGTTTTCTCTCGTCAAATGGGCTTAGACTCCTTGACATGGTTGCAAAAGATGTTCACGTAATATTGTTTCATCACCGTGTCAGGTGCACACCCAAAAACAAGCATATGTGCACACATGCAGATTCAGCACACATGCAGATTCAGCACACATGCAGATTCAGCACACATACAGGTTCAGCACACATGCAGGTTCAGCACACATGCAGATTTAGCACACATACAGGTTCAGCACACACGCACCAGGGATGATGCCCAATCTGGTGACAACTTAAAAAAAATGATCTCACCCAGATGGTACAATTCTCTGTGTGTTTTCTTACATCATTTTATTTTCACACTTATGCGAGAACGTGTATCTACTCGTTCAAATATATCTTTTCCTTTTTCCACTTAAAAGAATGGAGGGGGGGGGGGGGGAAGATTAGAGAATACGTGAGAGAATAATAACGAGAGGAGAGGTGGGGAGTGGTGGAATAATCAAATAAAGGAAAAGAAATTGTGAGGACAGAAAGGCTTAATAATAAACGTGTGCTGTCGTGATATGTTTTATGTCATAGGTGAAATGGGGATGGCATCACGTGGTAGAGAATCACGATCTGATATACTCTAAGAATGTGATCCGATTTGAAGAATATAGGAGTTTACTTTTCCATTAATAACAAGCGAAGAACAGATCCGCTCATCACACGCCAAATTGGTAATTGATTGGTCCAAGGCGATGTGATTGCAGCTCTTCGCAAAAAAAAAAAAAAAAAAAAAAAAAGTACGTGTTTTGTATAATGAAAAGATGTGAAAATGTACACTGAGGGAAATTAAGTAAAATTCTCTATGTGTTTCAAATAGTGTTCACTTTTTTTTTTTTTTTTTTTTTTTTTTTTTTTTTTTTTTTTTTTCATGCCGTGTTACGCATATACGACTATATGCATGTACACACATACATGCCTGTGTTTATGCATATGATTGTATGTGTTAATACATACAATTATGTTTTTTTATTTTTATTTTTTTAATAGCGACATAAGACTCTAGCCACTCGAGTGAAAATTCCAAATGTGTAAAAGGTGTGGCAAAATAAGGGGAAAAAAAAAAATAATCATAATCAAAATTATAAATCAAATCAAAATTATAAATCAAATCCAAATTATAAATGAAATCAAAAATTATAAATCATAAATCAAAGTTATATATCAAATCAAAAACCATAAATCAAAAGCATAAATGTTTTTTTTTCTCTATTCTCTTTGAAAAGTTATCACAAATAACGGAGAATGAAGAATACCGAACAAAAAGGAATAACTCATAAGATTAGTATCCCGTGCTATTTTTCTTTTTTTTTTTTTTTTTCTTTTTTTCTCATGCACTTTTTTAATAGTTTCCTAAGCTGCACAAGCTAACTACCCCTAATTATGCCTAATTTGTTCCTCTATTTTTGCTCCCTTATTTTTGTTCCTCTATTTTTGCTCCCTTATTTTTATTCCCTTATTTCTCCGAATTATTTCCAACTTTATGACCAAGCACTTCTTACCATCTTTGTATGTTACCCAAGGAAACTCATATATATAAATGGTTTACTATGCTAAACGAATTTTACTTTTTTTTTTTTTTTTTTTTTTTGGTATGTCTAATTTTTTGCACATACGTGTGCAAAATAAAAAAAAAAAAAAAAAAAAAAAAAGAAGGAATTACTAGGAAAAAATGCTGAAGTAGTGGAAAATAGCGGGAAATAATGGAAAATAGTGAGAAATAGTGGGAAATAATAAGAAAATAGTGGGAAATAATAAGAAAATATGTGAAAATGTTAAGGAGCATGAACCCTGACATCCCAAAATGAATTAAAAATAGAGCTATATGTTATAGCAAAATTATTAACCGTTCAGGCAAAAATGCTATCAAAAAATTTTGAGGGAAAAAAAAAAAAAAAAAAAAAAAAAAGCTTTATTAAAAATAATGGCAATGATGAATAACCCCATTAAATATAGGGACTAAAATGCAATATACACGCATTAGCTCATTCATATTGGATTTGTAACCTACAATTATGTTTTAGGAAGCATTTCACAAAAACTGCCAATAATTAAGCATACAAAATCGTGGAAGAAAGTACTGTTAACATTTTCTGCATTTTCCAACACCTTGATGTTAGAAATTGAAAACATGCAAAATAACAATTGTTGAGTGAGGAGTATAACATTCCTAACACCTTCACAAGTGCTTATAGTTTGACCAAGAAAGCAATTCTTTCCTTTTCCTCTTAAAAATTTGTTTATTGTGTAATAGCTCAACGAAATCTCGCAGCCTCTTCAATTGATCTACATATACATCATTGTTGCAGTATATGTGATTAAACACATTGATATTGTAAAGTAAACCCTTTTGAAATGACATGATGGAATGTATGTGTGGCGAAAGAAAGGATAACAATGCAATGACAATGACGTTCATTTTTTTTTTATGCTCAGTTCTTAACTTATCAGTGCTGTTGCATAATTTCGAAATTAGTGCTATTATAAAATGATTATCAACAAATCTTAGTAAATGCATATGGAACAATGTGTTTAATGCCTCTTCAGCGGTGCAATTTTTTATGCTATTTTCAATATCGCTAAGCAAATTTATGTACACATTATTAAAAAGATCACCTCTTTTTGCAAGTTGCGTTATTTTTTTCTTTATTCCTTCATCGTACGTCTCCCCCGACCGTTTTTGCTCATCCACGGGTGCGACATTCACGTCTTTATGTGTCATACTTTCTTCCATCTCTGCTATCTCTGCACATGCCTGATCGTCACCCTCGTGGAGACTGAAAAAATGCAACTGGCTGGTCTGGTCAAAATTATCTATCTTGCTACTGTTCATGTAAGAATAAATCAAGAACAGGTCCCTCAAAAAGGGGAAGTTAAAAAAATGTAGCGAATAAATTGCCTTAAAAAATACCATTTTGTAGTGTAGATTCAAACTATATATGTCATCAAGGAATACATATTTTTTCATAGCTTTCAAAATATTATTTTTATAGATTTGGAAATTTTCTACATTCGATTTTTCTTCGTGTGTATTCTTGTAAAACACATTGTTGCGCATTTCATTTTTTTTGTAATGACTCATAAACAAGTCTACAACAACAAAATTTTTTTCTTCATCCTTCATGTGTGCAGACATACCAGGATTACATGATTCGTCATTTATTTCCAACTTGGCAGCATCCTCACTTATTTCCAACTTAGCATAATGGTCATTTTTTTTCCAACCCAGTTTTGGCTCTTCTTCCCGAGGAGCTTGGCCAAATGCATGTTCATCTATCGGATTATCAGAGTCCAGGGGATTTTTCATTTTTAAAAAAAAATTAGGAGATATAGGAAAAAACAATTTTGACAAGATGTAAAAAAAGAGACATATTAATTTATTATCATTTGAATCGTTGTCTATATATATATAATTTCTATACGAGTTGTCAATTAAGTTGCTGTATCTTTCTTTCTTTTTTTTAATTTCCTTTTCATTCGTCGTTTCTGCTGAGTATGATTTTTTTATACCTTTTGTTATATTAATTTTCTCGACAAAGGACTCTATCAGTAGAAATAAATTTTTCCCAATTTTGTTCATTTGCTTTTTATATTCATCTGGATTTATGCTGTTGTGCTGGGTGAACAAAGTAACAGTTGAATTAAACACAAACTGAGAAAGCGGTAGGAGTATTTTTATTATGTGACTTTTGTTTATATGCTCGATGTTCAAATAAATAAATTCTGAAAGGTGGTTGTAAATATGGAAGGTGCTATAAGCCCCGTTATGATAGTGCACTTTGTGCCTTTCATTGTCTATATGGGGATCATTTCTTTTTGTCAGATAATTTCCATTTCCAATATTACAGTTATGTCTACTACTCTCGGGTTCTACCACTTGTGTAGGAAATATATGCCTGCTGTTCGAGAAGAAGTTGTAATTCTCAAACACGTGAAAGGAATATATAATCTGGACGATACTATTTACATGAACATTATTCAGATATTTTTTGGAGTATACACAATGCTGATAAAAATAAGAGAAAAAATTGGAACATATATCAAGGTAGTACAAATCATTATATATGAGTATATAAAAGAAATTAATCATATCATCAGCAATAAATTTTTCTTTTTTTTTTAAAAGATCTTTTAAAATTTTCTTATATACAATTCGATCACTTTTTATTTTCTTTTGTTCAATACATTTTAATCTATACAAATTATGTTTAATATCATTATTTAGGAAACTTAATTCATCATAATTCTCTTGCATGTCCTTTGCTTCAACCTTTCCAACACAACTTTGCATTTCTCTTCTCCTGCACAAAAAAAAGGGACTCATAAATACACCCACCTTCTTTCCTCGCCCTATCATTTAGAGACACACACTTTTTGTTTATTCTTTTTATTACTGACAAATTCGCGTTCTCTCTTAATGTGAGCATTTCCTGTATGGAATCTTCCTTCCTCTGGAGAGAGAGAGAGAGAGCAAATGATAACTTCATTCGTTCAATGTTAACATCATACAAGCGGATTGATTACGCATCCGCAAATGCATCCCTTTGCAATTTGCACCTCGAAATTTACACTTCGAAATTTACACTTCTGAATGCACAGTTACTTCTCAATTCACAATTAGTTCAAGAATAATGGCATGTGCACAATTCTATAACATCGTTATTAACACCTAAACGCATAGTAATTTTGCGTTCCCACTTGTAGAAGCATGGTCTTGCTCGGGGAGCCCTTTTTTCGTCCCTCTTCTTACCCAAAGAAAGTCCTTAAGGATTCCCCATTATCATTCGTCCATGTATTTGATCATTCACTTATTTATCACTTGTTTATTTATTAAACCATCCATTTTTATCTGTTCATTTTATTTCACTTTTTTTTTACACAATTACTTCGTGCTTAGGAAATCACCCAACGCACGTGCCGTTTCAGTTTTTTCAAAGCGCGAACAACCCGTGGGGCGAAAAGAGGCATTCCCAACTTAAGTGCAAATTGGGGAAAAAAATAAACCTGCATGTGTACGTATATACATATTTATATATATGCATATAAACATGTATATTTATGTACATGCATATATATATGTACATTTTATGCACATGTATATATGAACCTTCAGCGGGGTAGAGATGCAATTTTTGCAGTTTCCAATTTGTAGCCCCAAATTTGTGCAGAAGAAAAAATAAAATAAAATAAAATAAAATAAGGGAGCACATCGATAGGGAAAATTTACACGTTATCAAAAAATTCTGAACATGTCAGGTGAAAATTCGCAAAAAAAACAGGTTGGGAAAAAAAAAAAAAAAAAATATATATCTATACATTCTAACTCACATAAAAATCACAACACACGCAAGAGGTGAAAAGACATATAGAAACCCTTTTTTTATAGACCATACATATGCATGATACATCCATAAGGGACCATGAAGAGAGAGAGATAAAGGGAAAGAACACACATTTATGCCTTATCCTTGTCTGGCCATTTGAAAAGTCCAATTTCAAATGGGAAACTGTGAAAGCATTGACACGCACATACAAATGAACAAATAGATAATTCTTCTCACAGAGGGGAGGAAAAAATAAAATAAAATAAAATAAACACCTGACATGTAAAAAGCACACTACTCTGCTTTTTTCAAATTGACAAAGCTGGAAAATGAAAATTGACTTGGATTTAATTAAAAAGAAGAGCGAACATAACGAGGGACTAATTGAAGACCTAGAAGAAATAGCCTTACACCAATTACAAATTAATAAAATAGAATTTATTAACATCCATTGTAGAAATTTAAAAATATTATTGCTGCAGAATAATTTAATTGAGAAAATTGAAAATCTAAATCAGCTAAAAAAACTAGAATATTTAAATCTAGCCATAAACAACATTACTCTCGTGGAAAATTTGGAGGGGTGCGAATCATTACGCAAGGTAAGTTAAGTGATGGGGAGTCAAATGAGTAGATACTGCCATAATGGACAAGTTAACAGAAACATACATATTTCCATAAGCACATGGTAAAATCAGCAAGAAGTACGACAAACAGAAAAGCCTTTTCAGCGCGTTCTTCTACGTGTTTTTCTGCTTCTTCTTTTCTGCTTCTTCTTTTCTGCTTCTTCTTTTCTGCTTCTTCTTTTCTGCTTCTTCTTTTCTGCTTCTTCTTTTCTGCTTCTTCTTTTCTGCTTCTTCTTTTCTGCTTCTTCTTTTCTGCTTCTTCTTTTCTGCTTCTTCTTTTCTGCTTCTTCTTTTCTGCTTCTTCTTTTCTGCTTCTTCTTTTCTGCTTCTTCTTTTCTGCTTCTTCTTTTCTGCTACTTCTTTTCTGCTACTTCTTTTCTGCTTCTTTTTTTTTCCGTTACATATCCATCTCCATGTGTTCACTTGCCCCCCCCCCCCTTGTAGCTCGACTTAACCCTAAATTTTATTGACATTTCAAATGTTGAAATATCTATAAGTAATTTAAAAAAAAATGAGAACCTTAAGGAGCTTTATCTCATGGGAAATCCATGCGCAAAATGGGAATACCTAAAACTATTCATCATACTTCACCTTGAACATCTAGAAGTGCTAGATGGATCAGATATTCTCGTGTCAGACAAAATAAGGGCCAAACAGAAAGCTACAACCATTATGCTTGCATTAGAAAATGAAAAAAAAAATAAAAAAAAAAACGGGTCTGAACAAAATGAACATTACGACAACATCAATAATAGGAAAAAAATCTATGCAGAGATAGAAAAGGAAGAAATGGAAAGAAGAAAAAATGAGGAGAATAAAGATAATAACAAGAAGGAAATTTTGTCCTTGTACAACGACGATGGGGATATTCGCCAGTGCAACGAAGGTTTGTATGTGTCACCTCACCTCTATTTGTTATTTCACCTCTATTTGTTATTTCACCCCGATTTGTTATTTCACCCAGATTTGTTATTTCACCTCTATTCTTCATTTCACCACAATTTGTCACCCCCTGTACATGCGATTATGCACACTAAAATCAATTGGACGCACGCACAATGGAGAGACATATATGCAGCTCCCATGTGAACCCCATGACACCATTCTCCCCTCCTTTGCAGGTCACTACAAATTCATGTTCGATGAATATTCAAGCAATAAATACACCTTTTTGAAACTTTTTCTCCCCAAATACCTTTGCAATTCGCTAATTAAAATAGATATAAATGTTAACTACATAAGGTGCATAATTAAAAATAAATTGTTTCAATTAAAATTGAATGATTCCATTTTAACAGACTTAAGTAAAATTTCCAGAAAAAAATATACGGGAGAGTTGCACATCAAAATGCGGAAAAAAAATTATAAAAAAAATAAAATTTTTGAAAAGGATTATCTCCAAGAGGGGGATTCAAATAAAAATGGTGATTTCTCTCCTGACATCTGTCACTTGCTACCATCATCAGGTTCACGGTTTGGTTTGAATTTAGACACTTCCATTTCAGATTCATCCAATTCAGACTCGTCCTCTTCAGATTCGTCCAATTCATCCTTTTTTAAAAAGGAATATCCAACTTATCCCTTCAAAAAGAGAAACACACCACAATCGACACTGACACTGCCAAATGCGCGAGATGGAAATTTCTTTTTGGAAGAGAAGCAAACAAAATACTCCTCATCTCTTATGAAGGGAATTCCTTTATTGGAGAAAATTTCAAAGAGGGGCCCTTAAAATGGGGACATGATGATAATATATATGTGATCTGAACAACGAGTATGTAAATTTTACCACTTTGTTCTTCCCCATTGGTGGGAAAATATGGATTAACAAAATGATGGAATTTTTGAAGGTATTTTTCCCTTGTGCATTGAAAAGGAAATGTAAAATTTCCGGTAGGCAAACAAGGGAAAAAAAAAAAAAAAAAAGTTACTATTACCACAGTGTGTTTTTATGTTGCATAGTATAGTGAAGTACAGTGCACTGTAGTAGAGTGTATCTTTTTTTTTTTTTTTTTTTTTTTTCATGTGCTTAGTCACTGGTTTTAACTTTTCCCTTTTCTCTACCTTCTCTCCCAACCCCCATAGTTGTCATCCAATTTGAATACTTCTGCTTCTAAATGTATCGGGTGTCCCTTTTGATACACATTTCCCCATACAACATATATATATATATATATGGATCTACAAAGATAAAATTACTTCTTCAACCTAAACTTAATCGCTTCGTGCTTACTGAGGATTCTATTTTTTTCATCTTGATGTAATCTGTTTTGAGCGTCTTCAAATGCTTTCAAGATAAGTGGTGATAATTTTTCCAAGTGCAAAATTTCATCGTATGTAAAACTCTCTAATAGTGTATGGCACTTTGCCTTTGATATGACTAAACAGGGGGTATGGATTATATCGTTCTTTATCACACATTTCGTTTCTTTCATACTTTTAACCGTTGTTATGAAAGTATTTCTTAATTTCCCGTTACATACAAATATTAATTTGTCGCTTTCGTCAGTTAGCTTGATGATACTGCTTCTTTCCTTTGGTGGGTATGTAAATGAAATTATTTTTTTTCTTCCCCTTCTGTTTTTTACCCATGACCAACCAGCCTTTTTCGAGAATCCTCGAGTGTATATATTGAACATTATTTAATTTTCTTTCAACATTAGTTTTTTTTTTAGGATCTACATGAGAGCTTGTGGAGAAGAAAAAAAAAAAAAAAAAAAAAAAAAAGTGCTTCCTTTTTATTTACACAAGCTGATTTGTTTTCTTTTTTTTCGTTCTTTTAATATTTTCTCTAGTCATAGGTGTGGATATTTCTCTTTGTAAGGTTGTGCCACTATTTTATATGAACAGAGAAAGAAATTTTAAAAAACGCCTGAACACAGGGGTCAGGGCTTTTTCATGAGTTAACAAAAAAAAAAAAAAAAAAAAAAAAAAAAAAAAAAAAAAAAAAAAAAAAAAAAAAAGGATTAACCGGGGGAAAGATAAAAAAGAGAAAAAGGGGGGGGGAAAAAAAAAAAAAAAAAAAAAAAAAAAAAAGGGGGGCAAAAAATATATTACTGTTCAGGCAACAAGTTTGAAAAAAATACATCAAAGAGGAGATATCTATTAATATAGGTAGTCACATGGTCAAGTCTCCAAAGGAGGAGAGAAAAAAAAAAAAAAAAAAAAATATAGGAAAATTAAGGAGCAAAGGGGTATGGCATCTTTGTTTGTAAATCGGACAAAACGGTCCCTATCAAATGGAGTAAAAACTGTTCTTTATGTTGCGTTTTATTGTGCTTCCCTTTTATTTTGCTTTGTTTTGTTGTGGATTTTTATATTTTTTCTTTTCCCTCTTCAGGGATAAAAAAACTCGTTGGGCATGAGAAAGCGCCACTTTCCAAGGGGCAACGTGTTCAGGTGAACGTTGCCTATTCTAACCCTGTGTAGAGACTTAATTTTAATATTCGAAAGGAGACATAACTTCCGAATAATTTTGTGGAATCCCTGATAAATAGTAAAGGTCAAGGTGAAGGAATCGAGGTATTGTATGCGACATTTGAATATTAACTTTCCATCAATGAATAGATTTTTTCGCAAAAGTTTCAAATTAATTTCTTTTATCGGATCAACGGTTTTAATTATATATTCCTTTTCAATTTCATACTTGTGCTTATTTAATAAATAATAGCTCATCAGTGTATTTTGTGTAAAAATCAAGAGCCCAGTAGAATTTGCATCCAATCTTCCGCACACATATAAATTATTTACTTTCTCAATGTTTACATTTTTGTATATAAAATAACTCATACACTTGTGTTCTTCTTCAATGTATTTATTTTCATTCCTTATTAAATTTCTGGCCAGCAATTTTTTATTTGACTTATCATCATTTAAAATAGACAGATAATGTTTTGGCTTATTCAAAATTATTGTTATGTTTTTATTTTTTAAAAGCTCTTTTCCCAATTTCGTAAATTCAACTTTGTCATTCCACGGTGAAATTGTTACATTTTCACATACTACCTTATCATTCACTTTTAAGATACCTTTTTTTAAGTTATTAAAAGCAAATCTCGAGCTGCACAATCCTTCATATGAGCAATATTGGGTTAGTTTCATTCTGTTCACTTCCTTCATTTCGTCCATTTTGTTCATGTCCCCTTTTCCACTATTGGCGTAAAAATGTTTGCTGTTGTCAATACGTATGTCCATTAACTCATCGCTTATGTAATTGTTTGTATTTCCACTATCAGTTGCAGCTGCAATACTGGTGGAGGACCCACGTTCCTTATTTTCTGCACCGGGTTCAATTAGTGCCTGGTTATTACTACTATAGCTACTATTTTTTTCTACAACATTTTTTCTCATAAAATTTTCTATGTCATTTCCTTCACCATCTGCTGTTAACTCACTCTTGTTTATATGGTTATCCCCTTTCACTACCACATTCGGCTTTTTATTTATTAGGTTAGTCCATTTTTTATATTCACATAAGTATTTCACTTGTAATGGTTGATTTGTCAATAGATTCCTTTTTCCATGTTCACTTTTTTCCTTTCCGTGTATGTGTTCATTGGGTTCCATTTCATCATATTTCTTAAATGTGTTTTTTTTTTTTTCCCCACCCCTCTCATTTTTCACTCCTGTGGTGGAGAGAAATATAGGTTTTTCTTCCAAAATATAATCGTAAAATATTTTCTGTTTCGAATCCACGTAGTTTTTACACTTGTCGTACATGTGCACATTTTGTTCATATTCTTTTTTATCATAACTATGAGTTATTATTTCCTTCTTTAAGTAATCACAGATCTGTCTATTCAGTTGTTTTCCCCAGCTAGCTAAAGTGCTTTTTGATTGTCTCCTTCTCCATCTGATCCCTGTTCCTACAAGCATACGTTCAGGGACACACCGAGTGGGAGAATTGCAATAAGGGTGTGTGTGGGGAGGATTCTCATACTTGGAGAACAAAATATACACACACACATAAGCTAATAAATTTTACTTCTCCTTTACCTAATCGTATGTATATGGGTGCATAGGAACTTAATGCAAGGTGTGATAGAGAAAGCGAAATGAAACTTGGATTTGTACGAGGCCGATTTCTGTGTGTATTGTGTCCATATACTTATGATTTTTTTTTATTTTCACAACCTATTTTTTTCAAAAATATTAAAAAAACAAATTGTTGCTGAATTTTGAGGGGAGCGGCACATAAATGTAGATTTTTTTTTTTTGTTTCTCTAAATTACTGCCATAGGATTTGCCATGATGTATATATATACAGAACGTACAATATAATTACATTTATATATATATATATATATATATATATATATATATATATATACATATCAATTTCTGTGCAAAAAATGGCATTCAAATCATGCACTCTCCGGTTAGAAATTGCTGAAATAATGTAAGTTCACGCAGCTGTTATTTCTCTCTCATAATTTGTGAGTAAAATTTCGAGATTGCATATATCACACGTTCATGTAAAAAAATTGTCACGATAAAATAATCAAAACGGAGAAGAAAAAAAAAAAAAAAAAAACTTATGCAACTACGTAAGTGGGGAAAATAAGACTACAATGCATATTTTACATGTTATATATATATAAATATACATATCCTATTATGTGTCATATGCATTGAGGAAAAACGCCACATGGGTAAAAAATATATAGGTAAAAAAAAAAAAAAGAAAACATACATACATAAATACATATGTATGTATACACAAACGTGAAAACGAAGGACATTAATAAATTATCCTAATCTTGATGTTTTTCTGCTCCTTGTGCCAATAATTTTGAGGAGTCCAATAACAATAAATTATCCAAACCAAATGGGCTGGTAGCTAAATTTATGAACTTATATGCACAACGTTGCCTAGGAATTTTATATTCCCAACGTTGCCTAAGTTAATAGAACGAGATTCCTTTGGTATCTCATTAAAGTTGTTTCCCCAGGTGGAACAAGAGTGCCAAAGCAGCAGTGCGACTTTTTTTTTCTTATTTTTTTCTTCTTTTTTTCCTATTTTATTCTTCTCTTTTTCCTATTTTATTCTTCTCTTTTTCCTATTTTATTCTTCTCTTTTTCCTATTTTATTCTTCTCTTTTTCCTATTTTATTCTTCTTTTTTTCCTATTTTCTTCTTCTTTTTTTCTCGTTTTTTTCTTCCCTTTTTGCAGAAAATTCCAACGTGTGGTAGAAAATATAGAATGCACTCTTTTCTCAACCCACCTTTTCTTCTCCTCTCTCATTTTTTAGCATAACATTTTGAACCACCCCACATTGCGAAAAAATTTGCAAAAAAATTTGTGGAAAAATTTACGAAAAAATTTGCGAGAAAATTTGCGAAAAGCTTGGCGAAATCGGAGAAGTTGTGCCCCATGAAAGTTTTATTTTATTATTATTTTTTTTTTTTTTTTTACAAATTTTAAAATCAGCTAAAGTTGAACCACCTCACAAGTACAGCTAAGATAAAGCAATTTTGAATGTAAGCACAGGAAAATTACAAAACGGAAGAAAACACCTTTTTTTTATAGGAATCTTTTGAATAAGCAAAATAAAACCGCACTCAGCAGAAGGAAAAAAGTATGGATATAAAAAGGAATCGTCGTAGGGAAGAAGTATCAGACAAGTAAAACGAAAAAAAAAAAAAAAAAAAAAAAAAAAGCAAAAGAGAAAGAGAAAGTGGAAAAGAGGCGGCGCATATGAGGACCGATCAGAGTGAGGTGGAGAAACGAGGCAGCGAGGAACACAACACTGTGCAATGTGACACAGCCCAAGTAGCCCATGAGGAGGTAAATTCTGAACAGGTATATTATAAATATGTAGACTCTACAGACGTCACCTCGAGATTTGGACATTTGAGTGCCTACCGAATGGATGAAATTCTGGACGAAACGAGTGAGGATGACTCTGTGGTTCCACAAAATGGAAAAGAGGAAGAAGAGGAAGTGAAAGGCAAAGAAGATGAGGGAGAAAGCAGAGGAAATTACTTCTACATAAACGATGTAATAAAACACAACTACCCATTGGAATATGAAGAAAATAAAATATACCCAAAAGTGTATTGCTATGAACCAACAAACTTTGAAAATTTTAAAAAGAAGATAAAAAATCAAAATGAGCTGAGGCATTATGAATGCTATTCGTCCACGATGAATGAATTCTTTTACAAATACAATGAAAAGTATTATGAAGATATTTTAAAAAATGAAAGTTTTAAAAAATTTGCATTTGAATTATGGTCTAATAGAAGTAACATAAAAAACGAAACAGAATATAACAATTTTTGTATTCAGCTAAGAAAAAAGTATAAAATTTGCCCTTCGAAGCATCAGATAAGTGTTGCATTACAGCATCATTATTTACAAACAGTACGGATCTCCAAAGAGAGTGAAGAGGCGAAGGCCACTTGTTCGGATAGGTGTGCTCTAGTGGGAGAAGAGGAAAAGCAAAATGAAGCTCCTTCATCACACACCTCGGACGTGTCAAATCGGCACAATGTATGTGGTGAAGCCACCACAAATGAGGAAGAAGAAGAAGAAGAAGAAGAAGAAGTGGAAGAGGTGGTAGACCAAAGAGAGGAAGACGAAATTACAGTGAACAAAAAAGGGAAAGACGTAAAATTCGTTTTAGAAAATGTAAACAAAATGATTGTAACCACGGAGATGAAAAATTACAAAGACTTAGACAAAGAAAGTGTACATTTCCTACAAATAAATAAACGAAAGGGTGTGCGATCAAACAGTGGAGTGTTAGTAGTAACAATAATTACGCATCCGCACAAATTCAGTTGTAAATATGATTGTCACTATTGCCCAAACGAACCAAATCAACCGAGGTCTTATCTTTCCACAGAACCTGCAATATTAAGAGCTAATCAAAACAATTTTGATGTGATTTGTCAATTCTTTAATAGAACCACCACATTAGTAAATAATGGACATGTAGCAGACAAAATTGAAGTACTTGTATTGGGAGGTACTTGGAGTTGTTATGATGTTGAATATCAAAGAGAATTCATAAGAGATGTTTATTATGCTGCTAATATTTATCCTGTTTTAAAAAATAGAAGAAAAAAATTCACTTTAGAAAAAGAACAAGAAATAAATGAAAAAAGTAATTGTCGAATTATTGGATTAACTCTTGAAACAAGACCAGATCAAATTAATAAAGATGAACTTATTAGACTACGATCTTATGGATGTACAAGAGTACAACTAGGAATACAACACACAGATAACTATATTTTAAAGAAGGTTAATAGACAATGTACTCTGCAAGATTCTATAAGAGCTATTTATTTATTAAAAGAAAATGGGTTCAAAGTGGATATCCATTTAATGCCAGATTTACCGTACTCAAATGTGAAAAAAGATATAGAAATGTTTAAATATGTATTAAGCTCAACTGACTTGCAAGCAGATCAGTGGAAGATATATCCCTGCGAAATTACTCCATTCACAAGGATTGAAAAATGGTACAATAATGATGAATTTAAACCTTATTTCGAAACAAATAAAAATTTATTAATTTTCTTAATTTTTCTTGTCAAAAAATGTATTCACCCATGGATACGCTTAAACAGAGTTATAAGAGATATCCCAAACCCGTCTATCATAGCTGGTAATAATATTACAAATATGAGACAGCTTATTGCTAACGAAATGAACATACGAAATATTTTTTGTCAATGTATTAGATGTAAGGAGGTTAAAAATCAAGAAATCGAAAAAAAAAAAAATTCCATTTTTTTACAAATTTATCAATATCACACCTTAGGAGGAGAAGAATTTTTTATAACATTTCAAGGAGAAAAAAAAAAAGGGAAAAAAAATGAACCCAAAATTGGAAAAAAAAAAAAAGTCTCTGCCAATTCTAAGCGAGAATGCAAAAACATCAAAAAGGATATTTTTGGCACCACTGCTGAAGAAGCAATTGATAAGAACATAGAATCGACAGAGGGGTGCATAGGACTATCATCTTTTAACATGTCTGTGGATGATTCGAGCATTACCTGTACGCACGAACCGGTGGAGGAAACCCCGTTGCAAGAGCAGAACGTAGAACCAGTTGGTAAGGCGGTTGATAAAGTGGTTGATAAAGTGGTTGATAAAGTGGCTGGCAAAGTGGTTGATAAAGTGGCTGGCAAAGTGGCTGGTAAAGTGGCTGGTGAGACGACTGACAAAGTGACTAGCCAAAACGTGAACTCACCTGATGTTCCTGCCGAAGGGAATCGGTGCGCGCGAGATGACAAGAATGAATATGCACTTTTAGGGTTTCTACGACTTCGTCTAAGAAATAAAAACAACTATTGTGATGACAGACCCTTCCAATGTTTAGAAAACGCAGCCCTGATAAGAGAATTACATGTTTATGGATCTTTATTAAAACATGACGATTTTAAAGATGATTTAAATTTTGTTCAGCATAAAGGTCTTGGAAAATGTTTAGTTTTAGTGTCTGAAATTATTGCTTATTTTTATAATTACGAAAAAATGGCTATAATTGCTGGTATAGGTACCAGGGAATACTACAAGAAGTTGGGATATGAAAAGGAAGAAACGTACATGACTAAGATGTTAAAAAGAGATGAGATATATGAACAGTATTTATTAAACGCACATCGGATAGGTAAACAAATAGTTATTTGCAATTACAATTTGAACCATTGTCTCCACTTAATGCACAAGAAAATACCAGAGCCGTGCAAGTACAAGAGAAGTGAAATTGAAGAAGACCTCAACATATTTATTAACGAAAATATCTTAAAATTAGAATCAAATGAGTATAATTACTTTCACTGTAAAAATGAATGCATTAATGTGTTAACCATAGATGTGGAAAATGATTTGATTTCAAAAAGGAAGAATAAAAGTAGTTCGGATAAGACGATGAAATGGAATTTTCCTTATACCATTTTAAACAATTGGATAAACAAATTTACCTATTCATACAACACCAAAAGTTGGGTTCGAAATGCATCTTTTTTTTTTTTGTTTTTTAGTACGACTTTTTTCATTTCTGTTTCCTATTTTGGACGTCGAAAAATACGCAATTTGTGAATTTGTGAGATTCCATCCCCATCTTCAACTCTCAACTTAAGGATGGTCTCTTTTCTCTTTTTCTTTTTAAAATTATATTTTCCAAACTGTCGGTGCATGCAGAACAGCGGGTGGTACTATATAAGCACCTTTGGCCCACGCATTTTCATAGTGGTAGGAGAACGGTACCAGAGTTAATATCGTCACAATCGTACGCGAGATGGAAGTATGTTATACTCTCTTAAATTGTGGGGTCTCCCCGGTTAAGCAGTTGAGCATGGTCACGTCTCTCTCTCTCGCTATATACATATATATATATATATATATGTATATACACGATGGCATTACACTTTTGCATAAATGAACCAGTTTATTAGAAACAACTCAACAAACTTTTCTTTGCCCCTACGTGATTGAAACAGCTTCTTTGAAGGAGAGATTGTTTTCTTGTCACATTATGCTTGAAAATAATAAAACATCACAAGGAGGAGAAACAACTCTCTAATGGCATGTCGTAATGTATATATATGTACATATATATATATATATATAATTTCCATTTCGAATGTTGGATTACTACACAACATATCACTCTGCACCCCCACTGTACAAACATGTACAGAAGAGGTACTTTTATATTCGTACGCATAAAATTAGATTAATTTGAAATTCCCTTGTCAATACGAGCAACTATGGCATAAAACAAAATCCTCGCGAAATGTATAATTTAAAAAATAGACAGAACATGCAAAAAAATTGCTTTTCCATATATATATTTTTGAAAAAGGGTAGCTTCTTAAGCTGACGCCAAAGAAAAGAAAATTAACGAAAACCGAATGAGCTAAAAATGAACGAAAACAAAATGATGCAAAATAAAGAGAAACACAATTATTGATGCCTCTTCATTCTTTGTACGATCAGAACAAACTCGCAAAAGAAATTGGAAAAGTTAAGCCATCTCATTCTGACAAATGTTGAAGCAATGCACGAAATTGCTTCATCTATCATCTTATCATCTTCCCCATAATAAATACAACAATTGAGGGGAAAAAAAAGGGAAAAAATTCACAGCAACAATTTTATTGTGAATCCCTGTTTTTAAGTCATCACCCAACTATCTTTTTTTCTTTTTTTTTTCTCTAAAGTTTAAATTTCCTATACTTTCATTCGTTTGCCCAGTTGTTGTCCATTTATAATATTGTGAAGTGTATAGGTGGTATATGCATGTACATACGTATATATATATATATATATATATACATACTCGTGTCCACTCCATGCATACAAATATATGTATGTATTTTAAGTTAATGTACACGTATATTTGTGAATATATGCTATGTATGAAATTTTTTATTTATCTTTTTTATTACGGTCTTTTTTGTTTACCCTATTATAATATTTTGTTGATGTTTTTTTTACGCTACTTTTTTTTACGCTATTTTTTTTTTCGCTATTTTTTTTGCCATTTTTTTTTTTGCCATTTTTTTTTTCATGTAACGTATGTTCAATTAAATAATTAACATTTAAAATATTTTATTATATGCATATAGGGAGAGTATATAAAATATATATGCCTATACTTTGCATGTATGTTCATACTAATTCGTTGATTTTTTTGCGAATTTCTACTGATTCCTACGTATTTTTATTATATGTACGTCTTCACATATAGTCATTTGTACTAAATTATTCCTTTTTATTATTCATGTTCATACTTATTTGTACAAACTTACGCTTCTTTCTTATGCATGTTCATACTTATTTGTACAAACTTACGCTTCTTTCTTATGCATGTTCATACTTATTTGTACAAACTTACGCTTCTTTCTTATGCATGTTCATACTTATTTGTACAAATTTACGCTTCTTTCTTATGCATGTTCATACTTATTTGTACAAACTTACGCTTCTTTCTTATGCATGTTCATACTTATTTGTACAAACTTACGCTTCTTTCTTATGCATGTTCATACTTATTTGTACAAATTTACGCTTCTTTCTTATGCATGTTCATACTTATTTGTGCAATTTTATATGAACCATACCCAACCTGCGTATTTTTATATACGTTCCCTTTTAACCCTACCAGGGAAAAAAACATCGCAACTGCACGTATTTGACTAGTACCCCCGCCCCATTATGTTAAAAAGAAAACAAAAACAAACATAAAGGAAGTAAAGAAGAGAGGGGAAAAATAATGAAAAAAGAGAAAAAAAAAATGCAAATATGCAAAAAAAAAAAAAAAAAAGAATGATTTCCACACGTCCATTCTTTTCATATTATAAAAAGCAGTTATACTGTACCTCCCCCATCTTTCCCCCATATAAAAGAGTGACCTATTTGTGTATAAAAAGCTGTATGCATTTTATCCATGGATCATATATACATTTTTACGTGCATAATATTTCGAATAGTTCTTGCGACCCTGTTTATACATCACCTCAGTTTGCATATAAGCACAACACGTCTACTTAAGTTTTAATTCAGCCTGTACATACATATTTATCTACGTATTTGTGTACCTTTATATGTACCTGCTTGTTTAGGTGCTTCTTTGCATGCCCATTAACCGATCCCTTCACGTGCTTTACCTACTTCTTTGCTTTTGCAAATTGAATTTCTCTCCCCTCCACCTTATCCAGGCGTGTCCAAAGCACAGTTGTGGTTATGTACACATTAGACTTCACTAACCTTCGGCTGTATTTCGACATCACCTTTCTCTTTTTTAACAACCCATATACCATTTTTCACATGTTTTGAAATTTAGTTCATGTGATGATAAAATCATGCATTTTGTGTATATATTTTTACTATATATACTTGTGCAACGTTTTAAAACTTGCCTAACACGTAATTTCTCTTCATCGGTGTGTTTCGCACACAGGATCTTATTTGTATATCATATGTTGAAGTTTTTTTTTTTTTTCTTTTTTTAAAACATATTTGAAAGGAAAAATAAAAAAAAAGGAAAAGGGCACGTGACAAATATAAAATATTCACAATAATTTTTGCTATTCTGTGAATTATTTCCTTTTAGCAGAAGTAAATATGAATATGGAACAAATTGGAAAAAAAAATGAGAAGTAAAAGAGAATAAAACAAAATCAGTCAGAGCAGTACAAAATCAACCAGAGCAGTACAAAATCAACCAGAGTAGTACAAAATAAACAGAATAAAATAAAAATTTTACATAATTATGCACTAAATATTACAACGTCCATTACAATTTATGACAACATATTTTTGCTTATACTCTTTGATGAATGTGCATAAATACATAAAATTCTAGGAGCAATAGTATTTCAAATTTTTGCTTACTATTTTTTTGTTTCCCATTTTGTGATCCTACCTTTTTTTTTTTTTTTTTTTTTTTTTTTTTTTTTTTTTTTTTTTTTTTTACCTTTTTTGTTTGATTTGTCTTACCTTGCTACATCGGTTTTTCTGTTTCCTTTTCTTTTTCTTTATGTATATCCCTCTTTTTTTCACTCTCTCATTTGGTTGGTAACTAAACAAAGTGTATAGAGAGATTATACTTATGTTAGGTCATGTGATCCAATGCATACATGACGTACACATCTTTTGTGGAGCTATGAATGTTTCACGCTGATATTTTTTGTTTCTGGTTCATATTTCACATTCGTCTGATTAGACCATTTGGATATATTTTCTTTTTCTTTATTTTATTATTTTTTGAAATATCACTTCTTTTGTGTAACTCGTTTGGATAGGAAGAACGGAAAAGAAGAACCTCTACACCCTTCACAAGTTGTATCAGCACAAGTTGTATCTGCCCAAGGGGAGAGACTCGCGTGCTGAGTAACTGACCATTTCACACCAGAACGTGTCTGAAAGAGTAATTCCTACCCATCTGCACACGCACCTCATCTCCTACACCTGTCGCCCTTAGACTCAAACAAGAATTATGAAATGCACAGAAGACTTGTACAGAAATGATCCCATTGCAAATGATGAATTTTCGGAGGAAATAAAAAACTTGAATGATGAAATTTTCAAATTGAATAATGGCAGTATTAGTATCATGAATGAGGAAGAGAAAAAAACAGAAATGAAAAAGGAGGCAGAAGTAGATGCTTGTTCACTACATCCCAGTGAAATGAGGGATCTTTTTTCATACGAACAGGTAAAAGAAGGTAGCGAAGAGCATAATCCAAATTGTAGAGGTGGAGACATGGAGGATGACAACGATAGAGTTGGAGAAGTGGATAAGACTAGTAATAATAACAGCGATAGAAATGGAGAGGTCGATAAGGCTAGTAATAATAACTGCGATAGAAATGGAGAGGTCGATAAGGCTAGTAATAATAACAGAGATAGAAATGGAGAGGTCGATAAGGCTAGTAATAATAACAGCGATAGAAATGACGAAGTTGACAGTTGCTTCTCACCCCAGGGGAGAAGGGATCTACTTCCCATACAATCAAATGAAGTGTCCAAAATGGATAAAAGCAAAAATGAAGAAAATAGTGAATCCAACATTTTGCAGGACACTTTGGAAAATAATTATGAACATGTACAGGTGAACATTCTTAATTTCGATTTGACAGAGGAGGATAGTAATGCCCGAGAAGAAAGAAATGAAGACAAGCCAGAGGATAGTAAGATGAAGTTAAAGATTGAGAACCTCCTTAAGTTGATAGGACTCCTCAAAGCCCAGATAAATCAAAAGGATCACGAAATTTACAAAATGGGTAAAAATTTTATCATATACAGGACGCATTTATAATTTCCCCCAGTGTTCTCTTTGTGATAATTTTCTATATCTGTGTCTATCACACTCACGACAATTCTATTTTCTTCTTCTACGTCTACTTCGTCGATTTCTTTTACTTCCACTACTTCCACTACTTCCACTACTTCCAATAGTTCCACTACTTTCACTACTTTCACTACTTTCACTACTTCCACTACTTCCAATACTTCCAATACTTCCACTACTTTCACTTCTTATCTTTATATGCGTCTGCTTACACTGTTCGCCATTCCTTGTGCCCTTTTCAGAACTGGATTTCAAACTGAAAAAGGAACAACACGAGAAAAATGAATTGACACTGAACGACATACTGACAGAAAATGAGAGCTGTTCAGAAAATACCGAAGGAGGAGGTGGAGGTGGTGGGGATTTCCTCATAAGAAAAATGAAAAGTATTTTAATTTCTCAAAACGAAGAAATAATTTCATTAAATGAAGAATTAAAGAAAAAATCGAAAGAATTATTTTATTTAAATGAAGAAAATATGACTAAAAATGAAAAGCTAGCTGAATTGAAAAAAGAAATAGAACAGAATTATATGCATTTGAAAGAATATAAAAATATGAACAACGAAATAGAAGTTAATGCAAATAACAAAATGTATCGTGTGGAAAATTGCCTTAACCTGACGAACAAAAAATTAATGAAAAATGATATATACATTAAAGAAAATAAACTGAACATGGAAAAACAAAAAAGAGTAATAAAGGAATTATACAATCAGTTAAATAAAAAGGAAGAGCAAATAAATGAACTACGAAGCATAATTGAAAGTATTGAACTTAACAACAGTAGAGATATAATCAAATATAAACAAAACAATACAGATCTTATTAATAGATTAAGTTTAAATAATTCTTTAATGAATAGCCAGAAAATAGAAATCGAAAATATGCATATGAATTATAAACAATTAGAAGAAGAATTAAAAAATAAAGATAATGAGCTGAAAAAATTACATAAAGGCTTACTAGCCAAAGATGAAGAAAATAGGAAAATGCTCCACGATATGAATCGCTTAAAATTTGACATGGAAATTAAAAACATAGATGTTGCTAACATCAAGCAGAAAATCAACCATATTAAGAAGGAATGTGCTATTCTTTTGAAAAAGCAAAAGGACAGATTCACTAGTGTAATTAACGAGATATACAAGGAGAAAGATGAAATTATTAAAAACCACCTCGACGAATTCTCCAAGTTGAACGCACATTACAATGAGGCCCTGGTTTCCAACGAGAACGTCAAAAATGAGGTACGTTCATGGCATCCGCGAGTCATTCGCAAGTGCACTGACACGATCGATCGATTAAAAACACAGATGTTCATACATCCACCCCCATTTAACACCACAGGTTAACATACTAAAAGATGAACTCCTTAAAAAATCTTGTGAAATGGAAAAGCTGCAAGATAAACTTCTGGACTATGAATCCAAACTTCTCGTATACGAGAATAATAACGAAATTAAGATCCTTAAAAAAAATGAAGATCACCTGAGAAAATTACTGAACAAGCATACACACAGAAATGAAAAGCTTCTCAATACAACTCTCCTGTTACAGAAATCTACCTTAGAAAATAACACATTAGAGAAAAAAATCATTGAATTAAAAGCAGAAACTTATAGAAAAGATCAAGAAATTAAAAAGTTACAAGAAACAAATAGTAGAAATAAAAATTCAAATAGAAATATAAATATTGGAGAATCTGAAGATGTCATTGCATTAAGTGACGATTTGAAGAATCTTAATGTAAAAAATTTTTTGACGTATGGTGAAGATTTCCTAGATGCAAATAATAATAACCCAATATTGGATTATAAAAGGAGAAAGGAAAAAAACAATGCGCTCGATCATATGTTAATCCAAAATGAGAATAACTTGATAAAGCTCAAGCAAGATCCAGCGGAATATGTTGCATCAGTTGGAGCTGATAGGTCTGTTCCATTGCTCTTACCCTTCTCAGCAGCATCGGCAATTTCAGCAGTTTCAGCAGAATCAGCAGCACCACTAGAATCGGCAGAACCTGTAAAACTAAATGATGATCCTGTCTCCATAGCACTTTACGAATTTGGCCACAGCTTAAGAGAAACAAATATTCCATTCAAGTTCAGCAAAATAAGTGAAAACATGTACCTTCTGAATGATAAAAAAGTTTTTATAAAATTTATTAATGGAGATTTGTACATTGAAAACGACGTTCATCAACTGGTCAAGCTAAATGATTACTTGTTGAAAACTGAACCCAGCTGATCTTTTTCCATTCATGCTGGATATGAGCACTCGCAAAATATGTTCTGAGGGTCACGCCTACACCATGTATCACTCCAGAGATATATACATATTATACATATATATATGTATACAAACAGATGTGGAATGTTTTTTTTTTTTTTTTTTTTTTTTTTTTTTTTTTGTGCAACTCTTCCTGCAATCATATTTCTATCCTCTCCGCCTTTATTTTTTTTTTTTTTTGTTTTTTTTGTTTTTGTCATCTGTTGATTAATATTTATCCCTTAAATTTTTTTACATATCTCAATTTTTATTGCGCACAGCGCATTGTTTGTTACAATTAATACACCGTTTTTAATACTTTATAATTATTCGATAATACACGAATTTGGTAAATCAGTTGTAACACAAAAAAAAAAAAAAAGAAAAAAAACAGACATATTATGTGTATGTAATGCCAAAAAAATCGGCTGCGTGCCTCTTCGACAGACAGATTATTGTGGTTCAATCTGAGGTGTGGTGTGTGTGTACCTATCCTCAACCCTCCTCCAAATGGACAGTATGATGCACACATGATGGGGGAGAGGGTGGGAGCAATGATGTAATGCCAATTTAAAAAATAAAATAGTAAAAAAAAAAAAAAAAAATAAAAAATAAGTGTCTAAAACATGACATAACATATGCACGAAAAGAAATGGTAATTATACACGAATTCAAAAAGTCCAGGGAACCAAAATAATTTGGAAAAAGCATGTGCGAAACTGTTTGACAGACCACATGGGAGTTGTGGTGATCGTAGGCATGGAGAAATAATGCTTATACGGTGGAAACATATATGTACATATATATATTTGTGTATATATATATATATTAAAAAAAATAAAGTAATAATGAAAAAGGCTGCTTCCCAAACAACCCAAGCACGTGAGAGAAACCTAAGTCGACATTCATTCTATAGATAATTACTGAGGGCATCCTTGTCCACAAAGGACTCTATCTGATTCCAAAGGTAATCACATGTATCAGGTGTCATCTCTCTCTTATCCAGTTGTAGTTTATGCCACATATTCATTTTTGTATTCTTAGGAATGAGACACACTTCTAGCTCATTCTCATTATCCTTGATGATTTTAAGTCTAAAAAGTTCCTCAATAAGTAGAAAAGTTTTTTTGTATCTTTCAGAAATGGCTAACGTTTTTAACTTAACTGCATCTGTGTATTCTTGTAATTTTTCAATTTTGTATTCTGCCTTCTTTAATAGCATTTTTTTTACCTCATATTTATTTTTAAGGATATTTTTTTTTTCATCAATTTCATAAAAAACTTTTAATTTCTTTTCTCCGTTTGTATTACCATCAGAATCACAAAATATGGATTCACATTCTTTCAATTTCTGTGAAATTATTTCATATTCTTCATTAATTAAATTCCTTTTGTCTTGAATAACTTTTTTTTTATTTAAAACGATTTGTTGTATATTTCTCACATTCTCATTAATGCTATTTGTTATATTTACAATTTCGCTTATGTATTCATTTTCTTTATCAAAATTTAATGCATAATTATTTATGTTTATAACATTTTTGTAAAGAACATCGATATCATTTGCATCATTATTGCAATTCGTTATATTATGAACAATTTTTCTATAAAAGTTATGTTCGCTATCATCTATGTTACTTTCTAAAATATCTTCTTTCTGTAAATTTAAGGATCTCATATTTCTCGCTTCACTTTCGTTCATACCTATTGGCATCTTACTTCCCATCATCCTTTCGAAACAACTCACACCATTGTTACTACTACTAGCGAATTTTTGTCCCTCTAAATAAGGAACAGGAATGGAGAAATTACACAAATCTGCTTTCTTTGATTCTATAAAATTATTCTTCAATAATCTACTAAATTTGGAGGAACTGTTTGATGCTATATAACGAGTCGCATTGTTATATACCAAGCTCTCTTTATCTAAATTATACATAAGACTACTCATGGTGCTACCATTTCTTATATCGGATTTTTTTTTTTTTACATAGGAATTAAAATTTTCCTCACTATGTTTTTCAAATGTACATGAGTGAAACAAATCATTGTGATTACTCATTGTATTATTCATCATTTTTTCGCTATTTGTGTCTGTTATATAATTTGTGTTCCTAATACTTCTTCTATTAAATCTTGTGGAATCTCTCAGGTAATACAACGAATTATTAAAATTCTGATGTTGGTAATTTTGGTTTGGGGCTACAAGTGTGTTATTCTCATTTCTTTTCTGCCTTTCAATGTTTTTGTAATTCTTTTCTGCCACACTGACTCTTAGGTTATCTTCACAATTCTCCCCCATCATAACATTTGCCACACTCGCCCTATTCATTCTCTTAGTCATGTCGGTCTCATCAATCTGGTCCATCTGGTCCATCTCGTCAGCCTCAATTCCATCAATTGCATCTATTGCATTGTTAGCTCCCTTCGCCCAATTCGACCCGTTCACACCTTTTTTAATCTCGACAACCCCATTATTCATCGTATTCCCTGAACCCACCACTTCTACCCCACTTTGTGGTTGGATCATCCTGCTCATCATTGTATCCTCTTGATTAATTCCATAGAGGTTACTATTACTACTGTTCAGATTTGCAAGACTGACACGTGCTAATCCCACCCCACCTCCTGTTGTATGGTTGCTGCTTAGAATATTTTCATTAGAATGAAGAATCATATTTCCATAACAATTTGTTTTTTCATTCGCGCCATTTGATGTATCCATCATATTAAAATGATTGCCATATTGCAAATTGCTATTATCATGTCGATAGCCCCTTGGGACAAATCGTTTGTTCTGTATTTTAGTCTCCCTTCTTCCATTTTCATATTCTCTAACTGGAACTTTGACATTATGATTATCGGGATCACTTCCGTTTTCACCTATATGACGTCCCCCTCCTCCTCCTCCTCCTCCTTCTCGGGGTACAATTCCTTTATTTATATTTTTTTCTATGGCATCATATTTTCTCTTTATGGGAGAGGCATACGAATAGATGAACTCTTCTGACTTGTGTGCATTCTCATATTCATGATTAAGAATTTCCTCACTTTCATAATTGTATGGCTGATTACACAACCTTTGCTGACTGTTCTTATGGTTATTACTATTACTGTTGTTAATGTTATTACTATTTCTATTGTTATTACTATTGTTAATGTTATTACCATTTCTATTGTTATTACCGTTGTTAATGTTATTACCATTTCTATTGTTATTACCGTTGTTAATGTTATTACTATTACTGTCGTCGTTTGCCGCAGCACTATTTGCAATAGCTCGAAGATTCCCATTTTCCCCACTCGCATTCAGATTTGTATGAACGTTCATATTAGAGTTGTAATATTTATTCGAACTTCTCTGATTTCGCGCCATTAACCTATTCAAATAAGATTTTCGTGAATCCTCGTTTGTAAAGTTTGTTGCATTCAGGTGAGGTGTTTTTTTTCCCCCCACTCTTGACCCTCCGTTATTATTATCATCTTCATTACTATTATTTATATTATCATGTTTACTATTGGCATTATGATTGAATTTAGAAAAATCTACGCGTGAAACATTGTATGAACCCTTTTGATTGTTCTTGAGGCTACTTTTTGGTGTATGCTTAAATGGGTGATTATTCGTTCTCGGTTTCAAATGGGAATTCTTTGCGAATGCAATTTTGTGTGTAAAAGTCGGATTGTGCGAATTTGCACCTGTTGTCACATTCTCCCCTTCATTATAGGCCACATTTTTGCTGACTGTGCTCAGGTGGTTTTTATCCTTGTTCATAAACCTTACCCCCCTATTCTGGCTGCTAATAAATTCGGTAGTTTTCAATTTCGACTTAACTGACACCTGATTCATGTCTCTGTCGTTTTTCTGAATAAGTAAAGATGATGTATCCTAAAGAAAATTTTCGCTTTTTCCCTTGGCATCCCGCTTTTTACTCTCTCGCTTTTGAGTTTTTCGCTTGTTACTTCTTCAGTTTTTACTTTTTCGCTTGTTACTTCTTCAGTTTTTACTTTTTCGCTTTTTACTTCTTCGGTTTTTACTTCTTCAATTTTTACTTCTTCAATTTTTACTTCTTCAATTTTTACTTCTTCAACTTTTACTTCTACAAATAGACTCTTTTGGCAAGGGGTCGCAAAATGTTCAGGGTTAACAAATGAATGAGTTTCCTTACACGTGTTTGTAAGTGGTGCATATGTATATACATATATGTGTGTGTTTTTCTTTTTCTTCTTCTTCTTCTGTATACAGAGAGCGAAAGCATCTTAATGTTAACAAAAATAACCGTTTTAATACTCCCCTACAGCATTTCCCACGTGGATGTTAATAACTCGACATGTACTTTGGTGAATGTGCGGGGGAAAAAAAAAAAAATCTTCTTCGTTAATGTTGACAAGGAGCTTCAACATGTGTTTACACATTTTGATATTCATACATTTATACACTTATTCATTTGTGCATTTATTCACTTGTGAATTTGTACTTTCAGGGTGACACATCTTGACATTTTAAAAACCGTTTAAAATTATTCAAAATAGGTGCCTAAACATTTCCCGTTTAATTGGCGCAAGTCAGTCTGGGAAAGTGATTTTTCGGAATCCCCTACCTGACTGATCAGTCCTGTGATATCGGTTAATATGCGTGGATATGCAGAAATAGACATAATATATGCGTGTACATGCATATACATATATGTATATATTTTACTCTTCTGTATGCATGAGTGTGTGCTACCCATGCGCATGCACCCGAGTATCTGATACAAAGTTGCTCGTACCTTGCTTGAGCAATGTGGTTTGACTTTATAATCTTTCTATAAAAAAAAATGTCACATTAAAAGAATAAATAAACAAACGAACGGTTGAAATACGTATGTTTAACACTCACCTGTGTGAATTATGCGATGAAAAAATGCTTTTCCTTTTGAAACATGTCTTGGTAATGAAATAAAAATGTATGCATATATATATATTTACGCGCTTATGTTTGTATTTGCTTTGCGCTCATGTTTATGTATGAGAGTGGGATAACTCGCCAAAAAAAAAAAAAAAAAAAAAAAAAAAATGAGGAAAATAACGAAATAAGGAAATAAAATAAAACAAATAGTAAACTTTTCAGCAATGTATAATTTTTGTATTACCAATTCAGATAATTTGGTTAAAAAAAAAAAAAAAAAAAAAAAAAATATTAACAAAATGTCATGAACAGTTATGTAATTTTCAAATGTAAAAAAATTTACGTATTTTTCACATGAATAGCAATATTTTATTTTTATTTTTTTTTTTTTTTCCTTTGCTAGCTTTAATTTGGTGTGCAACATGAAAATTTTCTTACAAAAATAAGGAGGTATATTTGTGCATTTATTTTTTATGTAAAAATATATCATATTTTTTTTTTTTTTTTTTTTCTTTTTTTGGGTATTTCTCTACACGCTGTTTTTTAAGGTGTATAATTAAGCGTTTTAAAAAAGTGCTTGCTTATGAGAATACACCTGTGTATATCCATATTTCCATTAATCCGACTGTGTAGCCAGTGTGTGTGTGTCGAGTGTGGTAATCAAAACGGTGTGAAGAACGGAAATGTTTCTTCTTACAACCAGATTATTTGAAAGGTTTGAACGAGGTTATTAATTAGGTTTCTATAAAGAACACTAATGTGTATAGGTATATATATATATGTATGCACTTATACACATGAACATATAAATGTTTAGTGCGCGAACTTCTTACAAAGTGTTTGGTATATAGAGTTGGCAACCATTTTGCTAAGGGCAAAATGAAACGTCGTCTAACCCAAAGTAGACATCCCGTTTATTCATTTCTCCTACAAGTTTCTAATATATGCACTGGTTTATGCGAATGAATGTTCAATCGAATTAGTGCATAGTCAACTTCGATTTGGCACATATTTACTTAATAATATTTCTTTTTACCAAAAAATCTCTCTGTCTGATATTAGACATCCTCTCAGTAAGAAAATGGTAAAGGTGAGGCAAAATAAGAGGGAGAAAAAAAAAAAAAAAAAAATGACGAACCCTTTTTTTAACGGGTATATACAAATTCTTTCCATAATTGTAGTTTTTCCAAATAACTTTCTTGTTCTCACGAATTTGAAAAAAAAAAAAAAAAAAAAAAAAGACATCTGATATGGTTCATACAGGATGGATTTATTTTGGTATACCTTTTGAATATTTATAAACATTCATATTCTAAGCGAGACAAGAGCACGCAGCCTCACTTTCACCAGCTTGCATATTTTTCCATTGTGACAATTCCTTGTCCTTCTTTTTTTCATAAAATAAAAAAAATAAAATAAAAAATAAAATGTAGAATGAATGGGAAATGTCAAAGGAGGGAAGGTTAACGGTGAATATGGACTGTCCAATTTAAACACGATGCATGATGCTTGTGCTGGCATAACATTTGTGTCTATACAATGGCGACGCCTCCAAGTGAAAGGACACCATAACGTTTCTGTTCAAGAATAAACAAATTATTAAGTTCATGTGTGTGTGTCTAAGGGGAAAATAAGGCATGTATATATATATGCATGCTCAAGCATATATATATATATATATATATATATATATATATATATATATATATTTTTTTTTAAGATAAAGACATTTTGCGCGTCCTCCTTATGTGTGCAGGAAGATTATCTTCATGTCTTAATTTGCTTGCCATCCCAGTAAATAAAGGCAAAAAAAAAAAAAAAAAAAAAAAAAAAAAAAGCAGCATTTTTTAAAATGCACACTGGGAACTTTTTTCATCAGACAGGTAGAGGCTAATCAGAACGAAGATATATTGATGCTATATAAGTGCATAAATAAATAAAAAAAAGTTATATAGAATCCTCTTATGCTCATAGACGAATGGAAGACCTTCATCGGCATAAAAAATGTAGTGTCTAAGTGGAGGTTTCCCCAGCCGCTCTTCCTCCCGTACCGTTCCTTACTTAAGTAGTTTTTTTTTTTTTTTTTTTTTTTTTTTTCTCTGCCGCTAATACATTCCCCAGCAAATAGTAAATAAAAGTTTTAAAGGTACCTATAAGAACTTGGTGACACATTAAGGCATTTTTGCTTTTTTGAGAAACGTCTACAGTGTTCATCATATATATATATATATATATATTTATATATTTTTCATTTTTTCCTACCTTTTCCTATTTTCTTCATTTTTTTTCTCTTTTGGAGATATATTTACGAAACTGCTATGAAACGCGCTGCGCTTTTCCCACACATGCCCATTCGCATTTATGAGTGCATGACACATTCTCAAACAAACACATAGTGATTAATTGAAAGTGAAGGTACCTTTTCTATATCTTCCCCTTAACATGCAAATAACTTCTACCTCATTTGGTGAAAAAAAGAAAAGGGTTATGTGACGGTGGGTTCTATTTGAACGGATTGGGGCGGAGCTTCTTTTGAGAACTCTCTAGGGGTCGCAGGTGCATGTATTTATCAGCTTTTTCTACACACGAGAGAATGTATAAATGTGTGTAAGTAAGTGTAAGTGCAAGTGCTACCGTGTGATGCACCTTTCACTACATGAGCAGTTATTCGTTCAGTAGCAGGATCTAAAGATTTGCATTTTCTATAATATACAACTTGTAAATCCAAGGAGAAGAGGAGAGTACGTCCCCTTCACACCACTATCACGGCCATCAGCATATGTACGCATTGAAGGAGTCATTTTAAAATTCACACCACCCAAGGGCTTACCACTTTTGACCCTTAGAAGGGAATACTTATGAAAATACTGAATTAATCGTTAAAGAAGGATATGCATGTATAGATGTTCAAGCATACAAAGGTTACTCCACGAACGAATGGAAAATGCAACTATTTTAAAACATGAAAAGGAAAAATTTGCATCAGACCCAAATAAGGTGAAGAACCACATCAGACCTAAATAAGGTAAAAAACTATAGTAGACACACATTAAAAGATATATAAAATTTCACTCTCACCACCACCATGTCTTCATGGGTTCGCACACACTAAACGGACATTTTAAACGGCGTATATTATTCAAGATATAAAAAATACAAGGTTATTATATGTATATACCAAGACCTTGGAAAGGTGTGTGAAAACTCTCGTATGCGATCACTAAACTTTAATAAAAAAAAAAAAAAAAAAAAATGGATAAGATGGAAATTTTTCAAGCATATCTGAATAGTGATAATCATAATGGAAATTGTATGACTGAAAATCACTACATTGTTAAAAAAAGAAACGTTGCTTCTGAATGGGCATTTTACTGCTTTGATGGTACTAGTGATCAGAATAAAGAACATATAAATGATAAAAAGAATTGTGAAATATTTCAAACGGAAAGGAGGAACTATATAAGAAGTAGAAAAAAGCACATATCAGTCATTCGAAAATGGATTATAAAGGCATCAAAAATTAATTCAGGTATAAAGAATCAAATTATTGTAAGAAAAAGAAAAGAAAAAATTCATACACACGGAACTAAAAAGAAAAAAATTCACTATTGTCATAGCTTTTCCTTTTTCAATCATAAAAACAAAAGAAAAAAGGACCCTTTACAAAGAAAACATCATCCGTTATATCAGATTTATACCTCCTTCAATCTTCTTGACAATAAATATTACTATAAAAATTGCACGAGTGAAATAACCAGCTGCTGCACCATACTCTATTTACCACATGTGCTGAGGCAACATGTATATCATTTCAAAGGAGTACCCAAGTTCCATTTTTTACATCCTGCTTATGAATTGTGCAGAAGCCCACATGCTTCTTCTACTCCTGCCAATTGGGCCAACACTTCCAGTGCCATTCTTAGTACTGCCACTCTAAGCACTGTCACTCTAAGCACTGCCACTCTAAGCACTGCCACTCTAAGCACTGCCACTCTAAGCACTGCCACTCTAAGCACTGCCACTCTCAGCACCGCTACCCTCAAGGAGAAAGGAACGTGCGCTATGAGGTGGAAACGAAAAAATAGTCATCGTATGACCAAGTCCCAGTTGGTTAGTGATAACAGGTATTGCCATTTCACAAAAATAGAAAGCGGGGTGGGATATCATAATAGTCCCTTCATGTCGGTACTCGTAAAATGGGCATTCAGAAAATTACCCCTTTCCTCTCAGAATGTGCTTAATTTCTTTCATGGTTGGTGCATGATTAATGATGAGAAGAATAGCGTAATTAAGAAGTCATGTGGTTTTATGCTTCTCATAAGCAGGAAAAAACAAACTGACAAAAAAAAAAAAAAAAAAACCAAAATTAGCCAAAAGATAAGCCAAAAGATAAGCCAAAAAATTAGCCAAAAGATAAGCCAAAAAATAAGCACAAAAAATCATTTTAATAGTGTTTCCAAATCGAGTTATAGCAAGAAATGTGTTATTTTTCTTGGCATGCATTCCTGTGGCATGTGGCATTATCCTGCCATTGATTCAGTATTACTCAGTTTTTCCGCACCTGTGGTAGCTGTTTCTCCTCCAGAGGAAGAAAAGGAAGATGAAAAAGATGAGGAATGGGTGAAAGAAACGAACGAAGCGAAAGTAAGTGTGTTCCGTGTTTGTTCCTCTGACCCTCCCACCACTGTTCCCATCTGTTCTCCCGTTTTTCCATTCGATGGAAGAGAAAAATCCAGCCAAAAGAAAGTACAGCAAGAGGAAACACACTCTTTGGACTGCTGTGATAATAGGTATGGCAACTCCAAACAACATTATTTGATTGCACATCTAGCATCCATGTGCATACCATCTGATCTGAGATATGAAAAAAGCATTAAGTGGAATACCCGATGGGCAAGAAGTATTATGAAATTCACGTATCCAAACACAACACTGTGTTCGAATTCCAAAAAAAGGAGAAAATTATTCCTATGCATTAAGAACCCAGTTTTTCTCATCAGGGTTAGTAGAATGGGTTCATATACACAATATAATGGCTCAAGAATAAGATTAAGAAGAAGAAGAAAAAAGAAACATGCTTCTTATAAGTTATTGATAATACAAATTATTCTTCCTTGTACATACCATTCTTATCCTTTCAACAAAGAAAGTTATAAGAACATCACATGTTGGGATACTTCCAATTTTGGAAAAAAAAAATTTTCTCTACTAAAAAAAAACAAGAATATTGAAGATTACTACATCTGCTTCAATATCTTAGATCACATATCTGTCCTCAATATTTACGAGTTAGATTCTCTTTTTGGAATCATTAATTCTTTTGGTAGATGCATGGATAACTTCCTGAACCCACACGACATATGTGTCATATTAACTGACAAAAAGGAGAGAGTCGTCCCCTATGTGACTATAGGGACTCGAAGGTCTAAACTGAAAAAATATGGGACTCCGAATTACAGCAAAATTTGGTGCAGGTGGAAATGTCGTCTTAAGTTATGCTGTATGAACTATCCCTATTTACCCAGGCCCATCACGATGGAAAATAAGAATACTGATGTGGAGAAAGTGAAGAAGGAGAAGAAGGAGAAGAAAGCGAAGAAGGAGGAGGAAAAGAAGAAGTATGCGGATAGGTACATAACCAATGATGGCTTCTCTGAATCCAGATCTAGCATCAAAAGACCATCCAACTACACAGAGAAAAGTGCAAATAGATATGCTTTTTCAAAGTGTAATAAAATTGTTCACGACACAGTGCACGACATATGCAAGATGAGGGTCGTTAAGAGGGATGAACATTCATTTTATTTCGATCGAGATGGAGCCAATATCTCTAAAGGAAGTAAAGTGGGGGCGCCTGAACAACCAGCTTCCAGTACAATATTCCACATGGATCTACACAAAACCAGGAAAATGATGATTGGCAACCAACGAGCTACTCATTTGAACTCAATGAAGACAAAGAAATCTACGCGTGATGATCGAACTGGTTGCAGTAGTGTTGGAAGTGGTGACAATGATAGTGACAGCCAATTTGGGAGCTGTAAAAATATGTACACAATTAAACATCACCGTAGTAAGGCACCAAATGAAAGGAGAGTAATCAGCCTATGGAACAAAGACATTATGGATTCTCTTGCTCTGAAGAACCCCCAAGAAAAACCAATCATTCAGCAGGAAAAGAGTTTTAAAAATGTGAACTTAAATTTAAAGAAAAGAAAATGTAAAGATGAAGTAGAGTCATGCAAAGTAAACACAACTAGTTATGACATCTGCGAAAGATGCATAGAAGAAGTGAACCCAGAAATGGATCAAACAGAATGTAAAATGAAAACAAATGACAAGAACAACACATTAGTTACAAGGGGAATCTATAAAAAGAACATATCAAATGACCATCATCTTTACAAGAAGAACAGAACCAAAAAAAGCAGACTTAAATATTCTTACGATACAAATTATGGATATAGTTACATAAATAGAATCACTAATGTTTCAGACAATGAAAACATGTGCCAAGAAAGCTACTCCAGATGTGATGCCAATTGTTCGAGTACCTCCTCCAGAAGAGATGATAATAATGATGATAATCTCTACAATGAAATGTATTTAGATGATATTCACATGGGAAATATAAACGAATCAGCAAAGTTAAACAAATGTCATAATGATGCAGACACTAGCATCCCCTTATACAATTATCTAAACGACATGGAGAACACCAATTGTAATTCAAATTGTATTCATAGTGTAAAAAAATGCATGACTTCTACTATGGAAGAAAATAAAAAAAGGAAATCGCACATATGGAGTGATTCACACAAAAACACTATTAGTGAACATTCGCATAAAAAAAAAAAAAATTCTCTACGCAGTGGTATCCCCAATTGTAACTGCAAAGTAGAGGAATGTTTTTCAGAAAGGGGTAATATGACAAATCGGCTAATGTCAAACCATTCTTGGGAATTGAATCCATTCTCTTGTACAGATAATTGTGTTGAAGTGCCACATCTGCGTATGGATGAACAAAAAGGGAATGCTCTTTCGGGACAGAGCCTCCAAGGTAAGCACTCCAAGAATGAGTTGCACACCAGTTTAGATGCAGATTCGAGTTCAAATATATATCCAGATGCAGATTCGAGTTCAAATATATATCCAGATGCAGATTCGAGTTCAAATATATATCCAGATGCAGTTGCAGGTTTAAATATATATCCAGATGCAGTTGCAGGTTCAAATATATATCTAGATGCAGGCACCGATTCAGATCTGGAAAAAGGCATGCCGGCTGAAAAACCACAATTTGACAAGAGCTCAAGTGACGAGGAATCCCGCTCGGAATACTCAACACCCATAGTGGCTAGCCAAATGAGGCTAGAATCGAACGCCTATATGTATATTCCCAACATTTGGCAGATGAAATCGCTGGAAGTGCAATTATCAGGTACAACTAGCGGAAGCATCAAAGGAGTGATAGAAGGACACGGAGAACAAAGTGATCACACAGTGTTATCAGATACGAATGAAAGAGATCCTATTCGAGAGAATTTGATGTATAATACTTCAAAACATGGGGAGAGTACCTCGTCTGTGGGTGAAGAGAAGGTGCAAAGAGATGCAGTGCAAAAGGGTGGAAGAGAAAAAATGAAAATGTTGGATAGCTATATGAGTTCTGTTTTGAGTGATGATTTACCACAGGGTGGTTGTATCGACAACATTCCAGGTACTGATAGAAACACCATGTTGGATAATGGGTATGAACCAAGTGGTAGTAAGAACAGTGGTAATAGTATTTTCAGCAGCTACAACTCGGGAAATTCACGAGAAAAATGTGTATCAAACTTGAAAGATGAAGAAAATGTTGATCTAGAAGTGGCAGTGATGGAAAGACATAGCAGTATTCTTATAAACAGAGGAATAAAAACAAAGAAGTGTGTAGATTACTCTTTGTACAATACATATGCGAAATCATCGTTCTTACAGTGTGCAGAACAAGCAGATAATCATTTTATAGGGAATTACTTAGACCGATATAATGATGAAAATTTCCATCATTTGAGACAGAAAATAAAATTATGCTTATCTAGAACATTTGCAAATTTAAAAACAACTAGCGAAACGTGTGTTCTTCATTTTACAAATTTAATATTTGATTTGTACATAAGCAGATTCAATTCGAAAGATGAAATAATAGAAAGTATAATAAACGATATTGTAACTGAGGAGAAACAATTTTCAGATGTAATGATTCAATTATTAAAAGAATTTTATCCCAAGATTTATAACGATTTTATTTTCAAAGAACAGTTAAAAAATAAATACAATATATTGTACAAAGAATTAAAAGATTCATGTGATTTGATTTATCATTTTATAGCAATCATCTGTCTCTTCATATCACAGAAATATTATAACTATAGACTTATTTCCATTGATCTAATTGCAAAGACGTATTGTAAGAGTCATTTAGAAGGACTTCGAAAAGTGTATTCATTGAATAATGAACTAATTAAGGATGCTTCTCCTGATTATTATTCAGCTACACAATATTTGGATTCTACATTCTCATCACACAGTGTTAATAAAAATTTTGCACTAGAAGTGGAAATATGCATATTAAAAAAACTGAATTATGATTTGTCTATCCCAACTGCTTATAGCTTACTGGATAGTCTACTAAAGGCTAATGAAAATATAAATTTTTTAAAATTAAAAAATGATTACAATTCCACAGAAGGGGAAATATTACTCCGAATTGCAAGTATTGACAATATTTTCTTAAAATATAAATCCTCCACATTATCCATGGCTATATATGAAATTTTAAACTTCAATATATGTAAAGACAAGATGCAGAAGGAGTTGTTTAACTTTTCCAATTTTAAGGAAGATTTTTCCATTTTGCAGGATGCTACTCCACCATGTAATTATTCTCCCCCTACAGCAACAAGCAAGGTTGTAAATGGAGAAAAACAGATAACATCTAGTAACGCACAGGATGACACTTCTAACGGTGCAACTAACGTGGATGATGATATGGCAACTACAGATGTGCAAATAAAAAATGAAGTAATCGAAAAGAAAAAAAGGAACGAATTGAAACTCCTGAAGCGACAAGCCAGGAGCCTCATAATCGCTGAGGAGGAAGATCGATTCATCACTGCATCGAAGTATATGAATGAAAAGTCCAATCTCTACAAATGTGTTAAACAAACTATTATCAAATTGTGTGACATTATTAAAAAAAAAGTCCCCAAATATTACTATGAATCAGATTTAGATCGAACCGACAGGTTAAAAGTCTACATGAAAGGATTCCACAAAAGTAAACGGGAATACTTGAACAGACTTCGTACCAGGATAAAGATGCATGGTGTACAAAACAGGGGAAGTATCCATTCCAGTTTGGACAAAACCATGGGAGGGGCAGCAGAAGAAGAGGCAAAAGAAGATGCAGCAATCGAATCGGCTGCGACCCCTGGAGGCGCCCCACAGTTGAGCACTCCAGAAATTCCAAGAAGCAAAAAACGCAAAATGGTTGATGAGAAGAAAGATGAAGAGAAGTTTCTGAACGCAAAAAAAAAAATAAAAAAAAAATTCAGAAAAATCATAAAACATCTGAACATGATCTGTTGGGAAGACATTCCCATTCACTATTGCACTTCCTATCTCATTCAAGGAGAAGAAGTCAAAATATACATAAAAAAGGAAACCGAACTAGAAAAAGAAAAGAATAACAGCAAACAAAATGTCGAAATGAAGAAGAAAAATTCCTTAAGCGACACAAAGCTTATATATACCAAGCCAAGCAATAACAATCGCAAGAGCAACACCACGCATGAGAAATCCAAAAAGAATTATGTTATAGGGACAAGAACAAAATCAACTGATGAACATCTCGTACTTTATTACAACTTTATTAGCAAACTGAAAAGTAGACTTATTGTAGGCCTCAAATATTTCCTACGTCGAATTAAAAAAATTAAGAAAAGACAAGTGCTTGTGTCTTATGTCAATTTGAGCTATCTTCTTAACAAGAAAGGATTAAGGAAAAAAAGAAAAAAAGAAAAAAAATATATATATATTCCATTATATAAACAATTAATTAATGAAGTGAAAATTTTTTTTATGTGGATATATAAATTAACAAATATTGAAATTAGGCCCTTAATTCATTTCTCCGATCTTAAACATATAGCCGCTATAAAATATTATGAAAAAAATTACACCAAGTATGTTAAAATCAACTTTATATCTTCAACTGAAATGGATAATAACGCTCGTGTTGTCATGAGAACCACCAGTTCAGGTAAATGTACCGACTGTACATGTGATGAAAGCAAAAACAAATGTTACAGCGCAAAATTGTTATGCACACACAAAAAAAACGAACTCAAGAAGAAATACATCCAAGAAGTTAATAAATTTAACGAAGAAGAGAAGAAAAATCTTTATCCCTACTTAAAAAACAGCAATTCATTGACCGATTTGAGGTGTGAAAAACGCACGAACAAGTGCGATAGCGGCGGGGATGCAAAGAAAAACGGAAAAAAAACAAAAATGAAGTTCGCCCTTGAAAAGTGTGCAAAATATGAACTTGTTCATAATAAAAATAATTCTTATGAGCAAACTAGCCAAATTGATCAAAATGATAATTGCGAAATGGCTAGCTGCCAAAAAAAAAACAACAACAATAATAATAATGATAATAATAGTAATAGCAATAACTATAGTAGTAATAATATTAATAATAAAATAATGGAAGGGCAAGGTGGGAAAGACGAAGAGGAACAAAAAAAAGGTGAAAAGCAATTTGAAGAACAAAACACAATGGATGATTCATTTGAACGTAAAAAGGAGTATGCATCTCTGGAAAAGGAAAAACTATATTTGGAAGATAACACTGAAAACTCTAATCAAGTATTTTCAATGCCAAATTTTGAAATTTTTGCAAAAATCAACACCGATTGGATAACCATCAACGATCCTCAAGTAGACGAATGTGCAAAGGAGTTAATGGAATGTTTCTTAAAATGGAAGAACAAAAATTACATTTCGAAAAACTGGACCTTTAATGAGTATCCAAATTGCAAAGAGTACTATTTTTCACTTGTGTTTGGAGATCTCAAATCGTCCGAAACCTTGAAAGGAATTGTAGAAATGATGCATATGAAATATAATCACCTCTTAAATATATACAAGGAAAGTAACATCCATAGTGACTTAATGGGATACGACTGATAATAACGGAGAGGAGGGGAATGGGCAATGTACGAAAGCAAAAAACCATCTCTGGTAGCTAGTCATTGGTCCAGACATTTTGGCGAAAAACCTCGTCTTAACATGTAGCGTGGCATAATGTAGCGTGGCATAATGTAGCGTGGCATAATGTAGCGTGGCATAATGTAGCGTGGCATAATGTAACTTGACATAATGTAACTTGACATAATGTAACTTGACATAATGTAACTTGACATAATGTAACTTAACATAGTGTAACCACAGTACTTATACATATGTATATACATATACTTACCATATTTAGCCCTCCCCTCCTTTCTGCAAACATACTTCGTGGTGTGCCTTTTGCACCCCTTGAGGAAAATCCATAAGCAAAATTGAACAGAAAAAGGTATTGTATAAAATGAAGAAAGATGTAATGATCATTATGAGTGATTAAAAATGTTTGAAATAAGAGTGTCACTTATTCGAAATAAAAGTAACCCCTTGTTTTTATCTTACTGAGAGACTTTTTTTTTTTTTTTTTTTTTAAATCCCCCGCAGTCATATTTTCCATGTAAAAAAAAAATAACTAAATCTTTATGCCCTTTTTGATATCTTTTTTTTTTTTTTTTTTCTTCATTTTTTTTCGTATCATTCTATTCGTTCCAACATTTCTCATTTACCCCACCCACCTTGATTTCCTTTTTTTTTTTTAGATACCCTTTAAAAAAATGTATTATTTTCGTGAAAAAGAAAAAAAAAAAAAAAAAAAAAATTCACTTATAATGTTGTGTTATGCCATAAACATTATGGCTTCTCTCACGCAACGAATGAAGTAGCTAATTATCATGACAATTTTTCATTGCCCTTAATTTTTTATATATATATACAATTCTATACATTACTAGCAATTTAGTTTCACTTAGTTTAAATATAAATATATATAATATAAATATAACATATGATATAAATTATTTTCCATTTTTTTTTTTTTTTTTTTTTTGTCATATTTTAACCACATATATTAGATTATATAAAAAATACCTCAGTAGCCGACGCTAAGGCTATAAATATGACCCCTTTTTTTTTTTTTTTTTTTTTCCTATTACTACATTTTTTATATTGCATATTTTTTTTTATTTTTTGCCACTTCTCTTGCTTGTGGTTTATTTATTTTACCATGAGTGCTATTGAATGCATTGTTCTTTAACCCGTGTGAGAAAATTCGAATTTCCCAAGTCACGAGTTATTTTTCACAATTATTATTTTATTTCATTTTAGTTCATTTTAGTTCATTTTATTTCATTTCATTTTGTTTTATTTTATTTAATTTTTTTTTTTGTCACCACTGTAACACCCCTCCTCCTGTAATGATTCATTTATTAACTTCTGAATGCAACTTTCGAATGTGCATTGAAAAGGAAGAAAAGCATCCGTTTCAATCATGCGAAATTTTAAAAACAAGTGTCAGCAAAGTAAAAATATGTAATCACATAAGCATGCTTCTATGCATGTATAAAATAGGGAAGTAAGCCCTATTGGGTGTGTATAAACAAATTCAGCAAAACTGGGTTGTTGTCCCTAATGTTACGAAATGAAAATTTTGTCTCATAGTGATATACAACACTTAGTGAAACACACGCATCAAACCATCACTACAAACAGTATATATGTTTTTATAATTAAGAGTTTTTTTTTTTCCCAAACTCAATATTCTCATGACCAAAGAAAAACAATCTTCCGGAGAAAAGTAATTCCATCGCCCCAGGTAACACATCTGGACTAACGAGCTACATACATGAAAGCATTATCAGAAGGTGATAAAATGTCTAACTTGAAAAAACAACAAAAAAAAGTGAATAGGAAAAAGATAACAAAATTTAACATGTCCAAAAAGTTTGCACAAAAAATGGGTGCACTTAAGGAATCGTTCTACGATGCATTGGGAGATGACGTGACATGTGATGAAGAGAAAGAGAACGCGAATGACAAGAAAAAAGGGAAGGAGAAAATTAGAAAGGATGGAAACATTTCCCCAGAGTGGCATAACCTTAGTGAGGATGCACATTCATCAGAAGCACAAGGAGTAACGAAAATACGAGGGAGAGAAAAAATAAAAATGTATAGTGGTATGAAAAAAGAGAAAGAAGAAAGTTATAGAAGTAAAAAGTACAACATCCCATCATCACCGTCTCCATCACCATCATCCTCCCATGTAAGTACTAGATATGGCAAAAATGGAAGGATAATATCAAAAAGATACAGTTGCAAAGACTGGAAGAAGAGGAAAGTGAAAAGAATACAAGGAAAAGCAATAAGAAAAGAAAGAAGGATTTATTATAGGTATATTAAATATATGTTCCTTATCAGGGGAAATCATATAAGTGAGTTTGTCCAAAAAAATGGAAAAAATCGTTTTTTCCATTATCTAAATGAATTGAAGAGAATATACTATTGTAAGGAACATGCTGTTGATACTTACAAGATGATGATGAATGATATAGATAATAATTTGAATGAATATATGGAGATGACAAAGGTGGAGAATAGCCAAACAAAGTGCGAAACAAAAAAGTGCCACACATCAAAGGATGATGATTTGGCGTACTTCATACAAAAGCAATATTTATGCAGTTCTATTCTAGAACTTTTTCACAATCTAGGGAGAGAAGTGATTCTTTTAACCCACCTGATGAAACCTAGACCTCACGAAATAATAAAGAGGAAAAAACTACTAAATGAAGTGGAAATATTTTTGAAAGGTATATATCCAGAATTTTACCTTTTAATATTTGGCTCATGTAATACAGATTTGGACATGTACAACTCAGACATGGATATTTGCATCTACAACAGTATCGAAAACAACAGAACAAATGTCCATAAATTATACAATGAAATGAAAAATAATAAATTATTTAAAAAAGCAATTATAAAAGAAATAATAAATGCAAAAGTACCAATAATTAAATGCTTCTTCACAGAAATGCAGATATCTATCGATTTTTCATTCAATCAAGTGAGTGCAATTGTGAGTACAATAAAAACACAAAATTATATAAAAGAAAATGCCCTCATCAAATATGTAATTATATTTTTTAAAATATTATTAACAGAATATAATTTAAATGATGCATCACAGGGGGGAATTAGTTCTTTTAAATTATTCCTTATTATCATTAAATTTATGGAAGAAAATGAATTTGTATTTTTTAAAAAAAATATTTATTTATACATAGGAGAAGTTATTCACAAATTTATTTCTTATTTTTCTTTATTTAAAGATAAATCTGAAGAAAAGATGTACTCATTCTTATCAATTATGTACTCTTATGACACATCCCTTGTTTATGCACGAAGTAGTTCTGCTATGATGGATGATATGTCCACTACTCTATTACAATCAAAACAAAAATTGAGAAAAAAAAGAAACTTTCCAAAATTAAATAAACTTTTTAGTGATATATTCTGCAAATTAAACATTATAAATCCAAATATAAACGATAGAAAAGGTGCACTTGCATTTGAAAAAATTTTCCTAGTTCGTCATTGCTTAAAAAAAGCACTTTATGCTTTATCAGAATTTCTAATATCCCTTGTGAAGAAAAATAACGTACACATATCTCCTCAATATAATTCTCATATATTTGAAGACACGCTTTCTATTTCTGCATTTTTTCACTTCATGAGACAGGAGAATTTTAACACCTTTTTGAACAAGTATTATTTTCTCTTTTATAGAAACATGAGTTCTCTGTGTTCGCCCATTATCTCCACAGAAGAAAAATGCATACGAATACAAAGTGAAATAACTCACTTAGAGAAGAAAAACCATGAGAATGACTCCAAGGTATACTCTCCATTTGGAATAAACCAAATGGAAACCACACCTGAGGGGTGTAGAGATGAGTATGGCTCGTGTACAAATGGGTATAACTCGAATGGGTTGAGCGACTCGAATGGCTTGAATGATTCGAATGGCTTGAGCGACTCGAATTGTGTGAAAAAAATTGGGCATGATTCTCCTTCGATGGGTGAAAAAGAATCCTCCTTTAAAAAAACAGTTGATAACATTCGGACAGATGTGTTTCATCCATCACTAAGAAACCACAAGTTAGATACAATAAATGAACAGAAAGAAATGAACACGAGTTATGTTGTGAATCCACGCGAGAATACATCCATAGTGGATTCTAATGCTAATGACATATTCAAGGAATACCATTATGATCAATCCGAAAGCTCAAAAATAAAGGATCAGAAAAACCGTAACAATATTAAAAAAGATGATCCTCTGGATGAAATGAAAAATTGTTTAAAAATTGGAAATTCAGAATTTTGTGATGAATTAATAAGTAAGGAGAATAACACATTATCTCATGATCAAATGAAATGTGCAAATGTTTTAAAAACATTCAAAAAATATTTCCACAACTGTATATTTAAAGATGTAGAAAATGAAATTAATAATATTTATAACTCTATTGAGAATAACACAAATAATCAAAACAAGATAATATGGAACATTCGATCAAAATTACCAATTGTTAATTGTATTTTGGATGTAAATAAATTGCTATGCAACAGATTTCATTATCACCAAATATTTTATATTCCTATGGACGACAGAAGTAATCATCAACTTGTGAGTTCTGATCCACATCTGGATAACCGCGCATTGAATGTGTTGAAAACAAAAATGCTTTCTAATTTAGTAAGGTTTAAAAATTACCATCCAAATGATGTCATGTCCCTCGAAATAAAGAATGAATTATTTGTTCATCACAGACGTTTTACCTAGCTTAAAATGAGCACTACAATTTTTATCATCTCCAAAAAATTGTTTCCCTTCTGACAAGTACATTGGGGCAAGCAACAGGGAAGGGTCTCGCTTATCACATCCCGACACAGCAACACATAGATGCAGAAAAAAAATAAAATAATAAAATAATAAAATAAAATAATAAAATAAAAAATATATCAACCCAATCAAACACTTTCAATTAGCATGAATTTTTTACGCAAATCCTCCTGAACTTTGTGAATAAATGAAGTTATGCTGGATATCCTCCCATCAGATTGTCTACCAGAACCTTGATTCGGAATTTTCTTGCATCTATGATGATGGTTCTTTTGTTTAATAACATTCATAGATCCTATCTCCTTCTTCTCTTCCTCACCTTCTTCATTTTTTGAGCGTATCTTGTTCGTGTTCTGCTGCTTATATTGTTCTGTGTCCACCATCCCATCATGCTTGTGATTGCACCCCTCAGAGTAGTTCAGATTTGGTAAAATGAAATGTAGAACTTTTATCTGATTAGCAGACGATTGTGTACATTTCACATAATTCAGAATACTGAAAATAAGAGAATACATAAATGCATACACAACGGGACGTTTATTGTTATAAACAACATTATGCACATATGGAAGAGAACACGATAATGAAGAAACATTGTGCATTTTACACAAATCTAATATCTTAAATATAGAAAGTAGTATAATTTGAAAACTTTTTCTGTTTGCATTCTTTGGTATTATCACATGGTAAATTATATCCACGTTGATATTTTTTTTTTTTTTTAAAAAATTTGGATAATTTGGATAACTTGGATAATTTGAATAATTTGGATAATTTGGATAACTTGGATAATTTGAATAATTTGGATAACTTGGATAATTTGAATAATTTGGATAATTTGGATAACTTGGATAATTTGAATAATTTGAATAATTTGAATAATTTGGATAATTTGAATAATTTTTATAAAAATTCTTATTTCTTTTTTCCTCCGACTCGTATGCTTTTTTCCCGCCCTCTTGATTATTCATAAAATTATGACTACTTTTTCTAAATTTGTCATAAATTGGCACCATCGGTGGGGGAGGGAATACATTACTAGTATTAATTTTACTCAAAGTGAAAAATTCATTTGCGTGCTGTTTAATCGCTGTGATATCATATGGTGACACTTTTTTCTTTTTTTCTTCTTCTTCAGTAGAACTGGCTCTACAGCTAGAGTTGCTTATCGAGTTGTTTTTCGGATCCTTTATCGAGTTGTTTTGGGGGTTCTTTATCGAGCTGCTTGTCGTGCTGCTTTTGCTCATTCCTATTTTCAAATTAGTATGTCTTGTTATGATGATATTTCCACATCGTAATTTTGTTCCGTTAGCGCGCCTAGAGCCGCCTCTCTGGCGCTTTTTTGCCTGAACATGTTCATGTCCCTTTTGTACATATTTATCTTCCATACAATTGTCTTTCGGATGAACACTTATAAACTCGTGGAACATAGCTAGCTGTTCTTTCAAGGTAGGAAAGATAAAGTCTGTTTTCTGCATACTGATGTTAAAAAGGTTTTTGTATATATTTTCTTTACAAAAATTATTTATATCTTCATTCATGTATAGGATAAGCCCATTTAATTTTTTATCTTTTATGCTTATTTTGTTTAGATGATTCTTAGATTCCTCCTCCCCAATGTCATAAGAGTTCATCTCATTTAGAAATCGAATAGAATCATCTCTAAGATATTTGTACGTACTATCGTAATTCTTTTTAAAAAAGTTTTTTTCATTCATAGATCTTATACATCTACTTCTAAAGCGTCCATTCTTATCAAAATATTTTGAACCCCTTTCTGCCAAAGCGAGAAACCTAGTCTCTTCCCTTACAACATCTGCATTATTAGTAGAGGTAGTATTATTCGAAATAATTGTAGAATAAGCAATAGAGTTCTTCACTTTTGAAAGTTCGTTAGCATCTACTTTTTCATTCTCCAACAGGGTTCTCTCACGAGTGACTGATTCTATTTTGTGATTTGCCTTCTCGATGTTGCAACACTTTGGCAATATCTGAGTGCACAGTTCATCATGAACCATGCATCTGTAGGCATAAGAATCTTGAGATAACCGAATTAACAAATCATAGAATCTCTCCTTGAAGGCCTCATTGTTCTTTTTATTGGATTCAAGCAGGTTCTCGATTTCACCAAGACTGAATATGATTGAAAGTTTCAACGTGTCACACAGAGAGTGCTTTATGTAGAAATGAAGATAACTTACTATATTTAACTTACTTTTAATCAATTTGTAAAGGTATAAAAAATGAAAAAATTTTATTATATATGCAAATCGTGTACAATATCCCTTGCCCGTGCAAGTAAAAAATTCATTTTGTTTATCCTCTATTGAATCGTTCACAACTGTCTCAACTTTTTTGAATTCATCCATTGGTAGAGGTGGCAAAGATAAAACATTCTTCTCATTCTGTATAATATTAAAGATGTAAAAAATATGTTTTTTATATTCTTTCAAATTTATAAGTTGCATTACCTTTACTTCGTGTTCGGTGTGTCTAGATAAAGCCTCCTTCTCAGCAATATGCTTAAAAACCATATCATTAATTTTTCCTCCATCGTTAGAAGTATTCTTTTTTATCATTTTATTTTGATTAATAAAATTTTCCATTTCATAATTATGTGTTATTGACAGTTGTTCTTTTTTTCTTTTCATCATTTCTACATTTTCGAAATGCATTTTATTCATATGTTTAAATAGATTGTAAATATTTTTATAAATGTCTATGTGGATGTTTTTATTTAAATTCTTTGCTTCTCCTTCTTTTTCTAGATCCTTTCTGTTATGTTGGTTTCTGATTCTACATTTTACATTCAACTGTATGAGATATTTCCAGTATTGTGTGTGCCCATATAAATGTTTCATCTCTTGAACAAATTGATATTCTCTGAACTTATCACATCCTACGGGTGTGAAAAATGGAATTCCTTTCGATCCATACATATGAAAGCGCGTTTTTTTTCTAATTGAAGTAGCCATTCTTGCGTCACTAGTCCGAGTATCCTTATTGTCTGCATTGATAGTAGCACTATTTGCACAACTTTTTCTAAACTCAGAATCCTCATAGATACCATTGTCAATGTCACATTGTACTAATTTCCTATTTGGGTATTTATCTCTCTTCTGATCGGATTCATAACTTATGTATCCATTTTGTTTATATAAATTTCCTCGCCTCAGTATTTCCCTTCCATTTATATCCTTTATTTGTTGTTCTTCCTGTATTGGCACATGTGTAGGATTTTCAGTAGCGACATGATACCTCCCCTTGTCATTTATTCGTCCAATTGCATAATGGCTGGTTAGCAGTCTCTTTAATTTGATCGAATTGAACTTCCTCCCTTTTGTTAACTGCTTTGTATTCAAAATGAAAGCAGCTACATCACTGTGATTGTTGAAATCATAAGGGATATCAAAGTGGACGGAATTGTTGCTGTCCAACTGGGAGAGAAGAAAATTAAAATAAGAATAAATTACATAATTAAAAATTATGAAATATTCTTCATCAAAGTGTGTCTTTCCTTTTTGTTCATACTTTTTTAATATCCTTTTATGTAACTTGATCAGGGTGATTATCAAGTCACGGTCAAAATGGCAGAATATCAAATTCATGCAAAAAATAGAGACATTTTTGGTGACATTTCTGTAAAACTTTGTTATTCGTTTGAAAAGAGGCCCTCGGGGGGTTTTCATTTTCCACCTCCCCTGTTTATATATATAGCTGTCGTTGCATATTTTATTCTTCAAAAACAATTAACGCCAATGCAAGTGCAGGTCAGAATGTGATACAAAATGCAGGTCAGAATGTGATACAAAATGCAGGTCAGAATGTGATACAAAATGCAGGTCAGAATGCAATACAAAATGCAGGTCAGAATGCAATACAAAATGCAGGTCAGAATGCAATACAAAATGCAACTCAAAATGTAATTCAAAATGTAAATCCAAAAAGTGTCACCTTGCAGGCAAGAATTTGTTTCGTTTTTACCTGAACATTCAGAACAAAATTGGGATTTAAGAAAAAAAAAAAAAAAAAAAAAAAAAAAAATTGAAGGCACGAAAATAGAAAGTAAAATAATAGCTAAACAAATAAGTAACCACGCGGATGCACAACTACACAAACACGGAAAACAAAATTAAAGAAGCACATTGTGGCATGCAGTGCGCACGAATTGTCTTATAGTTCTTTGAACAAAAAAAAAAAAAAAAAAAGGTAAAATGCTACACACAACGAAGCAAGGTGAAATGAACAACTAAAAAAAAAAAAAAAAAAAAAAAAAAAAAAATTATTGTTCTTTCTTCACCTCCATTTTGTTTTCTTTCTTTATCACTTCTTTTTTTTTTTTTTTTCCACAATATTCAGATTAAAGAAGACGTTAAAAATATTTCATAAGTGTATGTCAAATGGTAAAAGGATTGAAATATGTCAAGGGGAAAATACGTGTGCGAAAAAGGGCTATGTGTGCACACATGCTAGACAACATGAGGAGACGTGTGGCGTAGACCAATTAAGCTACAGCTAGTTGTGGAACAACCAATATAGTAGCAGTTGTACATGGTGAGAGGATATCTTTCCCCATTGTGAATGAATCGGATTTGTCAACTTGGGGCACGTGTATGTACTACTGACATTGCCACGCTGGGTGCAGGTGGCATACAAAGAACTTTTATATCTCCTTATTTTATTTTTTATTTTTTTTTTTTGGTGTGTAAATATTATAAACTGTCAATGCGTTTTTTGTGTTTTTTTTTTTTTTTTTTTTTTTTATCTTCTATTTTCACGGGGGTTGGGTGGGGGTGCTTTCTCCCTCTTTTATTGTCTTCTCATTCGATGTAAACATTTCGTTCAACTCCCAGAGAGCTTTCAAAATTATTTTATTATTTTATTTTTTTCCTTTTTTTTTTTTAATGCCAAAAGATTCACTTTGTAATGTTCGAAATTACGTAAGCCTAAAAGAGGATTAAAAAAAAAAAAAAAAAAATTATGTTACATGAGTAAAATAAAAAAACTTTTGTTTAATGCGAAAAAGGTTCGCTGTTCATAAAGGTTATTGCCAAGCTAGCTTTTTTTTCTTTTTTTCTTTATTTTTTCCCTTCTATTATTTTTCGACGCGTGGTGCACACCAAGACACTGGTGAGGTTGCCTACCTGGTCGTCTTGCTCAATTTTCATAGTCCTTGAGGGGCAGGAGAGTACGAAGAGTTTACGAGATTTTCTGCTTAGAGGAGAAATGTCCATGTAACGCAAAATTCCTATACACAAGCATTGCTTGTTGTGGAGGAAGTAGGAGAAACATTTGTAGAAGCTCTTCTTGTAAAAGTAAGATGGAATTGGAATTAAGCTGACTTGTCCTGTGCTTAATTTTAAATTTTGATGAAAAGCTTTTGCATTTTTTGAATATTCATTTATATCAATACCAAGTAGAGAATATATAACAGAATATTCAATTGCATATTTACTTATGGGTAAAGAAAAAGAAACTAAATTATGAAGCATCTCATCAACAAATATGTTTGCTGAAACAAGTTCAAATGTGTAAATATATTCTCCACAATTTTCCCATATTTTATTCATTTTTTCATTGTCGTTATAATTTTCATATGATAAATTTATACTTCCATCAATGTATTCTAAGCTTTCTGAATTCTTAATTAAACATATAAGGTATGGATTTCGATTAGTATTAAAAATGTTTAGCATTCTTCTCCCTCCCCTTTGCTGTATATATGAACTACTATTACTGCTTCGATTGGACGAGCTGTAATTGGAGCTGCTAGTGTTAGATGATATGGGGGACCTGTCTGAAGATGATGCAGATGATGTTGTTGGAGATGATGCACACGATGTGGTGAACAAGGAGGATGAGCAGGTTGTCACTTTTATCATTTCATTCAGTTGATGAGACATATTAGTAGAAAATACCTTCTCGTTAATATTTTCATCCTTAAATTCTTTTTTAAAAATTTTTTTTATCAAATTTAGGTAATTATATTTATTCTTTAGCACAGTATTGTATAACTGATATATTATATTTTTTATGATTATAACTTCGTTATCTATTCTGTATGCATCCTTGTCAATGAAGAGACTATGATTGGCATTGAATATTACGAGTCTCTTTGCATAGAATAAACCTGCTTGTATCAAGTTTGTGCTATTTAATGCTGACCCTCTGATAAATGCAACGCTATCGGAAAAGTTGAAAATATCATTTTCATAGTTGAATTTTGGCACATGCAAAGACAGAATTATCATATTATATTTCATTTCCATGCGGATTTTTTTTTTATTCCTCCTCATCTTGTTCTCCAGGACACTATCTCTCCCGCTGTCTTCTGAACTGCTACTACAGTCTCCATGACCACTGCTGCTTTCTCCATTACTGCATGCATCCGTATGGTAGTTCCTTTGCTTCTGCTTCTGGTTCTGCTTCTGGTCGTGCTCCTGATTCTGGTTCTGGTTCTGCTTCTGCTTCCGATTCCGATTCCGATTCCGATTCTGTTTGCACCTTCTCATTTTCTTCCCCTTGTGCCGCAGGCAACTGCCGAAGCGCATCTGCAAATGCTTGAGAAACATGTGTATGTTGTCTGGCCACCCACACACGAGCAGCAAGGGTTTGTTCTTATCTGTAAATATGTCCCTGTATGCTGATATGTAATTATCAATTTCATAAATACCCAAAATGAAATTGTAAAAGAGGTTACTCTTCCTTCTTATTATTCCTTCCTCTGGATCAGAAGTTCTTCTTCCTCTCTTTTTTCCTTCCTTTGGGTCATCTTCCTCACGATTATTCTTACAGACACGATTGTTTTCGCCATTATTATCATTATGATTTTCTTCCCCCTTATGGTCTACATCTGGACTTGTAATTGATTCGTCATCATTTTGTCTGAAATTAACTTTCCCACGTTTTGAATATGTCTTTTTCTTCCCTTTTTCTCTAGCATCGTTTTCATTATCACAGGAGTGATGCATTCCCTCCTCCTTCTGCTCCTGCTCTCCTTTATGTCTACTTCGAGGAGGTACACTTTTCGTGGTAAGATGAAATCTCTCACTGATTCTTCTGTCGTTATACTCGTACACCTTCTTCGAGATATTCTTAATAGAAGATAACTTAATCAAGTTATCTAAACTAGTAGTTAGAATAATGCCAGAAAAAGCAGAAGTATAATAGAACTTATTTTCTTCTCCTATAATATAATCAGATGGATTTAAAAATATTTCCTTATTGATAGTTATAATACCAATTAAAAAGGCGCTATATTTTTGGTACAAATATTCTGTCGCTGTTTGAAATAAAAAACCTCTCATACATTCAGGAAATTGAAATCGATAAATGTTATACTTTAAGCCTTCTAAATAGTAATACATATTTAAACTAACTCTTTCAAGCATATGATAATAGTTCCTATAACTAGGGCTATGTGAAACATCTACTTCTTCCATAGATTTCAAAAGGAACATGCCATTTTGATATATGCTATCTATATTTTCTTTTGATTCTATCACTTTGTTTTTTTTCTCTCCTTCTGATTCGCTACTACTGCTCTGTCTAGTTTGTTGCATATCAGAATGGCTTGCATTCACTCCCTTCCTATTCACCTCCTGCATCTCCGTCTCCTTCATTTCTGTTTTGTCCATTTCAGAATTGTTAATTTTATTCTTCCCTTTCTTCTTATCACTCTTCTTATCTTTCTCCTCTTTGTTTCTCCTCTTTTGGCTCCCTCGCTGCACAGCGCTTCTCCTGTTGAAGGTACCAGGTTGTCTATCCCTGAATGTGTTGCCACGTGGGTTCTTCGATTTCTTCATCGGTCTTATATCAGAATCCATGGCATTGAATGACATCCCTGAAGCAGAAGAGGACATTTCACTGCTACTGTTAATATTATTTCCTGCAGCATTATTCATTTTTTCTCGGTTCTTTCGTTTCAGAATTCTATTATACATGAGCAATTTCAAATCAATAATGTATTTCTTCAAACTTTTAACTGCCTTTGGTTTGTAAAAAAAATTTATGATTAAGAAGAAAAGTCCTTTACAATTTATGCTTTTGGCTAGTAGTGCATATTTCAACTCTTCCATGCTGAGGTAGTTGTATACATTCATGGATTTTATTAATTCCTCATAAGTATTATTAGACAACTGAAGTGTGATAGGTATCAGTGTGTTACAAATGTTGTAGGTTCCTATGAATCTTAAAAGACATTCTTGATCATCTCTTTCTTTTACAAAATGAGAATCATTAATGTTCATGTTCATTTCTAAATTATGCATATTATTTTTGTTTATTTCATTTTTATATTCTGAGAAAATATCTGAATATTTCCACTTCTTTGTTTTCTCTCCATTAAATTTGTTTATAATATTATTATGTATAATATCATTTGAACTAATTCTTTGACTCTGATCATTGTTATTAAAATTTAAATTGTTGCTAGCCAAAAATATTTGCTGATTCTGAAGTGTGTATTTTTCTGAATCCACATTATTCAATATGTACAAAGCTCTAGCATTTATCACAGCATCGTAAATGATACTTGGACAAATGAAACATTCATTTCCTCCATTAATACATACTTTTATATTTGTATTCTTCACTATACTCCCATAGACAAAACGGTATATAATAACTGGTAAAGGAGTAAATAAAAAAATTGATTCTACTGAATTTGGAAAGCTGTTATTTATTGCTTTACAAATGTATAATAATTGAGTAGGACTTACTGGACCAAGTATAAGTATATAATCATCATCTTGTTTTGGAATAATTCCCATGATTGTTTTAGGACTAAACATGGCCTCCTTCAATCTTTTAAATTGTGCTCCAACAAAACTGATACATGTAATTATAATAAACATTGTTAAATATTTACCTGCAGGTGTTACAGGAGTATAATCTCCATATCCAACAGTTGACATAGTTATAACACCAAAGTATATAAAATCGAGAGGTGTCACAAAATCTCTTTCTATATCTGGAGCTTCTAAAATATACATGATTCCAGAAAAAGTAAATAATATTGCTAATGCCAAAATGATAATTCCAATAATTATAATTTTTACATCACTCAACCAGAAGAAGCATGAACTGATTGTACTTTCTGCTCTTACTAATCTTAAAAATCTTAACGGACCTAATATCAAAAACCAGTAATTTTGACTATACTTATTTTCACACATGAAATTCATGATTAATGAAGATACAGGTGTGGTTATAAAATCTATTAATGAAAAAAAAGAGAAAATATATTTCAATTTATTATTTGTAAAGTATAATCCAAAAAAATAATCAAAAACACCACACCATTGGAATGTGCATTCTATGTACCCATATAAGGAAGGTACATTTTTCATATTCCATTCTGTTATTTGATAATTTTTTGGCTTTCTTTCCATATAGCTAGCTGCCCATAGCCATACAATACACCACATAACTATTCTAATCAATATAGCAATAATCCAAACGGGTTCATAAGACATGTAATGTACAAACTGATGTTTTATATAAAGAGATATTCCTCTAAAAAAGAGAAATAAATTATTCCTCGTTTTAGAAGATTTCATATTATAATTAATAAAAAAATAAAATAATTTTTTTATCTTATTCAAACATTTCATTCTTCTAAAATAACGAGTTCTACCTCGAATTAATTTCTCATATTGATATTTTCTCTTTTTTTTTTTATTACTAAATAGTATTGCACTTTTTGCTGTATATAAATTGGATCTAATATCTAAACCTTCTTTGCTATGTGATTTTATTTCCTTACATATCATACGTTTTTGAAAATGTTCATCTTCTTCTTTCTTCTGATCTGATATTTCCATTTTTTTTCCATTATTTCTTTTCTCTTCACATTTCTGAATACATACTTTTTTGTATCTATTTTTGTTAAATCCTACCTCTTCTTCACTGCAAGAAGATGTATATTCAGAGCTACCTGATTGTATATTCTCTGTATGTGCTTTCAAAAATTGTGTAACCATATTGTTTTTATAAGACGAAGTAAATGTTAATGGGACGTATTTGTTATATATGGAAGATTTTATAGATTTTATTTTACTCTTACTTGGAACAAATTTACTTGATCTATGTCCAAGAAATATTTTGATATTACTGAAACTAGCTGAATCTTTTAACATCATATCATTATCTTCATTTAAATTAATATTAAAACTAAGGGATTTGGAAAAATTAAAATTTTTCTTCTTATTCACTTTTTTCATATCACTATTCATCCACATGTTGCAATCATCTAGGTAGATACTTTGTCTCTTGTAGTTATTTCCATTATCGTCATTATTTCGATTTTTTCCTATAGTCGTCAGTATATTATTTTCATTCTTTTGCATCTTGGATTGTCCTGAACCCACATTCGTTAGTAATCCGTTAGCTAAACGGTCACTATCATCTGGTTTATCATTTTTCTTCTCCTTCTTTTCGCGTTTAGATTTATTATATCCCATGAAAAGATTTTTCACACTATACCTTTTATTATTATTTCTATTTATAGTGAAAAGGGCAAATGTATTTCTCCTCTTTTTCTTGCCTCTCTCAATGCTAATGGAATCCTTGTCATCACTATTAGATGGACTATCATAATAAAATGGTTTATATTGATGTGAATATTTGTTTATGTTTCTTGCTCTTGTGAATATATTTTTTAAAATGCGATAGAAAAAAGGGAATTGTAACAAAATGTAAGAAATTAACATACTTCCAAATTCAAGAACAATAATATACACGATTATAACTGGACCATAATTTGTCGAAATATCAATTGATGCGTAAAGTATCAGTATAACAATTAGCAAACAAAGCATAGATGTGAATACTTTGTATATATAATTTTGGATTCTATATATCTTTATTTGATTCCCTTTTTTTTTTTTTTTTTTTTTTTTTTTTTTTTTTTTTTTTGTTTTGAGTTTCTATATTATTGTGTTCGTATCTGTCATCTTGTATAGAAATCAATTTTTTCACCTTCCCATTTTTACCATTCCATCTCCTCACCTCATCAAGATTGTCATGATGCTCACTCTTCGATTCGCTATGTTCTACAAAATCAGAATAGATAAATGTCTCATCTTTTCCTTCTTCCTCGTCTCCTTTACAATCATTCAACTGAACAGTATTTGACGATATCACCACTTCTTTTCTTGTTCCTTCTAAACGTTTATCATTTTTATCTTTTCCATGAACAAACCCTTTCAAAGTTTTATTTTTCTCAGGGTTATCCCTCATCATGCTTTTCCCAATGTGTCTTTTAATTTTTTTTTTTTTTTTTTTTTCCCAACCCCTTTTACTACTAAGAATAAGTGCATCGGTTAGGAGGTATTACATATTCAGGATTGAACATAGTTATGGGGTGTTTTGCTTCGTCTTTGTTTGTAGCTCTGGGTGAGTATTGACTTGAAATATTTCAATGAATTGAACAAGTTGAGATGGCAGAACCAGTGGAAGCATCTGCTAAGCGTTTTTGTGTCGATTAGACTAGCAAAAAGCATTAGCGTCATGGATCCCTCCTGATGAACTGGAGTAGCAATTATAAAAAAAAATTTCAAAATTTTTATTTATATCAACTAACTAGATCCGTATAATACCATTTTAGGGATGTTTTCTCTTCTAATATACTAAGGAAAAGTATATTCACGTGTCTTTTTTTTTTATTTTTTTTATTTACACCTTTTGACCGATAGGACTATTCGGCAAAAGCAAATTATCCACAATGTTACATAAAAAAAATAAAATAAAATAAAAAATAAAAGGTATAAACTGAGTTATAATGCAATCATTCCGGAATTTTTGACTTAATCCCTTCCCCCCACTTAGGTTGATTCTACAGCTGCAAATTTGAAATTTGAAATAGACTCGAGAGGGAAATTTTATTTTTGTTGTCTAGAATAAGACGAACTCGTTTAAGTTACATAGTAAAGATGGATATACATATACATATATATATATATATATATATGCATGTCTGTACTCATCTGTTTATTTGTGTGGGTTTAGCTGCCTCTATATGTTCATATGCATTTTCGTAGTGACGTCATGAGCTCCTATGCTTCTTCTCTTCTGCTGGAAAATGTTCTCCATAATATATTCATCTGTATTTTTTTTTTTTTTTTTTTTTTTTTTTTTTTTTCCCTCTTGGGATGTGTATTTTACAATTCTGAGCATAACGCAAGGGAGGTATGTGTGGGGGAGAAATAAAAAAAAAAAAAAAAAAAAAAAAGAGTTTCAAAATTGTGCCATGTGTAATAAAAGTGTTGGGGATGATAATACTAAAAGGGTGGATGATATAAAATAGCGCTTGAAATGGTATCTTACGGGAGACAAATGAAAACACAAAAATAATCATACGGAGCAGTAAGAAGTAAATTAAAATTAGTTAAATAATTTGGGGGTTTAAAGCAAAGTAATTGAACACGGGGAAACGATACATTTCCCTTGCCCTAAAAAAAAATAACACCTTTTCTTTTTTATTTAGATTTTTTTTTGTCAAAAATTAAATAAAACCTTAATTTGTATGGGGAGCATGGAGCTAACCCTTCGTCCTTTTAAAATAAATTCAAACAAGTGCTACATGCAATACGCGATACACAGTGTAGTTGCAAAATATGTGAGAAACGTTTCTTTGCTTTGCTTTTGTTTTGTTTTGCTTGTTTTGTTTTGCGTGTTTTGCTTTACTTGTTATGCTTCTTTTGTTATGCTTCTTTTGTTATGCTTCTTTTGTTTTGCTTTACTTGTTATGCTTCTTTTGTTTTGCTTCTTTTGTTTTGCTTCTTTTGTTTTGCTTCTTTTGTTTTGCTTCTTTTGTTTTGCTTCTTTTGTTTTGCTTCTTTTGTTTTGCTTCTTTTGTTTTGCTTCTTTTGTTTTGCTTCTTTTGTTTTATTTTATTTTCCTCTCTTTTTTCCTTTTTCTCGCCCATTTTTATTTTTATTCCTTAATGTGTATTAACCTGTGTGAATTGAGCGGTGCACACATGTGGCTCCAACTTCTGTTCAGAGATCTCATCCGCACTAAGTTCACTAGGTACTCCTTTATGTGTGCTTGCTCATGAAAAAAAAAAAAAAAAAAAAAACGGACATATGCTTGTGTAACGTATTTTTTTTTTTTTTTTTTTTTTTTTTTTTTCATCCGTTTTTTACATCTTTCCCATATCATGTTAATATTTATACATTTTCACACACTTTCACCCCCAGAAAATTTCTCTTTGGTGATATTTTAAGCAACTGTCGAAAAAACTCTTGTGTTCAGTAGGAAATAGAAAATAATTCATTATTGCCTAGAGATTGGGAGAGTTCATAAAATAAAGAAATCATATATAATGCACTGAGGGAGAGTTACAAAAAAAGTAAAAAAAAAAAAAAAAAATGTGTAAATGTTTTTGGCATAGGAATGAAAAAGGATGGAAATGATAAGGCAAAACATAGGCACGACCAAAGGGGACTTATCAACAAATGTGATAAAGGTTATAATGAACAAAATGGACAAAAAATAAAGAAAAAAATTAGTGGACTTTGACTTTGTATCTTCTGCGATAGTAAGTAAATGAATCCTTTTTTTATTCTTCTTCTACCTTCATCATATAACTACGGTTACACACGAGAAAGGGAAAAATAGTGTATGAAACTGTATACAATTGCCTCCCACCCACCATGTATCAAGGGAATGATTGGATGGTGGAGAAATATTCTGAAGGGTCCCACAAGGGTAAGAAAAAATATAAAGTGACTAATTTTGGTGCTACAATTTTGACGCTGTCATTTGAAAGTACATTTGGATATGCACGTGGGTTGTCAGAAAGAAACAGTAGGCTACAAAAGAAAGGCTTTTTTTTTTTTTTTTTTTTTTTTTTTTTAATACACAAATTACGAATATGTAAATTTACATGTACACTATTTTGCTGGGAAAGTAGAAACATAAACATGTCGGTATTGCCACGTAGATTTTTTGCATGAGCCATAAATATATTCCAAAAATTTTCACAAACCCAGTCATAAGCAAAAAAAAAAAAAAAAATAAAATAATAATAAAATAAATAAATAAATGAAATAAAAGATAAAATAAAATAAAAAATATAAGATAAAATAAAATAAAAAATAAAAGATAAAATAAAAGATAAAATAAAATAAAAAATAAAAGATAAAATAAAAAATAAAATAAAGAATAAAAGATAAAATAAAAAATAGTGTAAACAATTGAGTAAGCAAATATAACGAAGCAGCATAGCAAAGAATTAACATAAAAGGATGAAATGATAAAGGTCTGTAAGGCGTCACAACGGAACTCTCCAAACGCGCATTCATAAACCACTAGGGAAGAACCCACGTTCTCAAGAAAGATTCCACTTTTTCTTGAGTGTGCTACTGTGCATCTGTGTGTTGTTTTGAATCACGGATTTTTTTTGAAAATCTTCATAGACCTGTAAAAAATAGAAGGGGCACATAGAAGCAGCAAAATAAAAAAGAAAAGGTGAAATGCTGCATGAGAGAAGCGGAGTGTTACATCTGAGTGTCACATCTGAATATCACATCTGCGTATCACATCTGCGTATCACATCTGAGTGCCACATCTGCGTATCACATCTGAGTGCCACATCTGTGTATCACTTCTGAATATCCAGAACCGAGGGCAAAACGACAGCCCAAGCCAGAACAAGATCCCTCAAAGGAGAATTGCCTTTGCCGAGAGGAATTTTGCTCCTCTCCTAAGGGGTTCGACATTTACACAAACAGCGTATCACAAAATTGGGACGAGAATTCGATTTAGGATTATCTGCGCATTTATAATTCTCTGGGCAATAAACATGAAATGCATTATGGGTATAAAATGCATGAGTCGTGGGGGTAGTGGAAATGTGCTTGCCGTGCCCAAAAAATTCCTTTTCGTAAAGGCGGGTTCTACATATAAATTTGCATCTGGGCAAACTAGCCAAAATAAAAAAGACGAACAAGTAATAAAAACTAAGAGACCGATAAACATCAACACAACGAACAGGAGTATATTTACCGATACGAACCTGAAGACCAACCCTGTGAGGGAAGAAAAAAATAATAATGAGAAAACAATTCGAACCAATGAGTACACTTCAGTTGATATAGATGGGGAAGATAATTTCAAAAATGAACAATTTGATAACGAAATGTCACATCGTGATAATCTGAACGAGGATTTAGAAAATTATAACGAATTTGACAGATATGAAGGACGGGGAAAGGATGTTCGAGAAAATGGGTTCATGAACTATAAACAAGGTGAAGGCAGATTTAAAAATTATGAAAGAAGAAAAAATAAACCAAGTGACATGAACAATGGGAGAGATGAAATGGATGAGAGGTATTCATATCGACACGATAATATGAAAGAAGGAGAAGAATATTCTAGGGAAAGGAGAACATATTCAAGAAATTTAAACAGTTCGGACAGATATGCACAACTTGGAGAAAATTTAAAAGACATAAAATGGAATAACGTAGATGCAAAAATAGAAAGACAGGATCTACTCCTTGATGAAAATAAAAGAAGACAAAATATTTCACCTGAACAGTTAGAAGCAGAATTGAAGAAACTAAACATTTATGTTAACAAAGAATCAGTATTGTTAAATAATTTCATAAATAACTTTGCAGATGCCAATTTTCATGAAGCAATCTTAAATCATTTAAATGCAAAATTTAAAGAACCAACACCAATACAAAAAGTTACTTGGCCAATTGCACTCGCGGGGAAAGATTTAATAGGTGTTTCTGAAACAGGGAGTGGAAAAACATTGGCTTTTGCTTTGCCTTGTCTTATGCATATACTGAAACATAAGGAAAAAGAATTAGAAAAGATACAAGGGAGGAACCAAAATGATAGGAGTAATAAATATACAAAAACAGGAAAACAGGAGATCGAACAATCTAGTAACACAATCGATATGGATGCAAATGAATCAGCAGAGGAACATGTGGATGCATCATTATGCAGTGATAATGATAACAGGCACAATGAGAGAATTGTGTATGGATTAATTCTTCTACCAACTAGGGAATTATGCATGCAAGTAGTGGACGAAATAAAACATTTTGAAAAAGATATCAATATAAAAAGTGTTGCTGTGTATGGTGGAGTTCCAAAGTATACACAAATAAATAATTTAAAAAAAGGTGCTGATATTATTGTTGCTACACCTGGAAGACTATTGGATTTACTAGAAAATGGAATTATTCATTTGTTAAAATGCATCTATGTGGTTATAGACGAAGCAGATAGATTACTAGATATGGGATTCGAAAAACAGTTAAGAAAAATTATGACACAAATTAATAAAAATAAACAACTTTTGTTTTTAACAGCAACTTGGCCAGAACAAGTTAGGAAATTAGCATATGATGTTTCTTCCTCTGATCCAGTTAAAATACAAATTGGAAAAAGTGAATTAACAGCAAATAAAAATATAGAACAAAATGTAATTGTCAGCTCATCAATAGATTTGAAAAAAAAATTACTTGATTGGTTAAAAGAAAATTATGAAGGTAATAAAATTTTAATATTTTGCTCTACAAAAAGAAATTGTGATAATTTATGCAAAGAATTACGTTATCATCAATACAATGCTTTGTCAATTCACTCAGATAAACAACAAAGAGAGAGAGATAGAATATTAAACAATTACAAAAGTGATCGATGTAATATACTAGTTGCTACGGATGTGGCTTCAAGAGGATTGGACATTAAAAACATTTCTGTTGTAATTAATTATGACATACCAAATACTATTGAAGATTATATTCACAGAATTGGCCGAACAGGTCGAGCTGGTAGGAAGGGAAAGGCCATTTTATTTTTCCCTTACGATTATTATGTTCCCCAAAAAATCAGATTTGCAAAGGAACTGATCAAATTGCTGAACAAGATAAATCATGTTGTTCCAGCGGAACTTCGTGAAATTGTCGGTGCCAGATGAGCCTGTTGTGCTACATAATAGTAGCAAAGAGGGGAAAAAAAAAAAAAAAAATATATATATATATATATATATATGTACATATGTGCATATGCTTACGTATGCATATGTGGAGATGAGCCTACAGTTTCATGTAAATTGCATGCACAATTGTGTGTCTATTTGCATACCCCATTTCACACCTAAATGAATGTAAAAACTGCCCCTTTTAATGACCCAGCACATTGCCTAAGCACGTAATCCATTGTGTCCTTAAGTATCACAATTTCGAATATTCAACTTGCTGAGGGCTAGCAACGTTGTGTCTCATTCCTTACTTTCAAAATCGTCATTTGTAACGTTATTCCAAGCAAGTGGTGAAACCATTTCATTTTTCCATCGAACTTGTAAATGCATGTACCAATTTTTAAAAAGGTCTAATTGGCTTATTGCAAAAAATGAAAAGGCAAAATAACATAACAAATGTTGTGCACATATTGTATGAAATCCAATAACGTTCATTTGGGGCACTTTTGTATGTAAAAGTGTCAATTTCTTTTTGTTTTAATTTTAAAATTATAATTTTCTGAACAGTCAGGCTATTTTTTTTTTTTTTTTTTTTAAAGCGGTTATTTTTAAAGTTCTCCCACTTTGCTATAACACCTTTTTTTCAGGTAACCTCATTTTCCAGAGAAACGAGGAAATATGTGCAACTGTGTGAAAGCCATAAAACTTTCACTTCCTTCTGTTCTGTTTTGTTTAGGTTTTCTTAGTTGAGAAGAAACGGTCAGAGTGAAGTTCAGCGGATGGCCATTGCTTTGCTTTTGCATATACATACATACATATATATACATATATATTTTTTTTTTCTTTTTTTTTTCGTGTATTATTTATCACTATTGCTTATTGTTTACTATTTCTCTACTTTAATTCCTTTTTTTTTTTTTTTTTTTTTTTTGCATTTCCACCTTGTAGTATTTTTTTAAGAACATTTTGTCACAACCATTTTAATGATTAAAATACATAATATGAAAAGGCTAAAACAAACAAAAGGGAGGGTATTCTTCATTTAAAAGGTATATTTTTTTTTTTTATTTTTTTTATTCCCAATTTGTCTCGCAGCAAACTGCATCGTATGGAAAAAAAAAAAAATTATATACACCTTAAAAAAGGGTAAAAATCGCAACCACTTTTTCGTCGCTTCAAAAAGGGTGAAAAAATAAACTATGCAATTTTGATGTTGTCTAATTGGGATACTATATATAAAATCCACATTACATTTGACCTGAATAATTCTGCACATTTGTACTTATCCCCTCTCCCCTTGCGTTATTCACCTTTGAGCTTATCCCTTTTATTTTATTTTATTTTATTTTTATTTTTATTTTTTTTTTTTTTTGTGGACAAAACATTAGTAACAGATAATCATAAGCTGTTGTTAGGAGGTGTACTGAAAGAACCTCAGAAACCTTTGATAAAAACTTGCTACATATCACTATCGAAAGGAAAAGGAGGTGCAAGGTGAACAAGGTCCACTAAGAAAAAGAAGTAGAAACATGGAAATTGATGTGCAGTATCTAATTCGCGCGCTCACGTATTTCACAAAAACAGAAGACGGAGAACTCTCAGAAGGTGACATTAATATAATTTTTAACAAAATTCTTTCTCAAAATTTGAGTCATGAAAATGTACGCGAGTTGATTAAAAACGTGAAAGAAAGCATACATAGGAATAGGCCTAACTACGTCGAAAATTTTATTTTGACACCTTCCATTTTGCATATACTAATAAATAGACAATTAAAGAAGCACAGCTTGGACGAAATTTTTAAGGACTTATTCAAATGTATTGAATCCAAGGGAAAAATGGGAAAAAATGAGTTACGGACCTTTATAGACTTGTGCAAAAAAAATACCACCTCAGGTGATTCATCATTGAACTTGAATAAATTTAATTTCGGAGTGACGAATTCAGGCGAATCTGTCGATTACAACACATTTCTCAATTTGATGGAAGGTTATTTAAAAAGGGTGTAAGGATATGTGAATATATAGGGAAGTATGGGAAGAGGCAGTATGTATAACAATTGGATTAATTAAGTGAAAACGCACAGATGTGCTGTGCTGATATGTGCAGCGGCAGGAAAAAATGTCAACATGTGGAATTTGTATGCACAAAAAATTTTTTTTTTTTTTTATTAACCGTTCAGACAACTTTTTTTTGTGGCGCGTTTTGAATAGTTCCGTTTGGTTGGATCACTATACCATGTTGATCACTTGTTTTCCATTTCTCTTTATATTTGTGTTTATTTCTGTGATTCAGACGTTTAGCAAAGTGAACAGAGGGAATATTTTTTTTTTTTTTATGCCAATAAATATGTGCGTGTGTATGTATATATATATATATATATACATGTGCATTTTCAGCTAGCCACTATGGTTAGTTTTTACCTCGTAAGAACTTTTTTTTTTTTTTTGTGCATTTTCGTATGCACAGTTAATATAGTTTCCCTTTTTACATTTAACCACATGAAGATCTTATTTCTATCCCCTACTCAATTTGTTTTATTTCATATCACTAAAAAGAAGGAAAGGCGATTTTGTTAATGAATGATAATTATCATTTAGCAAGTTAATTTGTTCGCTAGCAATTTCAGCGGGTAGATGAAATGTTAATCTTGAAAACTACTTTTTTTAACCTTTTTTCACAGTAAAATAAATATCTTGTAGAACTTGAAAAAGAAAAAGAGAGAAAGCACCATTTGTGAAATGTACAGGCTTACCTCTTAAACTGCAGTTGTAACGAAAAAGCTAAAATTTTAAGATTTTACATTCTGCAACTACTACTTGTTTTGCGTTTTATTATTGCTTCCTTTTTTTTCCTTTTTTTTTTTTTGCATTAATTTAGTATACACCATTTATATATTTACGTATTTTTTTTTTTTTTTTTCTTTTTCTTTTTTTTATCTTCAGGTATTATTGGCATAAATGGAAAGTTGCCAACGTTTCGCCCCTTGAGAGCATATTATGCATTTATTCTGAAAAAAATGAATGTCCAAAAAAATTGGTGCACTTTGAGAATCCTTGTCTGAGCAGAATTTGTCTAAGTATCTGATTAAAAACATTAATAGATATATTCTCTTGAATGCGCATAAAATGAAAAAGGTGCACATCTTTAATTATGTATTCATAATTATTCTACTCATTCAAAATGAAAGGAACATGCTTTATTTTTTTTAAGTGTGTCGTCAAGTTGGTATGCTTAGCATGCGCATGTATAAGTGTGCCATATGATGGTGTGAACTCATAAGTGTTTCTTTCCCAGCTTCTTTCTTTTTTCGTTTCTTTTTTCGTTTGTTTGTCTGTCTGTCTGTCTGTTTGTTTTTTTTTTTTTTTTTTTTTTTTTTTTTTACAACGCATATTTGAAAAATACCTAAAGTGGGAATTAAAAGTTTAATATGAGAAATGTAAGGGGGAAAAAAAAAAAAAAAATTCCGTCTTCACATTTTTCCGAACTTTTCATTAGCGATATTTTAAAAATTTATTTTTTTATAGATAATTGCATATTTAAGTACATCCATTATCATATAGGCAAATATATATATATAAATGTGTGTGTGTGCGTACATGTGTTTACAGTGGAAGCACCCTCTTTCGCACACACAAATGTATGAGCTTTGCTGAACATGTCATATTCTGTATGAATATTTCACATGATGATCGCTGAGGTCGTCCCGTCTACCGTACTGGATTTACATGCAGCAAAGTATTTTTTTTTTTTTTTTTTCTTTTTCCACTTTTCCGTTTTCATCACTTGGTAGCTATTGAAGAATTTGGTACTTAAAAATGAAGCATTTGCTTGAACCAGGTTAATTAGAGGTAAAGTTTTTTTTTTATTTTATTTTGTTATATTATTTTGTTATATTATTTTGTTATATTATTTTGTTATATTATTTTGTTATATTATTTTGTTATATTATTTTGTTGTATTATTTTGTTATATTATTTTGTTATATTATTTTGTTATATTATTTTGTTATATTATTTTGTTATATTATTTTGTTGTATTATTTTATTATATTACTTTATTATACTATATTATATTTTTTTTTTCTTTTTCAGTAAAGTCTCATAGCAGTAGCTGCATGTCGATTTTAGAGGAAAAAATAAAAAGATAACAATAAGAATTATACAATCTGTTGACATATCATTTTTTTTTTTTTTTTGTTTATTTTTCCATTCCACATGGATTTACCCCAATGGTTTTGGATATTGTCTTTTCTTATTACCTTTGTTTATCGTTTCCTTTGTACTACCACTTCGTTTTGGTTTTAATTATGCTTTTTTTAATTTTTCTTTTCAATTTTGTTTTAATTTTTTGTCTTTTATTTTTTGTTTTTGTTTTTATTTTCCACTTCTATCCTTAGAGTTGATCTACTACCCTCACAAGTTATTATTGTGTGTTTTTTTTGCGCACATCACCCTAATTTTCTTCATTCTTGATGTTTACGCCTCGTGTGCTGTTTTTGTATTCGCTCTTTATGAATTAAATTCATAAGCAGCATTCTTTTTCGCATAACGATTTTGTTCTATTGCCATTGAGAAGTCACAAGGACAGATGCCGTTAGTACACACACATACATGTATACACGTTTTCAATGGTGTTCATATATGTGTATATATGCATGTATGTCACATAAGCAGACTTACAGATTTGGTCGCACATGTGTTATTTGCATAGATCCCTAATTGAGAAACCTTGCATTGTACATTTTTTACCCCAAGCGAGGTACGCCATCACCAGATTCTGAAACTTGCTGTCTATGCATGTGTATGCTTCACCCGTTTACATCCACGTGCAGGCTTTTTTGTTGTAACTAGTGTATATATATTTTTGCATGCCAGATACACACGCACATACGCATGCCTGCATAAGGATATAAACATTCACACGAGAGCAGTTCTTACACACAGATACACATAATACAAATAGATATATACGTGGAAGTGAAAATTTTGTAAAATAAATTTAGAGCACTAAGAATAGTCGTCTCCCATATTGACTTCTGCCGAATATACTCATCCGTAGGGTATAACTGAGATGCCCTTATTTCTTTTTCTTTTCTTTTTCTTTTCTTTAAAATTTTTTTAAAAAATTTTTTTTTTAACATTTTTTTTTTTTTTTTTTTTTTGTCTTTTCCCTTTTTTGCCTCTTCTCTGTCTTCGTCTTGTTGTTGCTGCTCTACTTCTTATTCTTCCCCCATTTTCCAAAATGATTTTTCTCAAATGGATAGTGATTTCTCTTTACCTCGCACACGTCTTCCCGAATCACACATTCACAACAGGAAGGGAAGGAAGAGAAGGGAACGAAATTGGAAATGAAAAAGGGAGCCTTTTTCAAAAATTAAGAAACAACTTAATTAATTATATTGCAAAGAAAAAAAAATATGATTCGAATGGATGGGTAAACTTGTCCTTACTACAAGATGATGGATTTCAAGAAATCGATCTTCGTCTTGAAAATGAGAAAATTATTTGTAATGAAGATAATCAAATTTTGGAAGTAACTGTACTAAATCAGAAATTGTTAAAACATACAGATGATGCATCATATCACGAACTGACTCTGCAGAGTAAAAAATTAGAACCAAATAAAAAGTTACTTTCAAAAATTCCACTTATGAAGATGACGAATTATCAACCAGGTGGAACAACAGCATTTGTACAATCTGGATTAATGTCAATCCATGCTTTTCCTTCCAATTTTGAAGGGTATATTGTATGCACAAAGAAAAATACACACGCTGTCCTAGCACCTAAGGTAATGAAACCAGTAGAATTTATATCAGGCCCGTGGAAAGTAAGAGTCAGCATAGATTTTTATAGATGTCCAATTTCAAATTTTGGAAGAATATTTCAAATAACAATAATAGATAAAGTGAATGTCCTGTTAAACAATCAAAAGTCGTTTATCTGGCCTATGCCCTTGACATCATTTTTCGAGGTCTATGATATGCACATGGCAGTGCGAGGTTGCAAAAGTGGAAATTTCTGCGAATTAGAAAGAACGGGTATTGGAAATGGCATTGGAAGTGGAAGTCTCATACTAAGTTGCCCTTGCTGGGAAAAAACTCAAAAATTTAGCATGGGGAATGCAGTACTATTCTCAGCATACCTGGGCATGATGATCGCTCAAGGAATGGCGTACCTATTTGTGAATTCACCAACGGATGATTACACAAACAAAAATAGAAAACAAGTTTTAAAAAATGCACCAAATGCACGTAGAAAAACAAAAAATAATTCTGTCTACCCAAATGATGAATACTACGAAGGAGAAAATAAAAAACCTTTAAAAAAATTAAATATACTAACGAATTTACTATTTTGGGGAGGTACAACAATTGCAAATGTTCTCTATGGTATTAAGTCTTTGGTAGATATTTCCCAAAATTTGAATCACATAAATCAGGAATTTGAAAAGGGTGCTTTGTTTTACCCGTGGGAGTTACGCTACCCTGAGACATACAGCCACCTGAGTCATGTCAAACCCTGGGAGTGGCATTACAAGAAGGGACATCAGCACAATGCACCACTAGATGAGATGAAGCAGAAGGAGAGGGAGCAAAATGAGAGGAAGCAGAACGACGAAGCCAAAACGAATGAATCGATGGATAACTTCCCCAGAGAGAAAAACACAAAAACTCAGAACCATCCCCAAGGAAAGGGAATCAAACCGAGTATCATAAAAATGTTTGAGCAAAATATTAGAAGCTCTTAATTTTTTTTTTTTCAACATCCATTTGCATTATGGAAGTGAAAGAACTAGTCAAATTGTAACAAATCTGGAAATGTATTTTTTTTGGATACACAACTACTACCTGCACATTGAATAAAGGATAAATGGAAAGAAAATACATCTGCAAGTATATACACAACTTCGTCCATTTGTATAAATATATGTGCGATGTCTATGTGTCAAAATGGGCAGAAAAAAAAAACTTCTATTCTCTTAAGTAAACTTTTTTTGTGACAATACTGAAAAGGAAAAAAGACAAAGTTTTAAGCCAAATTTTATTCTTTTATAGTTAAGCTTAGAAAAGAAAAAAAAAAAAAAAATAAATAAATAAATAATAAATCCATGTAAACTTAATTAAAAAAAAAAAAAAAGCGGGATATTACTACAAATGATGGGAAAAAGGAAAAAGGAAAAAAGAAATAGACATGCAAACACGGGTGAAAAATAGGCTAAAAAAAAAAACTAAACCCTAAATGTACAGAAAAAAAAAAAAGAAGATAAATTACGAACGAACAGACATCACCACAGGTTACTCTTCTTTTGCATTTTTTATTTTTTGTTTTTTTTTATTTTTTTTTCTTTCTCGTACCACGCACATTCTAATCATTGTAATATGCAGACAAGAAGGAAAGAAAAAATATTCACAAAAAATACTGAAAAAAAAAAAAAAAAAAATGAAATAAAATAAAATAACTTCAAGATGTGTTCCAACTGTTAGTCCATCATTTTTTATTAACAGCCTGCGGTAGAGATATCCTTTATCATTATTATTATCATCATCATCCTATGGGTGCAGAAAAATTGTCAACACAGAAAACGTTTTTTTTTTTTTTTTTTTTTTTTTCTTTTTATTCCATTATTCTGTTCAATTATTTTATTCTTGTTTTGCTGAGCTATGGAGACTAGGATAACATAAACGTTTCTTCCTTTTCAAATTTCAAATCCACCAGAAGTTTGTCTTGCACCTGTTCGATCTGTGCCGGTGTGCAAGGGGTTCAAAAAAAAGAAAAAAGGAAGGTATTAATAAAAGGCACGCACATATGTGTGTGTATGAACTAGTGTGTCCTAACATGTGTGTACGAAGAAGTGTGTACTGATATGTGTGTATGAAGAAGTGTGTACTGACATGTGTGCACTAACACACATATGTGCTTGTCGTAATAATGATCCTTCTGAGGGATGCAAAAGTTGTGAATGGGAACAATTCCTTCTTGCAAAGACTCTGCTGTACTTACCTTGTCTCCCACATGCAGCTCTATAGTGCCGTTCTGGTATTTGCAGAACTTCCTCCTGCAAGTAAGGATGATATGAAACTCGATTAGATCATTTTATTGTATTTACCCTGTTGGGAATGCTAGACGTATGCATACAAGTATATCTGCATTTGCGTCCCCATCGGTATGTATAGTTTGTCACATGTATGAACCTTTTTTTTTTTTTTCCTTTTTTTTTTCTCCTTTTTTCTTTTCTTTTTTTTTTTTTTTTCCTTTTTTTTTTTTCCTTTTTTTTTTTTCTTTTTTTTTTTTTTTTTTTTTTTTTTTTTTTTTTTTTTTTTTTTTTTTTTTTTTTTTTTTTTTTTTTTTTTTTTTTTTTTTTTTTTTTTTTTTTTTTTTTTTTTTTTTTTTTTTTTTTTTTTTTTTTTTTTTTTTTTTTTTTTTTTTTTTCCTTTTTTTTTTTCTCTTTTTTTTTTTTTTTTTTTTTTTTTTTTTCCCCTTCTTTTTTCTCCTTTTTTTTTTTTCTTTTTTCCCATATTGCAATTTCCCTAACTGACACACCTGGGATACATCTGACAAAGGTTGTAACTGTTCCTCATGAGTAATGAGGTCCCAAAATCCTGGATGTTTGCAGATTCGTACTCTAGCCAATAAAAGACATCCTGTGAAGCTCAAAGTATGCAATGTTTGGGAGGGTAGGACGCGTGCGAAATGTGAGAACTTATTAATACATATATTAGGGTAGAGTTCACAACCCTGTATGCAAAAATATATATATATATATATATATATATATATATATATATATATATACATACATATGTGCACGTAGAAGAAGAAGAATGGACACACACATAGCACACGTGGACATGAGCTCATACACAAAGGTATGCGGACTTCATCCCCTACCGTCATTGTTTTTGTAACAGAAAACTTTTTGTGAATCTTTTTATTTGAAAATTTGACCAAGAAATTTATGAAATTATCTTCACTTGATGGTTCTTCTTCTGCTGGGGGAGCCAAATTCTGCACCAAAAGAGAAAATCGAAATGGGTGGGGAGAAGAAAAATGGGAAAGATGTTTTATTCTTTTGTTGTTGCACTTATGCGGACATTCACTTATGCAGACATGCATGCTTATGGGCACGTATAAACATCCACACCTCTGTGTACTCCTCACCTTTATGTACTCCTGCACGGACAACCTCAGTGCAATTTGCAATTCGTCGTCCGCATCATACGAAGAGGTGGGTAACGCACCCCTCCCCAAATCGGTATCATTTAATTTTCTACCACCAACTTCTGGCCATTTAAACTTATTTGATTTGTCATTAAAATTGGAGGAAAAGAGAGAATTTTGGTTAGCTCTATTATTAGAATGAAATTTATCTTCCATTATAAATCCATTTGAAACTCCATAAATTTCTGAAATTTCATTTGTGGAAATATAAAACTGATTTGGATTTTTGGTTTCAAAATTTATATCCGCCTTGGGCAAGGAAATATATGGATTCATATTTTGCACAGAAAATACATGATATTTCTTTATAATATCATTAAAATAATATTTCAAATTAATGTCTTTAATATATAACGGCCCACTTTTTAAACTATCTAAGACATACCAAGTATTATGAATTTTACGTATACTAAACCAGTGCTGTTCTAAATTACAAATGTAACCAATGTCTTGATGATCACTTGATATAATCTTTTTCAAATCATCTTCAAATGTGTTCTTCAGTAATATATTCTTTCTTTTTAGACATTCAATCAAAACAGAAATGTTTATAAATCCATCATCCAATACATTTGATGAATTATTTCTTATTAATTCGTTTCTATTATTTCCTTCATTTAAACCAACTTTTAAAAATTCTCTTTCCTTTTCATCGATTTCTCTTCCAATGGTTGCCAGGATGTCTTCGCTGTAGTGTGGACCCTGTACGGGGGGAGAAGGTTCAAAGTTCGCGAGAAATGAGATTCCATTGTACGTTCCAACATTTGTAAGCCCCGACAGTTTGGCATATTTCTCATTTTTACTTCCTCACCCGAATCGACACTCAGATTTGAACGTGCAATTTTGGCAATTTTTCAGTGTTCTTTCACAAATACAGTTTTTCTTTGTTCAGCACGCCCTCTCCTCACTCGTCACTCTCAGCTTGTCACACTTCTCTCCCCCTGAATTACCTGAAGGATAGTGTTTATACAATGAAGGCCACACATCCTATCATTTCCTTGTTTTTCCCAGTATACATATTTCTTGCTCATTTTGGAGGATCACGCGTTTTTTCTTTTTCTTTTTCTTTTTTTTTATTTTTTTTTTATTTTTTTTTTTTGCCTTATCATGAGTCAGTATGGTATGCTCAATGCTGAGTATGAGCATGTGGTGTTACGTAAGGGTAAGTAATGCTACGTTATGTCACCTTATGCTGTGTCACAACATTATTCTATGTTATGTATGCACTTCATGAACATGTGTGTGTATGTAGAGAGAGAGAGAAGAAGGGGGTATAAAAGGATACTGCTCTACTATGACATCAGGTTTAGTGTATTACAAACCTTCTGCATGTAAAAAGAAAAAAAAAAAAAAAAAAAAAAAATTCCATATGGAAAAGTATGAATAATATCTTCCCCTTTTTCGTCACAATTGAATTACGTGCTCGCTCTCGGGTAGTTATTTTAAATGCTTCCAAAAAAAAAAAAAAAAAAAAAAAAAAAAAAAAAAAATAATAATAATCATTCAATTTTTAACACAATGGTACATATATGTATATGTATAAAAAACTATTGAATGATCCAATTCTTGAAGGATACTGGTTTAGTAACTAATCATAACAGCATTTGTGTCATAACCAAACGGATAAGCATTACCTGAGCTTCAAAAAAGTATAACTCCGCCTCTCTCCTAACCATCAACCTCCCCAAAAAAAAAAAAAAAAAAAAAAAAAGAGAAAGATATAACCGAGAAAAAAAAAATAAATTCATCTAAATAAGAATGGAAAATCCATCAAAACAGTTCGTATATAATTTGGCATTGCATTTATTTCGCATTTAATCACACATAAAGATTTGTTATAAGAATAATTTTCGTTTGTTCGTTAGTTTTAAAAAAAAAAAAAAAAAAAAAGTGCGATCGTTATGTCTCACATTTTTTATTCATTATTGTGATATATATATATATATATATATATATATATATGTATGTGCTGAAAGGGTGTTCATCCTTAGGGCTAAAACGAGAGCAGAAACGGATGTGTGTGTGTATGTGGTTGTGGTAGTGGTCGGATAGGAGTCATAAAAGTTTAACTTTAAGCCAAATCTATGATTTATACTATATCAAACATTCAAACATATGTGTGAATGCCAACACAAAAGAAGAGGGATGAGGGGAATTTTCTCCTTTTTAACTCATTTTCACACGTCGAATTCTCGCATTTCCTCACTTGATACTATGTGATACCTAAAAGAAGGGGGTTCAATTTTAAAAAAAAAAAAAAAAAAAAAAAGAGAAAAAAAAGATAAAGGAACAAATAGAGAGGTTTTACTACGAATAAATAAAGTGATGAAAACATTTTGACTAAATGATACAACTGTCTGAGATGAAGAAAAAGCGAGAATTTTATTTTAAAATTAATCAGATTAATGGTTCTTGACCCATTATCATTAGCTCAGCAAAAGGTTGGGGGTAAGGCCCTTGTTTTTCCCCATGGGTGCACACGTAAAACACAAACACATGCATACACTCGTACACCCATACATGTGTGTGTGTGTTTATGTACATACGTACGTATGTGTGTGTGTGTGCGTACGATTTGTAGCCTTTTTCTTCTTTACATACTTGATCACTCGATCATCATCCCTTAAGCAAAAATGAAAAATAATTACAGAAAAAATTAAATTTGTGAAAAAAAAAATTAAAAAGACAACAGGATTGTCTTCCATTCTATTTTCATTTTGTAACATCTTCTAATGTGTCACTAGGAATTTTTTTTTTTTTTTTTTTTTCATATGCTGTCTAATCACAGTTAGGTTATTCTCTGTATGTGAACAAACCTACCGTAGCATGTTCAAGTGTTAGCGATGGAAGTAGGAAGAATTGGTTTGTGTGCACATTTTCCCCTGTGAATATCTGATTGTATTTGATTTCTATGCTACACACATGTATTCATAGATATGCACATATATTTGCTGTCCCCACTGCCTATGATCTTTCAAAAAAATAGATAAAAAAATAAAAAAATAAAATAAAACGAGGGAACGCTGAAATGATCGCCAATTGGCCATGCGTAATACGTCAAAAAGTTGGAGATAAATAATAAAAAAAAAAAAAAAAGTCGTTAGCACAGTTTATGATAAAACCTTTGTCTCAGTTAATTTTTATTTTTTTTTTTGCCATTTTTCTGTTCTGCTGTGTCACTACTTTGCTGCGTCACTACTGCAGACTGATCCATTCAAGCTAACCAGTACATGAATGCATTTTGTGGAGAAAAAACTCGAAATATTTCGTGCACTCAAATACAGGATGTGTGTGTGGGTGGGGTAAGAGATGGTGATGCAACAATACTACATTAACTTAAGATGATGAAAAGAGGTATAAAAAAAAAAGAAAAAATTGAGAGTGAACAAAAATTTAAACCAACACATATTAAAAAAATAATTGTTGTGTTATTTTCTTATTTATCAATTTTTAAGAAATTTTTTCTTATTCCCCTGCCACAACATAATTATGTATACATTTTAAGTGTGTAGCATGTCTTTTCCTTTTCAGGGAGAAAAGATTAATCACATTTTTAAGTATAAATAAGAAAAAAAAAAAAAAAAAAAAGTTGAACAAATGAACGAACGAATGAACGAATGAACGAATGAACAAATGAACGAACGAATGAACGAATGAACGAATGAACAAATGAACGAACGAATGAACGAATGAACAAATGAACGAACGAACGAACGAATGAACGAATGAACGAACGAACGAACGAACGAACGAATGAACGAACGAATGAGTGAGTGAAAATATATTATAGAACATTAACGTATACCACATAGTGGGACACATATTAAGAAAGAGAACGAGAATATTTCTCAAATAAAATGAATGACAATTCATGAAAACTGCTATAACGACAAAAATACCCGATAAACACGCATTGAGGCATAAATTAAAACACCTCCAAAAATGGGACACGAATATTCAGCTTCCTAAAATGAAGAGAGGACATGTTTCCCTCCACCCCCCACCTTACCCACACATCAAACCTTTAATCAGTTTTCTCAAACGATTTAAGCTGATTGTCAAATGCAAATAGCTAGCTGGAGTGTACAAATAACGGGAAAGGAGGAAAAACAAATGTTCAGCTACAACGGATTAAACAAATCATATATTTTTCTTTTTTAAAAATTGGGAAAATGTAAGTGGTCAAATGGGTGTTGTGTAATATGGAACAGTTACACGGAGAGGTGCAATCATATATGCATCGATATGTGAAACGGTTATTGCTGGAGAGGTAGCCATTTTTGTGTGCAAAAAAAAAAAAAAAAAAAAAAAAAAATTAGGACAAAAAGCGAAGCGGAATAACAGCCACCCCATTTTTGTTCTTTGTCCTAATCCACTTGCCATGCTTCATCTCATCCCCAACAGCCACAAACAAATAGGCATAATTGTGTGCAAAGGAAAATTTATTTACAGTACCATATACCTGAACAGTCAGAATTTTTTGAATAGTAGCTGTTATTTTGCTAAGACTTTTATACTGCCAAAAATTCACATAACCATCATACGATCCAGAAATAAAAATATTCGAAAAAGGGATACTAACAAGTGCTGTTACTGCACATGTATTGTGTGCATTTTTGTAAACACAAATAGGTTTTTTATAAGATGAAGTAAAAATATAGATATGACCAGAAAACGTTCCAGAAATAAATATTTTATTATTAAGAGTACAACAGGACTCTATAATTTCATAATTCAAATTAAATAATATATGATTATCATTTTTTGTATTCCAAAAACGTAGGGTATAATCACTTGCACTTGTAACTAATTTGTTTCCATTTAATGAATTCATACTTAAAATGTTATTGGTATGTCCTAAATATGTATTTAAACATTTATCAAAAAATCTCAAATCCCATAATTTAATTGTTTTATCATATGAACATGTAAAAAAATTATGTTCCATATTTAATTCATCCGTATTTTCATTACTTCCTGTAATTGCACTTATGACATTTTTATGACCTACAATTGAATTTGTGCATGCTCTTTTTATTCTGTTATCCCATATATTTATTAAATTGTCCGATCCAACAGATATAAAGAAAGAATTAAATTTATCGCAATAAATATCCATTACACTTTTGAAATGACTTATTCCATTTCTGTTTCCAAATTCTTTGAATGAACTTCGATTTCCTTTATAAATATGGATTTTATCTCCTCTCATTATGTCCCATTCAATGATACTAGCGTCTTTTCCACCAGTGTACACTCTGCTCACAGACACATTTTCAAAAACCTTCGGTTCCATAATACTCTCAATGTTCTTATAAGAAGACTTGTCTGCACTCCAGGAATCATCACCCTGTGTGCCATTAGTATCGTGAGTGCCAAAAGCATCCTGCTTGCCACAAGTATGATCATCCTGTTTATAAAACTTCCCGTTGTTGTACCCAGCATATGTATTACTATTCTCATAACTATCTATAATTCCAAAATCGTAATCATAATAATCAAAAAATGACAAATTAAAATCAGGACATGCCACGCAAGTAACGCTTTTTTTGTGTCCTCGGAAAAAAAACACATTTTCATCATTTCCTGCGTTTTTACCTGAACTGTTCATAAAATTTGGCACTTTCTTATACACCATATTGGAAGACAATTTATCGTCATGAAATACTTTTATCCTATTTCCCAAATTTAAAAGAACTTTCCTACTTTTTTTCTTCTCCCTTTCCATTATCATTTTGTTAATTTTTTCCCTCTCTTCGTCATTTTCAAAGGAAGAAATATTCTCACTAAAATTGGATTCGGATTTCTTTTCATCATCTCTGCTAGCAGAAGATTCATCATGGGATTCATTATCATCACTACTTTTAACGCCCATATCTCTCAGGTATTTTTTCGCTAGATATATTTTCCTTTCCTCTGGGTTGTTGAAAACATTTTCATCATTTTCGTCTCCATTTGAGTCGTCACTATTATCTGTTGCATCTTCATCTGATCTGTTACTACTCCTTTCAGTTGATAGTGCATGATGTCTTTTCTTTTTTTTTGCACTCATCTGTTTGTTCCTACCTTCAGAAGCATCAGATGTCAGTATGTCATCGGATTCTACTTCAGAATCATAAACCTCCTCCTTTTTCTTATTACCATGGTTATTTTTTTTTATTTTAAAGAATTTCTTCCTCTTGTTGAATTTCATTTTTCCACCATACATCCGTTCACAAGATGGAGGTTATATATATATATATATATATGCCCGATGCACTTACACAGGTTTCAACGGATGTGTTAATACTTCGCAGGTTTAAGCAGATGTATGAATATGGTGTAAGGCTCAACAGCTTAATGAATTCATAAAGGCAAAAAGTATAGGTCAAAAATTTTTGGACGTTCTGTGCCTCTCCATACCTTTTTCTCTAGTTCCCAATTTTTATATAAACAGCTGTAAGCAAAAGTTATTGCGAAAAAGTTTGAAATGTGACGAGTCAATTGTATCCTCCAAAATATAATATATGCAATATCGTTATTTATTCCATTTCTCCAGTAATACCCCAGGGCTGGCTTTGAAAATTTCACCTTTTTTAAAATCAAGTAAATAGAATGTTTAGAAATTTTTTTTTTTTTTTCTAATTTTTAATTTGTTGAAACTTGTTGTAAAATTGGTCTAGGTCCACGCAAATGTTTCGAAAAAAAATTAAACTCAAGCTGCTTATATCTCTATGTATTTTTTTTTTTTGCTTTGGCATTTGCTGCGATATTTTCTTTTATATTTTATTTTAATTTTTTTTTACGTTCAAATGTTCTGTAACTTTTGCGGTTTTTTTTTTTTTTGGGGGTGGGGGGTGAGGGAAATATGCACAAAATTGTTATTCTTCCTGTTTTTTTTTCGTGCTTTTTTTGCGTTTTTTTTTTTTTTTTTTTGTTGCAAAAAAGATTGTTCATCTCAGCGTAAAAATTTGGTGTTTTTTAAGGAGGCATGTCAGGATTGATAATCAGGAAAAGGTTATCAATCGTTTTTCTTTTCGTCCCAATTTGGAATTCAGCTAAATCTGTTGGTGCTATTTGAGAGAAGATTTATTTGTTTGTTAATTTATTTTATTTTTGTTTTTTATTTATTTGTTTGTTTATTTATTTAATTTTTTTTTTTTTTTTTTTTCTTTTCTTTAATTTGTACATTATTTGTGTTTACATTGATGTCGTTATATGCACGTTTACATAAGTATCAAATCTTATGAGATAATAATCGGTCGAAGTAGAAAATACAGCTAAATCTATATGCCCTTCTTCCTCACTCTGTTGAATTATTAAGGCTTTTTTTTTTTTTTTTTTTTTTTTTCTCTCTTATTGATTGTGTTGAGATGTTGTATTTTCCATTATGGAAAAACACAATAAGGGGATTAGGCGATAAGGGGGTAAGTTAACACAAATGGAATTCTGTTTTTTTTATTTCAACGATAAAGATATAACTAGGGAGGAAGAGAGAAGGAGATTGATGTTGCCTTACTTCCTTTTTTTTTTTTTTTTTTTTTTTTTTTTTTTTTTTTTTTTTTTTTTTTTTTTTTGTATCACTAATCGATTATACTAAATTTATAAATTTTTGCTACGTTATATATCTTTTACATATTTACGTTTGTTCATATATCTAAGTTAAAAGAGAAGAAAAGGTGTTTAATTTTTTTTTTTTTTTCTCTTTGCGGGTAAGGAATGTGGGGGAGGTGGATGTGGGCTTACATTTTCGCACAAATTTTGTTGACTCTTCCCTTTTAGACTATTTTCCATTAGATCAATCCAATAAAGAAAATACAAAATTTAAATACAGGCTTTGTAACTGCACATGCAAATTGGTCAATACACTTGTTTCCTGTTATTCGTTTCGGATGCTCGAAATGTGTGCTTATTTTCTTCACTTGTCTCCTCTTATGAATGTGTTGGAGGGGTTCAAAATGGAAAAATCTCGAAGTGAAAAAAATTCAAAGTAGAATGCGCAAGAAATGACGAATAATGAAAGCCTTTTATTATATCAAAAAAAAAAAAAAAAAATACATGTACTCATATATACGTATATAAACATGTGCACGAATAACATAAGAGGGTTGTCCTAAGAACTTGATTACACTCTGATCAGGTTATCCAGGGTTATTCATCACACGCACGCACTCACTCACTCAGACAGACAGACAGATAGACAGAGCGAGAGAGAGAGACCAGAGACAGACAGACACAGGTGTAACAACCGAACGATATGCTCATGCAATATGATATAGGATAAAGCAGAACATGGAATTATCTTAAATTCCTATATGAGAATGGGTCATGTTTTATTTAGCCCCTTTACCCCCTCTCTATGGAACTTATACCTATATACATGTAAAGCCACGGCCACCACCTAGATATGCTCGTTCAGACAAGTCTATAACCATTTCCATAAACTAATCAGCAATCCAATTCATCACCTTTCCAATAGTTTACTGAATCCTAAGAAATATATCCCAAAGAATAAAATCTATCTTTTAGTGAATCAATTGGAAAATAATTAATCCCTTCAAGATTGGGATATAAAAAAAAAAAAAAAAAAAAAAAAAAAATTACCACAAAATATGCATGTCATCTAGATGCTAAGTTTTCATTTCCTGCAGATTACAGTGCTCACATATTTTTCTTCATCACAAGTAGTGATAATTTTTAGTAATATCAGAAACTGCATCGTTATTACATTTTTTCTTTTTTTTTTTTCGTACTCCTTTTTTTTTCGTACTCCTTTTTTTTTTCGTACTTCTTTTTTTTTCGCACTTCTTTTTTTTTTTGTACTTCTTTTTTTTCGTATTTATTTATTTTTTTTTTCTCTCTTTCGAGCTCTCTATTTCTGCACAGAAATGGATTCGGCAGAAAACTTAGACATCATTCAAAATATATATCTCCGCAAATTTTCTTGTGTGTAACCACAGTATGACAAAGTGCAAACGCAATTGTTCATTTTGACAATTTTTTTTCGTACAAATAGGAGAAAAAACGATTGCCAGAGAAACAGTATCAACATCTAACAAAGTAGATGTGGTAGGTATAAGCAACACAGTATGGACATAATCTCCTGAATATATCTTATCATAAGTTCATCTGGCATGACGCTACTTGGATGCTATATGTGTCACTAATGACTAAGGGTTTGTTCTCCCAGCAGGTACACTTTTTCACCTTGGTGCATTTTCGATAAGGAAAAATTATATGGAAGTTATTTTTTCTATCCATCTATCTATATATCTATGTATCTTTTTTTTTTTTTTTTTTTTTTTTTTTTTTTTTTTTTCTAACATTTGCTACCACACCCCCTCCACTAGGAGATAAAAATTGATTCAAATATGCATTTTCAGAATTCTTGAAAAGTAATAATTTTTTTTTTTTTCTCATTTTTTAAAAATTAATAGTTTAGTACAGTGGATCTAACAAACATATTTGGCTAATAAGTTTCAGAAAATCATTCATAAGAGTTATGGGAAACCTTTACTGAGAAAAAAAAAAAGAAAAGAAAAAATTCCTTTCTCCCAGTTTTTATATGTTATTAACCCTTTTGATTTCACATTACATTTTTAAAGTAATGAAAACAGAATTTCTTGGCATAATTTTTTTTCCTTTTAGTTCCTATTTTATGAAATTTAATGAATATCTTTTTTTTCTTTTTTTTTTCTATTGTGTTAAATGTATTTTAATTATATTTTACATAACTTTTACCTCATGCGCGACATATAAATACCCCTTTCACCACACACACACACACACACACACATTTATCACATTTACAATATTTACCATATTTATCACATTTACCATATTTACCATATTTATCACATTTACCACATTTACCACATTTACCACGTTTACTATATTTACTACATGTACCTCATTTACCTACGTAGGTCATGTTATATTAAGTTCGCTAATTCTTCACCACACCTTATGATCTGCTAACGTAAAAAGTTTTGCATGAATTGGATAGGGTTTTTATAAAACACACATCTGTGCATAAAGAAGTGATCAAGTGCAAAATCCTGAAAACACACGCAAGACGGGATTAAAACAAAGAAAGGACAGGATAAACACGAATACATAACAGGATAAACACGGATACATAACAGGATAAACACGAATACATAACCGGATAAACACACACACAAGACGACTGAACACTGCAGAATATTCCCGCACAAGCGTCGCAATTATGTTTGAATGCAGAATAGATGGTCAGTTTTTTAAAAAACTGTTTGAAACCCTGAAAGATATTTGCACAGAAGTAAACTTAGAATGTTATGAAAATGGAATTAAGATGCAATCAATGGACTGTAGCCATGTATCTTTGGTGGATTTAAATATTTTGTCCGATTTTTTTCAACATTACAGGTTTGAACTGTTCATATTTTTTTTTTTTTTTTTTTTTTTTTTTTTTCTCCCTAAGCAATCACATTTGTCATTTTTACCTGACCCTATTTAGCTAGCTTGTTTGTCTGCACATATTTACTGAATTTTATTTTATGCACATTATTTTACATGCCTCCAATTGTGTTGACATTTTTACCTGAACTGTTCATATTTTTTTATTTTTATTTTTTTTTTTTAAATCTTCTTGATTATTCCCCTTTCCCCTTTCCCTTTTTTGTTTTTTTTTTTTTTTTTTTTTTTCAGATGTGATAAAAATTGTGTCCTCGGTATAAGCATCAACTTTATGCTAAAAATATTATCAGTAATTAAAGAAAAATCCACAGTTTTTCTTTTTAAAGAAGATAATGAAAATGAAGCTGTTTTAAATATCGGAATTATAGACGAAGAGGAACAATCAAATTCAGAAGACTTCCTTGAAATTCAGGTAAAATTAATTAATACACAAAAGGAGCATTTAGAAATTCCACAATCTGAATATCATTGCCAATGTACAATGAAGTCCAAAAAATTCCAAGAATTTACAAAATATTTGAATTCAATTGGTGATAATGTGTCCATATCAATGAAAAAAGATACCATGATTTTAAGCACAACAGGTGCTGATATAAAAGTGACAAAACAGTTTACAAATGATATGCCCGACGTTTCTATCACTTGTTCCAAATCTGTCTCTCAAGAATTTGCCACGAGATATTTAGTTATGTTTTCACGAGCTTCCTCCTTATCCGATGAGGTCTACATTTCCCTCTCCCCAAATATACCAGTTTCCATTAGATTTAACTTCAAGCAATCACTAACGGATTTGCAGGAAAGCTCTCACCTGACCTTTTTCTTGGCACCCAAAATTGGCGAGTACTGAAGTGGTGAAGTGGTGAAGTGGTGAAGTGGAGAAGTGGTGAAGTGGAGAAGTGGTGAAGTGGAGAAGTGGTGAAGTGGAGAAGTGGTGAAGTGGAGAAGTGGTGAAGTGGAGAAGTGGTGAAGTGGTGAAGAGGCATAGCAAAAATGGATGTAACGATTGTTTCCCCTCCCGTCACTTAATATGTAACATATCAGAATCATCCCTAAGATGCACAGAAAGAATGAAGTAATTGTTGTTCATTAAAATAAATAATAGCTCATTTCTTGCATCCATCCCCTCACCCTTTTTTTTTTTTTTTTTTCTTTTTTGAGAGGGGTGGGTGTATCAATGAAAACTTGGGAACTATAACAAAAATTCAAAATAGAAAACACTGATGAAAAGTATCTTTTTCACATATCCTCTTCCCCAAAGCATACAACAAATAGCTGCCAATATTTAACACGAGCCCTTAATTAAAGTGACACTCGTTTCAAGTAAAAAATTTTTTTTATTTATGCATAGGTCTCAGCTTCGAGGGGAAAAGTGGCAAGAGAAGTAAAAAAAATAAAATAAAATAAAAATAAAATAAAAATAAAATAAAAATAAAATAAAAATAAAAAACACTTTTATAAATTCAAAGTGTCCCATTTGGAGAAGTACGCACTAAAATATATATATATATACATATATATATGCACATGTATGTAAGTATACATAGACATAGGTACATACATGTACATACCTTGCTTGCGAAACGTGTAACAACCTGCACGATTAGGCACCCCGTACTTCCACCTGAACTTTAGTTAGCGCATCATACATCATATAATAATTTTCTATTTTAAAAGAAAGTAAAAGCTTCAAAGTGGTGCAAAAAGGGTACCATTCGGTGCTTACAAATTATGATCCACTTAATTATGGGTTGTGGAAAGGAGAACCATGTGACATCAGCTCCTCCCCCACATCCTTCACATCGAAGGCCACAAAATTATGAAAATTGGCAAAAATAAATTGGTCACTTTTTTAAATGAAAAGAGGGAATGAGTAATTTACTTCATCCCTTTGTAAGTTTCAAAATAGAGAATCGAAGAGAAAAAAAAAAAAAAAAAAAAAAAACTATAATATGGGTATACCATACGAGCACACATGTCAATGGTAATATATTCACAACCAAAGTATAAAACTTATTACTCTTTTTGTGTTTCTATAGAATAATTTCTTACCCTGCATGATAAGTTAAAATCATACTTTAACTTCTCATCTTGTCGCATCTTTTTCATTAATTTCTTTTGATAGCTGCTTTTATTTTTTGTCTGGTTGATGAATAACTTTTCTTCGCTGATTGTGTAAAAGTTGGGTTCACATTGTTCATCTTGAAGAGCCAAATGGTCTGTCCTACTTCTCATTTCTCCTCCGTTGTTACTACTATGGCAATCCATTTCTGCATTTTCTCGTGCACCACCTGATATAGTATCCGTTTGGTAAAGCATGCCATTATCTACAACCACTTGGTTCATTGAAACCTTTTCAAAGTTGTGTGAAAAAGATTTGTATTTCTCCTTCTCTGAATTTTTCATGAGATGAATAAAATCCTTTACAGAAATATGATCTTTGTTAATACGCAAAATGTGTCTCAGAATTTGAATGGCATATAGAAGTTTTCTCTTAAAATCAAAACATTGATTCCATTCTTGGAAAGGTACATGTATTATATACCATCCAAATTTTTTTAAAATGAAATTTTTTATAATTGAATTCATAGTCCTACTATGACTTTCTTTATAAAAATGAGATAAACCATCTACTTCAATTAAAATATTTTTGTTTATTGTTTTCTGCAAAATGTTAAGTTTCCTTTGTTCTTCTGATTCGTTACGTGGTGCAATTACATCTTCCTGTTCTAACCTTTTCGTTTTATAAATTATATTCATATTGGATTCTTCTTTTGTATTTTTAATCTCTCCATAGGAATAAAATTCATACATTTTTTTTTTATTTTGTAAAAAGTCTACTACTATATCTAGTTGGTATGGTCCAAACTGAACTTCACTTCTGTGTGCAATTCCAACTAAGCTGAGAAATCTTGAAACATTTCTATGAGTCCTCGAGGACAGTATTATATAATCATCAATTTTCAATTTAACGTTTCGAATTTTAAAAAAAAATGTTTTTAAGTATACCGGGAATTCAAAATAGGTTGGGAAAAATGCTTTTAAGTATAAATCAACAATTTGCAATTGATATATACTTATTAGGGAAATTTTCTGGCGATATTTTTCGTTCAGTAAATATATTAGATTGAAGAATATATTTAATTCATTTTTGAAAAAAATTTCCGGCATTATTTCCACTACGCTGATGTTTCTAATATCATTACTTATGATATTAGTGCCACTTTTTTTTCTCTTCAAAATTACTGAGGAAATCTTCTGACCTGTGCATATCTTTTCTTCATTTTCACCCTCCCCAGGTAGATAATTTTTTTCTTCTTCACTTTTTTTCAGAACTTTTACAATTTCCTCGCCCAAATCGAGAATTGGAGAAGTACCATTTTCCCCTACGCGGGGTGTCCATTCGGCCTCGGTTCCTTCTTCCTTTTCTTCTGTTCCCTCCTCTACTTTTCTGCTAATGTTTGTACCGCTAGTTATGCCTGCATCGCCACTTCTGCTTGAATCGCCACTTTTGCTTGCACCGCTAGTTATGCCTGTTTTTATTTTATTTCTTTTTTTTTCCTCCTCGCAGAAATACATTTTGGTCATGTGGAAATAATACACAAAGGAAAAGACAAGATTAGTTAATTCCTTTTCATCAAAATCGTGCATGAAGACAACAATTTTTGGAAAAATATAATTGTAAAATGGTTTGTGAAAAAAGCATAATTTTGTGAATGCGTTAAAAAGCTGACATACGTTATTTTTTTCAAATTCATAATTATTTAAAAGCATAATTTTATAAATTTTGTATAAAAAAATCATATCCCTGTAGAGCAAATTTGACAAAGCATAACAAGCTAAGGACAAATCTGCTAGACTCAAATGATGAATATTTCGACTAATCAATTGAACAGATTTTTTCACAAATATACGTGAATACATTCTTATTTTACTAAATGAGTAAAGAATAATTATCACCTGAAATGGTTTCATCGTGTCTATCTTTTCAATAACTTCCTTCAACAATAGTTGATAAATTTTTTTATCTTCAACTTGCAATTTCACAAGTCCATATAATAGACAACATAATGACTGATTTGTTAATAGCTCATTTTTTTTTTTTTTTTTTCTTATCATGTAACTAATAAAATGGAAAAATTGTTTCTGTTTCATTTTTGTCTTACCATAAGAATTTATAAAAGTAGATAAACAGAAAAAATCAAACTGCGGTTCACTTGTCTCTCCTTTTAGCACACAAGGTAGATCTGTTATGATGCTACCATTTTGTACACTACATTCTCCATTACTGTGATGTTTATGTTTTGAGTTCATTTGTTCACCTTTGTCTTGTTGATCCTGCTGAGAAACAGTTGCTACTATTCCCTTTTTTTCCATTTTATTAATTTCATTAATTTTTCGAATTAACAACCTGTACAGAATGGTATATACCTTCTCATCTTTTAAACCAACCTTGCTAAAAGAATATGCCAACTGTTGAATAGATCGGATATCAAAATGGTAATTTTTAAACTTAGTTCCTATGGTTGCTCTATATAAAAATTCGTCAATCATGTATGTAAACAAAATTTTATCTTTTCTATTTATTCTTATAAGAGAACTAGCCAAATTACTCATTTCTATGTTTTTAAATTTTTTCATCTTGAAAATAGATTCATTTACAAGTTTGTCCATCATGAGTTTGTTGTTTATCTGCATCTGGGAAAAGGCGTGTACTAAGTTACTCAATGATTGGGGAGAGAACCTAGGAGTGTTATTCACAATAAACGGGATCAAACAGTTAAAAGTTTCATTATCATAGTATTCTAACTTTACTAATGCGTTCAATATGATTGATATATCTTTAGGTTGTGGTACTTGATTTGTATTAATTTTTCCCTCGAATGCTACAAAAGTGTTTTTTACTCCATTTTTTTCGTTCAATGAATATTCATCACATTCTTCTTTCGAACGTACATCAACGTTAGAGAAATTCCTCGGGAGTGTTGCATCAGGATCAATTTCAACTACCCCATCTGAAGGAGCTGTAGATTTATCCAGCTCAGCTGAAACGTTTGGCATCGATGGTTGACGCATTCTTTTTTTAATTTGTTCGCATATCACTTTGCATAATTTGTTATTTTTTTCACCCATTTTTGCAAACGAGTTGAGAATAATAGCTAGCTGATAGAAGTGAAATGAATCCGATTTAAAAATAACGTGCTTTGCAACTGCATTTGATAAAATGGGGTCATGTTTCCTCAATTTTACACAGCTGTAGAAAATAATGCATACATCCTTTGGAGTGAATTTCAAAATATTTTTTGCAATTAACGGCGTGCATTTATGAAAAATAGATTTTAAATGTTTCTCAGAATCAATTTTAAAAAAACAAAATATAGAAATGAGTTCCCTTATGTTCCATGGTTGGACAGAGTTGTTCATGTTTCTTAAAAATGCCTCAGTTAAAAGTTTTATTAAATATACTGGCTTCGATTTAGAAAATGTAAAAATTTGGAAAAGCTTACTTATGCTTGTGACATCAAAATTATAATGTATTCTTTTAATCTGTTGATGAAGAAGTAAATTTAATTCTTTATCATTTCTTTTTAAAATCATTAATGTCTTGTATATACTTACAAATTCATATGGTAAAAAGGACCGAACAAATTTCTTTGTGCACGAAAATAAATTATCCAAAAAATCGGATGGCAATTTCTTCATTTCATTTTTATTTCTTACAAATTTGTATATCTTAAGTATCTCTTTCTTATTCTTATTATTTAATTCTTCTGCACAAATTGGCATATTTTTATATTCTCCCATTCCTTCATTTGAATCAAATGGAATTACAGTTATTTTTCGATACCTCTGATTAATCCCATGATTTTCATTCTCCTCTTCCTTTAAAGGCCTGCTTCTTATTTTATAAACTGCTCCATCATTCCTCCATTCTTTACACTTATTCTGCAAACGAAGCTGGTAGCTCCGTCTCTGTAACATGTTTGGAAAGTTCTTCATTCGTGTGTTCCAAATTGTTCAGCAGTATGTGTGTAAAATCATGTGTTGTCTTCCAATTTCGAACTGATGAAGATTTTCTGTTTTGGTGGAACTTCCGATAGAGAGTAAACTAACGTGGGAAAAATATTATGTGGCAAATTGCCCATTTACTTTTATCCCTTCCTCTCACGTACTTGCACGCATCTGTTCTTTTAAGATAAAATGCATTTATATCTTTTACAAATGTTGGCATTTTTTTTTAATTTAACTCTTGTTAATTTAAAAGAGACCTTAGTAGTCACTGTGTAGTAATCGTGATTAAGTGTTAAAAAAGGGAAAATTGAATAAAAATAGTGAAAACTGAAAAAAAAAAAAAAAAAAAAAAAAATCGATAAACTCAATCTGTATGGAATATATACGAGAAAGCTAAATTTGACATTGTTTGAAAATACATACAAGAAAAGAATAAGATTAGCTACTAAAAAAAAAAAAAATAATAATAATAATAATAAAACATGAAACACTTCCCACAAAAAAGTGAAAAAATATGGATCGTCAAAAAAAAAAAAAAAAAAAATAAATAAAGTGGAAGAAAAGGCTACTAAAGCGAATTCCACCATAAGTGCAAAAAAAAAAAAAAAAGTACACTTCTCACAAAAGAAAAACACTTTGCATGATTGTTAGGAGCCCCTTTGACCTAACAATTTTGTCTGCTCAATGAAAAAAAGAGAAAGGCAAAGCGAGAGGAGAGGAAAGGAAAGGACAGAGTTGCCATTTACTTTGCACTGGGAAACTTGAATTTTCTTAACGAATAAAACAATTACACACATAAACACACAAAGTACAGAAGCAGGGAAGTTTATGTCACAAAAAAAAAAAAAAAAAAAAAAAAAAAAAAAAAATAATAATAACGATCTCCCTACCCTCTTCCAACTGATCCATATAAAGTGATTAAATTTATGATTCACTCAGAGACGAGTCCGGAGGGAGAAAAGAGCCGCTCCCTAGTAATAAACAATTCTTCCCAAAGAAATGATAAACCAAATGGCGACAATGAACCAACGAAGGAATCTAATCAATCTAGTAAGAAGACAAATAAGAAGACTAAGAAGGGCGTAACCATTTCAGCATATTCTCCAGCTTACATATCAGAGCCTGTGTACCAATGGGGGGTAAGAGAGAAAAACACAAAAACGAGCAAAAAATGGAGAAAAAACGAGCAAAAAATGGAGAAAAAACGAGCAAAAATGGAGAAAAAAAAAAATCCATAAAAAGTTGCCGCAAAATATAAGGTTCTGTAATGAACCACTTCCCACCTATGAACGTACACACACAGCAGGAACACCTGCAGTGCACACATTCGTTGTCCAAAATAGAGAGAAATGAAACACCCTTCTTCATTTCATTCTCCTCCATTCCATTTTCCTTTCCCCGAGCAGGTCTCAAGCAAGGACCGAATATTCTACGACAAGATGAACGACTTGATTATACACCAAAATGTGTCAGCTAAGGCAATGCTAGTAACAGATATCAAGAAGAAAAAGGCAAACTACAAAGCAGTGTATGTCAGGTTTGATAAAGAAATGTGCGAACACATAAGCTTCTGTCGTAACAGCACTTTTTTTCTGTATTATTCTATTAATCCAAATATAATAGAAATATCAGATATATTGAACAACCACAATATATATTTAAATATAAACATAAACAAACTTAACGAGTCTAAAATTCTCGCTGCTTTTTGGTTACGTGGTCATGATTTGAAACTAGCTGAAAATAGTGAAAAACAAAAAGAGGTAGCAATGGATGATACAACTTTTACTGCATCTGGGAACGGAAATGAAGGGGCGGATTCATTTTCAGTTGCAGATTCATCCGACTTTGCTATAATAACAAGTATTGGTATCGAAATTTTTCACATCTGCTTTGAAAACCTAATCATTACTCCATTAAAAAAACACATAATAAAAAGTGATGAGTGTTGGTATGACGAATCAAGCTCATATATAGCCCTACTGTCAAATGCACAGAAAAATCATGTTATTTCTCCATACTTGTTAAATAATAGTAATGCAATCAAATTACAAAAAATAGAACTGAATCTTCCTAAGTCTGAAATTATTAATAAAAATGATATTGAAATTATCACATTGTATGATGACACGTATTGTATTCATAAAGATTTTAAGAATGGAAGAATTTCCTTTCGTTGTCTTTCATCAACTTTGTATTTTGATTATGTTCTTGATTTATTTTCCAATGGAATTATGGAAACTTTTTCTCTGGATAATATATTTGGTGTCTTTAGCTATTCAAATGAAAAAGTCTATCTATTTGATATAAAGTATCACAAAAGAAATAAAACACAAATTATAAATAACTTAGAGGATCACACCATTAACATTTCTTATCTTACATCTCCTAAGAGTTTTAGATCGCAAATCCCTTTTAGCTACATTTCATTTCATTCCTTCAATCTTCTTATGGACAATCACTATGGTAATGTATACAAAATATGGATAGACTATGACCTCCTTATGCTTCAGATTTGTCAGCACTTTGCCAATCTGGTGAGTCATCCGCTATGCCCATTGTGGGAACTGCTCCTGTTCCGGTGTTCCGGTGTTGCAGTGTTGCAATGTTGCACTATTTCACTACTGCACTATTTCACTATTTCACTACTGCACTACTGCAGTTACTATTGCAACTAAGTCTACCTCCTCCACCAACCCACCTTCTCATTCCCCACGTTCAGAACACATCGGTTGATGTCCTGTTACGTAGACCAAACTGCAAAAGCAGAATAACAGAAATGTTTTTTCTTTCACTAGAAAATGACATACAAATTGAAGATTTTATAAGCATAGTGAACATAATAAATACCAATTATAGAAGACTAATAGAACAGTCTGTAGATAAAAAAAAAAAAAACTTAACGACAACAAGAAAAAATAATAATAAAATCATTCAGCCTTTAGGAAATATAATAAAAAATTTAAAACAAAAAACTCTTATTACTGAAAGAGATATTGTTACTGATGTATTCCATGCCTTTATGATTAAAAAATATAACCTCGATAAGAATGAGACATTATTCAACTTTTCTCTAAATTTTAGAGAAATCGAAAAAGCAAAACAGGAAAGACGAAGAAAAGGCACCAAGAGCAAAAACGATTGTGCCGATAAGTACATGTTGAAGTACAAAATATGCAAAAAATCACACCATGAGGTAGCAGATACAGAAGTAGGTGGGTTGGCAGGTAAAGAAGTAGGAGACTTGACAGACGATGCAGTAGATTATAAGCTGGTTCTGAGCTACTCAGAACTACATAACCCACCAATGTTCCTTATATATGTTCTGGAATATATGAAGTCCCTACTTATGTTAAATATCATACCGAACCGGATCCTACAAACTTTTCTTTTCGACATATGTATCTTTTACAAGAAAGATAACTGTCTAAGACAACTTCTGCAATTTTATGTGATTGCTGATTCGATAGAAGTAACAAAGAGACTATTTCATTACTGGAAGTTGACCAAACATGATTGGGCTTATAACTTCTGTTTGGATATGTCTTTGCGATTAAAGGAACATGAAATGGTGGTTCATCTCTTTTTGTCTGATAAGAAATACATTAAAATAATTGATTTCATAAGAAAATACAACCTTATTGACTATCCCATTACAGTTATATTTCAAGCCATCGAAAATGATTTTGATTCTCCCGACAAGTACATAATATTTAATCACATCATTCGCTCCTTGAATCACTGGATTAGGTACGTGCGCTTCTCGAAAAGGAGAAAAAAAGAGAAGAGAAAAGAAAAGAAAATCTATTGTGTGTTTACTACCCCTAATTCGCCAAACTGGTCGTGCAGCAACTTAAAAAAGAGAAAATTGATCTACAAAAAAAAGTGTTAAGTTACGGGGACGTACATTTTTATTTTTTCCATTTTTTTCATTTTTTCCATTTTTTCCATTTTTTCCATTTTTTTCATTTTTTCCATTTTTTTCATTTTTTCCACTCGAATTTGTAACCCAATATGTTATCCATATATCGCGCCATGTCGCTCCTGCCTATCAAAATGGACATTTTGACATTTTTGCACATCCCCTTCATTTCTCACTGTATAGGGATTCAAACCAAGACGCTCAGAAATACCCTTTACCAAATTTACAGGTGAGTACCTCCTTATTTATGTACACATAATGCATCATTTTTCGCATTCCACTTATTCGCTTTAGCAACTTTTTGTGTACATACGTATATATGTATATGTGTGTGCATGTGTATATATATATATATATATATATATATATATATTTATTTATTATTTTTTTTTTTATATATATATGCAAAAGAATTGCGAAAAGTGGGTGAACTTGGTTGAAGAGGAGTAAAATACATAACAGAAGTAAGAGAAGGAGGAAATTGTGGTCTTTTGGAGATACGAAATTAGATGGTATCTCCATTGGGAGATTTTTACTCGTAGTTTTGCTTTTATTTGCGGTTTTGCTTTTATTTGTGGTTTTACCTTTATTTGTGGTTTTACCTTTATTTGTGGTTTTACCTTTATTTGTTATATATTTTTTTTTTTTCTTTTTTTTTCTTCCCTCTTTAATCGCAACTTTCTAACCTCCAGCATTTCTAAGTCTACTATTTTGTTCTTCCCTTCATTTTTGCCATTTCCAACGATCCCAAATCCCACATTCACTGCAACCGTGTTCTTTTCATAATCACAAAATGGAGAATCTTTCAATGTGCATGCACAGAATGTCATAAGGCATTTCTCGAATGCCTAAATTTGCACCTGAATAAGTATATATTAATTATTGGGTGAAAAAGTCTTGTGAAGGGAAAAATTTCCCATTTTCGCGAAAAAAAAATTTGTATGTGTATTTTGGCTGTGCGAGTTTTTATTCTATAATAAATTCCGCGCACTGTTGCATGCAATGAGGGAATGTATGGACAGATGCATGTGTATGGATGGGTAGATTCATATGTATGGATGCATGTAAGTGTGTATCGACATTTCCAGACTTTACTCTGTAACATGTGTAAATGCGTGGAACACGCAAGAAAAGATGTTAAAGAGGGGGAGGGATTGCCGTTTTTGCACTTGGGTATGTACCTTGAAATAAGCACGTGATTAATTTGTGGTAAAAAAATAATAAAAGGAAAAAGGAAATAACCACTGTGCGAATATATAGATACTGATATCCTAATAATAAATAAATAGGTACATACATAAATAGGTACATAAATAGGAAATATGTGAGTAGACATGAAAAAGTGTATGTATGGTGAGAGTAAATAGGAGTAAAAATCGTTTATAAAAAAAAAAAAAAAAAAAAAAAAATATTTTTTGCGCAATTCTGTCAGTTGCTTTTCTCATTAGGAGGCATGTGTGTGTGTGTATGGGGGTGGCAATGGTTGCGAAGGGAACACCATTCTTCTATTCAGCCATTTCTGGTGTGTATGCATATGTGTATATATATATATATTCGCACACGTGCATGCTAGTCCACATTGCGTGAATCAAATTCGGTTCTGCATTTTTTTAAACGATCCAAAGTAATAAGCTGTCATATATATTTCTCCCGGATCTTGTAGCTACATAACGAGAAACGCAGTGTGGGAAGCCCATGCGCACCTATTCATACAGAGGAAGATTCACACGGGGGAAGATTCACACAGAGGAAGATTCATACAGAGGAAGATTCATACAGAGCAATACTCACACAGAGCAATACTCACACAGAGCAATACTCACACAGAGCAATACTCACACAGAGCAATACTCACACAGAGCAATACTCACACAGAGCAATACTCACACAGAGCAATTCTCACACAGAGCAATTCTCACACAGAGCAATTCTCATACAGAGCAATACTCACACAGAAGCATGATGCATTTGCGTGTGACACACGTTATATACATTACGTAAACGCACAGAGGCATGCGTAAATACATTCATGCATAAATGCTCTTATGCGTGTCTGCACAATTAGAAGTCAGAAAAAAGTTCACTTTTTCAAATCAAAAACCTTCTTCAGCAAATAAGCAACCGCACTCTCTTTGTGTGACAAGGGAAGGACACATTTGGCATGGGATTTGGCAGATTCAGTGGCATTCGAAACAGCAAAGGAATACTTAAAATTTGAAAGCATTGCAATGTCATTTTCAGCATCTCCCACTACTAAAACTTGATCATTGGAAATATTATAATGTTTTAGGAGATAATTAATACCTGTATATTTATCATGACCTAATTTGGTTACTTCTGCATGTCCATTATATGTTGTAAATATTGTTAGTTTGTTTTTAAATTTCTGTTTCAAATCCCCTATTACCCGTTTAGATTCTGATGGATCTAAAACAATCATTAATTTATTCATAGTTCTATATTTTAACATTTCATTATGTCTTATTATTATACTTTTGTTTTCGCTATACATTTTTTGTAAAAAATCAGAATATTTATTATCTTCTGTGACATAGTTAGATTCTCCTCTATGGAAAATTGTTTGATTTACTAAATTATTTTCAACAAGGTAACTTATCAATTCAGCATATACATCCGTTTCTATAGTCTCATCAAGTAAGGTATAACCAATCTGGTCATACACTATTGTTCCATTAATATACACACCTGGCATCCCATAAAAATTCATCTTTTTTAAATTTTCTTCACCAAATGCACTTAAGATTCCCACTTTGGATCTCCCTGTGCATATACTAACCATGTATCCCCTTTCAATCGCTTCTTTAATTGCATCAATATTTTCCTTCGGCACCTTAATATCTTTATCTACAAATAGAGTTCCATCAAAATCGATCAGTAGCAGTTTTATGTCTGCACCTTTTAACGCTTCCTCCACCTTAAGATCTTGGGTCTGCTTTTCCGTCATTTCTTCAAATATGATTTGGGTGAAACGAGCAGGAGTGGAATGCGAAAAGGTGGAAAAAGGTTGGCAAAAAAACGGGGAAAAAGGGGAAAAAAAATTGGCAAAAAAACGGGGAAAAAAAAGAAAAAAGATTGGCAAAAAAAACGGGGAAAAAATAAGATCTGAATCGACAGCAGAAAATACGAAGATATGTATGACCCTGCAAGGTGAAAATGTGTCAAAGGGAGCTAACAGGGGGGGGAGGGAAATTGTTGGAGCACGTGGATATCAAATGAATGTTTTTGACATACGCGAAAAATTTATCATTATAGTAAGAAGTGTGACAATATAGTAACATCAAACGTGGGGCTAATATGACCATGTAAAAGAGATTGAAAAAAAAAAAAAAAAAAAGCTCTAAAATGAAGAAGTACATTAATGTGACTTTTCCTATAATTGAGAATAAGTAAATCTGACGTTACGAAATTAAAAGGTAATTATATTTTCGCAAAAAAAAAAAGAAAAGAAAAGAAAAAAAAAATTACATATATATATATGTATATATATACATATACATATACATGTACATGCGCATGTGCAAGTACAATTTTGAAAAAAAATAAAATCTATTTTAGCCAAAAAAAAAAAAAAAAAAAAAAAGTAGCACACGATGGTGAAAGGGTTAATAAGTTTATAGAATGGGTAAGGGATATTTAGAAGAAAAAAAAAAAAAAAAAAAAAAAAATCTCTCAATCTTATGGTGTATATGTGTAAATGATGGTATTACATTTCATTGGGGCTTATGTATATTACTAAACACAGCAATTCCTGAGGAAAAAAAAAAAAAAAAAAAAAAAATGTGAACATGATGATATTATTTTGTTATGTGCTTCTTCTTCCCCTTCAGTTTATCATTTTGTTTTGCAGTCTTGCCATGTTTTTTTCCACATTTTTTTCCACATTTTTTCCACATTTTTTCCACATTTTTTCCACATTTTTTCCACATTTTTTCCACATTTTTTCCACATTTTTTCCACGTTTTATTACATTTTTTGCTACATTTTTTACAACATTCCTTGCTGCTCTTGTTGCTACACCTTTTTTGTTGCACTTTTGGTTGTATTTTTTGCCATATTTTGTTTTGCTTCACTTATCTTTATTTTATTTTACATTCTATAGATTATTTTATTTATCTTTTTTTCCCCCCTCTTTCACACAAGTTTTCTTTGTTTTACGAGGCAATAAACAAAACACTGTAGAACACACTTCAAATTGGTAATAAAAACAAAATCGTATAAAAGTAATAACAAAATTTCATCCCTACCAAATGGAAAAAAATGGAAATAACTGACATATAAGATATGTATCATTGTTGTGAGAAAAGAGAAAACGATGGAAAAAAAAAGTGTGTACGTTACATCAGATTTAGAAAAATGCCAAGGGAAGAGAAGTAAAAGATGGTGTTTCCTCTCTTCCCCATCCTAATAATAATTCCACAGATGGAGATGGAGGCATTCCCCCCCCTTTTTTTTTTTTTTTTTTTTTTTTTTTTTCACTGCCTCCACTTTTTGTGATTTTATATGAACACGTGCAGGCATCATACTCAGTAATGAAAAGGTTCACCAAATATACGTTCAATAAAAATATGAAAAATTGATAATCTCACAAATACACCAACCAGCTAAGCGCGCAAAGAAAGGATAAGGGAAACATAGGATCGAACGCACGTGTGTTTGAGCATGTACATATGCAGTGTGTATATATACCTCTCCCTCTCTCGCGCTATATATATATATATATATATATATATGTATATATGTAGGCCCCCCACTTTGTTTAACGTGGAAATAGCGAAAATATGTTTAGTTCTTGCACTACCTGACAATGTCACTGAAGGAAGTCACGAGCCTTATAGAAGTTACACACAAATTAGAATGATAAATGTGAGAAAGAGGATAAATAAAAAAAAAAAAAAAAAGTATTCAATTTTTTTTTTTTTTTTTTGACATTTTGTTTGTATACATAAACGTATGTCTCAAAGTTTATGCATGTGCTAGAGGAATATAATGATTACATGGTAAGACTTATTCAAAACCTGGTGTCATCACAAGTTCGACTAAATTGGGACGTTGTTTTCCCCCCACACCCACCCTATTCATAAATTAAAGCGTTAAAATGTTAACGTGATAAACTCTTAAAATATTGGAATGCACTTTTTGCATATCGTCCCACTTTCCTCTGTGTATTCATTCCCGATTTATTTCTCATGGAAAATACTCTATGAGGGATGAAAGGGATGTAAAAGAAGAGGATATACACATGGGGAAAAAAGAGATGAGACAAGGTGAAAGAAAAGATACATAAGGTCCAAAAGTTGGAACATGCAAGAATCCTGTAATAAAAAGACCATTTTTATGAAATAAGATCTATCCAATTTGTACATTTTTCTTACTTTTTTTTTTTTTTTTCATTAATTTGGTATAATCTGCACCAGGGAAACGGATAAAAAGTCCATCATGGAATATATATAGATAGATATATACACATGTATACACATGTATTTGAGCTACCCCTTCCACATTGCTGGTTTCTCGTTTTTTCTATATGAAAAAACTTGTCGACATGGTGATATTACAAGGGAAGATTATAACCCTGGTTTTACACAAGTGTTCATATGCAGATGTCATTACTGTATTCTACACGTATTGCATATAGAATCCGTATACATTATTACCACCTCACCTCACCTCATCTTAACTGCACTTTTTCTTTTTTTTTATTTTCAAACGCACCAATTCAGCATACTGAAAAACTTCTTTTCTTTTGAATTTGTGTGTCATCAATAATGTAACTACAAATTGGGGGAGAATGACGGAGAAGTAATTTTCCTTCTACATTCATTTTTTTTATATTGCAACTTTTTGAGCAGTTGAAGAAAACTTTCATAAATGCATATCATAGGAGAACAACCACCAATCGAATTAGAGAAAAATTCGTTGAACTTGAAACAACTGTTATATTGAACGTCTGTTACTTATTCGTTTAATTGTCTCATATTTTTTTTGTATTTTTCTCCCTTTTTTTCCTTAAGGGATGAGGGGTTGAAAGCAAAGCTTTGCACTATTAACCCTTTTTTCTGCACCTTTTTGCAAATTTTTTTCCTTTTTATCTATCAAAAAGGTAACATTACGAATGTACTAAACACATGCATGTATATGCACATGCCCATTCTGTTTCCTCCTCAGAACAAGTGTTTAAATGGGGGGAAGGGAGGGGAAAAAAAAAGAAGAAAAAAAAAAAAAATCAAATTAAATTAAAACAAAATAAAATAAATCCAAATCAACACTACAAACGTGTTTTCCCTTCTTTTGTAGCCCAAAATGTTATCATAATGCATTTTTACCTATGCTTGCGCTACGTGAAATAATAAAAAGGAGAAAGCTGAGAAAAAAGATCTTGTTTTTATGTTTATCTATTTTGTTTTGTTCATCTATTTTGTCATGTATATCTATTTTGTCATGTATATCTATTTTGTCATGTATATCTATTTTGTTGTATTGTTTTATTCTATTTTTTCTCTTCAATTTATATATCTAATGCTTCTATTTCGTTGTTCATGTTGAAAGAAAAAAAAGAGTGGCCCTTTTTTCCACCATACCCATTTTGACATTCCTATGTAGGAAATTAGCAATTTATTATGTGCTGTTTTTTTTTTTTTTTTAATAGATAGTAGAGTTCACGGAGTTTCTTATGCACATCATAATGAGAAGAGCTTTAAGGTATTCACTTTAAAAAAAAATGTATGTGCATTCGACAATCGTTATATGTACATGTTTAGATATATATACATGCACAAGAATATGTATAAGAACAGTTGTACACACATGCATGCAATAGATTATGTATTTGCATTCCTGCGCCCCAGGGGGTTCTTACACGTAAATGAAAAATGACTCTATATTAAAAAAAAAAAAAAAAAAAAAAAAAAAAAAACAATTCTCACTGTATACGAAGATATTATTGATTCAGACTGTGATTCATTTCAATTTTGCAAAAGAATAAAATTATTAATTACGAAGAAGAGATGTAGGTGCACACAAAACCATTTGTGCATGCAGTAGTAACCTTGCATGCATCGATCAATATGTTAGCGGTACAACATATGATACAGAATATACATGATAGAACGCATGTACATGCATTTGTTGCCCTCTCTACCTTCAACTTTTCTTCCTTTTTTTTTTTTTTTTTTTTTCATTACATTTCGAAACGTAGACCAGCGTTTATTAACCCCCCTTTAAAGTATATATTTTCTTTAGTATTTTTGAGTTTATTATTTTTGTGTTCTAACTTTTTTTTTCCTTTGTTTGTAAACGCTTCTCATACAGAACATGTAACACATTAGTTGTTCTTTTTGCTTTGCCACTTAATACATAATCCTGTTTCGGCTTTAACCCCTGTTTCGGCTTTAGCCCCTGTTTCTGCTTTAATCCCGTTTCTATTTCTCCCTCCCTTTTCTGTGTTTTCTCGCGCCTGTTCTGCTTTTCCTTCCTTTTTGAAAAAATTAAAAATGTTACTTTAATCACAGGGAGGAATATATGTGCACAGTACATGGAACTGAATGCAGTACACACCCACCACATACACACACGCTCGTTTCTACCACACATGCACACACGCTCGTTTCTACCACACATACACACACGCTCGTTTCTACCACACATGCACACACGCTCGTTTCTACCACACATGCACACAACTAATCATGTGCGTGTCGGAGGCGTAGCACCCTTTGTAAGGGCCCTGTATGCACACGTGTTATGCTTGTATATAAGCTCATAAAAATCACACTTCTGTGAAAAATATACATACCTTCATATGGTTGTTTCGTGTACTTGGTGCATGCATGTGTACACAAGTATGAGTGTGCATACGTGCTGATCTGGTATACCTCTATACCTGTGTAGTTGTGTGTTTTTCTTCTTTTTCTGCAAAGGGCCACATGTGTACAAGCAAAACCACAGGGTAGTGGTGCTTTCCCCCTCCCCTCCTTTGGACGAGACAGAGAAACGAAAATGAACATCCAGGGAAAAAAACCGCAGAGAAAAAAAAATCTCGGGGTGGTTGAGGAGTTCATGGAGATAGAAAAGAAAAAAAAAGAATTTTGCATTTTCTACATATGCGAAATATTAAATGGTATATATGGAACATACAAAAAGAACAAACCTGTTTACATACATTTCATATGCTCACAAGAAAAAGAAAATAATAACTTCGAAAAAAAACAATTATTTTATTATACACCAAATTCAGTACTAGAGCAATATTTCCCAGATCATTTTCAAAATGTGTATTTTCTTTGCGCACATTATTCTATGTGGAAAAACAAATTAAATAATCATGACAAGAAAAATGAAAGTGGAACTCCCCTTGGCATTTTTAATGAAGAATCAGATAAACAAAACAATGGCAACAAAAATGATCAAAGGAAAAAGTACTCTTGTCAAAATGAAGAAACATTTTATTTTATTTTTACTTTTTACATGCAACCAAATTTTATGTGGGAAGAAATTAATATGCCCATATTTCACGATAAGGGATATATTGAGTGTAAGTTTGATTGTATAGATAATATGATCAAATTGAGTGATAATATGAACTTAGCACAGAAAGTTAAGGGGAGTGCCCGAAACCAAACTTTGATTCAGTGTATTCGTGAAGGATTCACAAATAAAGAAGATCCCAACATAAGGCACAAAGGGAATGTACACCTCCTACCATTTTTTATATCAACTCAACAGTTATATAAAAACTGCCGAGTATGTCAAACCAGAGTTATAAGTTTTAACGAAAAGGACATATATTGCAAAATTGACAAAGAGGAAAATTTCCCCAGACAACTTTTGCTTCTCGTTAAGAAAAAGCTACAGAAAAGACTCAAGAACATGCATGCAGAGGTAATACAAACAGGAGAAAACAAAAAAATAGAAATAAAAAAAAGGAAAAAAGAATATGAAAAATCACAAAAAATCACCAGTTTAGAATTTATTGACAAAGATAAAAAAAGGAACAAATCATATACCACCACGCGAGGAAGGCAAAAACAAAATGTTACCCACATGGAAGAAGAAGCCAAGCATGTCAGAGATAGCCTCACTGGAATTGATTGCGCAGAGATACAACAGTTAATCAGATGCACGGATGCAATTTTTGAAAGAAGTATCTCAGACGAACAAATGGAAAAATTGCTCTTACAAATTAAGAGCAAGGGATATACTCGAAACATGTGCAGTGCCATCATTCACAGCATCCCGATTCATGGTAGTGCCATTCACAACATCCCCATTCACAGTCGTGCCATTCCCAATCGTTCCATTGCAACCGTTCCGGTTATTCCCGTTATGCCCCATCCCCACAATCAGGAAATAACATCAAGAAGCACTCACATCACAAATAATCAAGACATGAACAAGTATTTGGGTTTGGGTGATTACTACAAATACTTTGCTTCAAGCAAAAATGAATTAAAAAATACGCTGCAAGATCCCTGGCAGCTTGGAATTGGTGTGAAGAAGACAATAAAAAAAAAAAAAAAAAGCGAGTGACAAATGTGTGCATTTTTTATTCTGCAATTTTATTCGGCAATTTTATTCTGCTTTTTTATTCTGCTTTTTTATTCTGCTTTTTTATTCTGCTTTTTTATTCTGCTTTTTTATTCTGCTTTTTTATTCTGCAATTTTATTCTGCAATTTTATTCGGCAATTTTATTCGGCAATTTTATTCTGCAATTTTATTCGGCAATTTTATTCGCAATTTTATTCGGCAATTTTATTCTGCAATTTTATTCTGCAATTTTATTCGGCAATTTTATTCGCAATTTTATTCTGCAATTTTATTCGGCAATTTTATTCTGCAATTTTATTCTGCAATTTTATTCGGCAATTTTATTCGGCAATTTTATTCTGCAATTTTATTCTGCTGTTTCATTTTGCTACGCTATTTTATCGATTCATCGTTTTCCTGTTTTATCTTATCATTGTCATTATTATTTCCTTTTTTTTGAACAGACATATCCGAATTTTCACAACCCCCTCCTGCGAAACAGCGGGGAAAAAAAAAAAAAGTGGGGCACTTACTTCCTTATCCCCATCATGCACAACTCACACTTTGCGTTTCGCCTGAACCGTGCAGGCGATTTTGCGTTGTTTTAATGTACATGTTCGACTGACACTCATTAGCTACATTATTTTTACTACTCAACTGCTAACTGAACAACTGGGTATACCTCCCTACTCTTTGCACCATACCATCACAAAGGTAATCTTTTATTCTCATATATTTAGAAACACAGTATACGTGTCCACAGGTCGAAGTTGATTTATGTCTGGGAAAGCTCGTACAAAAGGTACAAAACGTTCGCAATACTGATCTATCCAGACATACTTGTATATACCTTTTCTTTTGATTAATAAAAAAAAAATAATAAATAAAATAATACGGTGGAATGGTGGAAAAAATTAAGTTTTTGTTTGTTGAATTATTTTTACTAAAAACAATGAAGAGGTAAAAAAAAAAAAAAAAACATACACCTCACATAAATATTAGTATATATCATGTGTGGCATCTCAATGAAAACGAAAAAAAAAAAAAAAAAAAAAAATTAATTAATTATGATCCTTATGTCTCATTTATGCTTTAACTCACAATGTATCTATTTATCTCTCGTAATCTCACTCATATATATATACACAATTGTGCATGAGGAAAGATATGCATCACTGCATTAACTTTTATATTAACTCAATGTTTCGCACATAAGGGGTTTCAGGCAATTATGCACACGTTCTGAGTAAGGATGTGTACGTGCAGCTATGTATATATATATATATATATATATTCACTGCATTACATTACACATTGTATGCACGCTTAAGATACGTGCATTTTTATTAATGGCGAAGAAAAACAAGCTTCACCCTTTTTTTTTTTTTTATATCAAGTGCATGGGAATATAATCTCACACTGTATTATGGTGGGAGTAGGATGTGCTATGTATACTCAAGATACTCGAAAAAAAAAAAAAAAAAAAAAAAAAAAAATGATAAGCAACGGGTGCGACATGATTGGGAAAGAAGGGGCAAGAAAGAAAGAGAAAAAAAAAAAAAATCTTCAACACATATATCATCCTATCAAGTGTATCAAATTATTCAAATCCGAGTAACACATCACACCAAGTGGTAAGTGTTATACGTATCTTCCTGTGATAACCTTGAATATGATATTGGCCACGGCATTCTCATTGTTCGTCTTGGTGCTAATACATCTTGCCACCTTTAATGCCTGCTTGGTGGAATTCTTGACAACAACTGAATATCCTGTGGAAGCCAACATCTCTAAATCGTTATTATCATTTCCAATAGATAAAATCTGATTCAAAGAAATATCATAAAACTGTGCATACAACTGAACAGTTTGTATCTTGGATGTGTTTATAGGTGAAAGAACAAGTTTTTCTTTATTTGGGGGTACATATATCTTGAATCGATTATCCAACTCGGGAAATAAGACATTGTGGAGATCCTTAAATGGTTCATCATCAGTAGGATATAGCTTTTCATAAATTTCTATAGAAACAATATCACCAATCATGAATATGTCTTTAATGTTTTTTAACACAACAGCCTTATAACGTTTATCTAAAGATAACAAATTTTTCATATTCGAATTGGATTTATTCCCTTGTCCATGAATTGTAAATTGTTTTTTTTTAAACTCTGGGTCATCATTAAATACATATACAATACTTGGTGTTATAAAAAGACTATATTTTAAAATATTATAATTTGACAAAGCAAATAAAATAAACTCTAAGTCTCTCATACTGAATTTACGATATATGTAATCAACTCCTTTGATATTTAAGTATGCACCATGGGAATATACACCATCCATTTTTTCAATTCCATATGTTTCTTTTTGTTTCTGTGTAAACATTTCCATTGCATAATTATGTAATTTTCCAGTTGCTAAAATTACCTTTATACCTAGCCTCTTCGCTATTTCTATAGCATTTAAGTTGACGTTACTAATTCTACTTGAGTCATCAGCTAGGGTACCATCAATATCGATTGCTATTAGCTTTATAGAATTTTTTTCTAACAAATCGTTCACACATTCATCCGATTCTTTGTATTGTAGCATTTCTTTGTATTTCTTCTGAATATACATGCTGCCATGGGCCATGCTTTTCGGGTGCAAAAAAAAAAAAGCGAATTCTCGATTACAGCTTCATGCTGACTCATTAGGACACAACACACTAAGGCCACTAGGGACAAGCACACTTTTTTCACGTTAGTCATTTTGGACAAAGGGGTATAAAGCGTAGAGAGAATAAAAAATATAAAAAAATTAAATTAATAAAAAAGTTATATTAATAAAAAAGTTATATTAATAAAAAAGTTATATTAATAAAAAAGTTATATTAATAAAAAAGTTATATTAATAAAAGTCTTATATTAATAAAAAGGTTAAATTAATAAAAATATTATATTAATAATTTTCATAAAAAATGAATGAAGAATGCTTCCAAGCTGTGAAAGAAAATGGGGATGACAAAAAAATAATAATAAAACTATTAGAAAAACAAAATATAATATAAAATAAAATGCATTTATGTATTATTTTTGTTTATATTTGCGTTCATATTTGTGTATATATTTACTTTTATATTTGTGTTTATATTTGCGTTTATATTTGCGTTTATATTTGCGTTTATATTTGCGTTTATATTTGCGTTTATATTTGCGTTTATATTTGTGTTTATATTTTTATGTTTATATTTATATTTTTAATTTTTTTTCATAAGTGTGTAAATTTTTTTGTTACTTTTTTTTCACATTTTTACATTTATTTCGTTGCTTCATTTCGTTGCTTCATGTCGTTGCTTCATTTCATCGCTCCATTTCACCGCTCCATTTCACCGCTCCATTTCACCGCTCCATTTCACCGCTCCATTTCATCGCTCATTCACATCACCCCTCTTCATTTTTATAATTGGGATGTCATTTATTCTCATTTGGTGCATTCCCCTTCCACACCTCAAAAATTGCACATATTTTTCCATGTGAACCATTGCACCTTCTAGGCTTACACTTGAGAACGAGTCCTTGCAGTGTATCCCCCCCCTTAGCCCTTGTTTTTTTTTTTTTTTTTTTTTTTTTTATGCATGCAAATTTGCATTACTTATTTCATTTTTTTTTTTTTTTTTTTTTTTGCAGCTTCAAAGGAGGGGAGGGGTGCAGGGAAAGAAGATCTTACTGCATGAAGTACACACACCATTTTATTTTGCTTTGCTTGTTTGCTTGTTTGCTTGTTTGCTTGTTTGCTTGTTTGCTTGTTTGCTTGTTTGCTTGTTTGCTTGTTTGCTTGTTTGCTTGTTTGCTTGTTTGCTTGTTTGCTTGTTTGCTTGTTTGCTTGTTTGCTTGTTTGCTTGTTTGCTTGTTTGCTTGTTTGCTTGTTTGCTTATTTGCTTGTTAACTTGCATTTTTTTTTTTTTTTTTTTTTTTTTTTTTTTTTTTTTTTTTTTTTTTTTTTTTTTTTTTTTTTTTTTTTTTTTTTTTTTTTTTTTTTTTTTTTTTTTTTTTTTTTTTTTTTTTTTTTTTTTTTTCTTTTTTTTTTTTTTTTTTTTTTTTTTTTTTCATCACTTCATTTGCTCTTCTTTTTAGCACCTTTATTTTATCCATTTCTGCGTTTTTGCATGCGGGAAAAGGAAACGATAGCAAGTGCATGCACAAGGGTGAGGGAGGATGAAGGTTTCAAGTGGGGCATAAATATTGTGCTCTCATATTCCTCCCTCCCTTTTTTTTTTATTTTACATGAATGAGCATTCTCTCTCTAGAAAAATATATATATATATATATATATGTATACATATTTGCGCTTCCTATTTTTAATGTTTATTATGCAGATGTTTTTATTTCTACAAGTAGCATGTACACGATCGTGAACTGTGTGCTCTGCTATGCAAATGGAGGATGCGACACATTTTAAGCCAGAATACAATAGTAGGAATGTTTGTGGCCCCTGGTCAACTCAAATGATATTAATGCTATTTTTTGCATGCACACAATTGTAGGAGTAACTGTAAATGATAGCCCATGCAGGTACAATCGGCCATCGTGCATTAAGGGGAAAATATAGGGTATTATTGGGGGGGGGGGGGGGGGGGGGGATTTTTTTTTTTAAAAATTAAAAAAAAAAAGGAAAAAAAAAAAAAAAAAAAAAAAAAAAAAAAAAAAAAAAA